GCAGTGACTGTTTTATAAGCGAATGTGGTAGCCAATTTCTGCACAGCAATGTTCAACAAAACAGCCATGAAGTGAAATACCAATTTTATTTGGGGGATTGTTGACCAGGCACTGGAGTTTAATGTTTTTTTAATGGAACAATCATTTTATGTTAACTGTGCTAAAGTCTTGAATTGATACCAAATCCATCTTGAATGAATTCCTGTTTTGTCAGGAGCTCCTCTAATATTTCTCCGAGGTGCTGGCTGTCAGCAGTCTGCTCATCAAGATCTTACAAAAGGCTCTCTGACGTATGATGTATTGGACATGTTTTGACACAAATAATAAATATAATAATAATCCTTGCTTTTTGATAGAGCAAAAAGCAAGGGGTGAAGGGAATCAGGGTGTAGCATCAGAGAGGAGAAAAAAGTTACATAGAGGACTGGGAGAGATGAATAGCAATGCTATAAGGAGTAGTCCAGAAAAAAGAGGGATTAACGGGGGAGAAATCCAGAGCAGACCAAGTCGGTCTTGGAGTGTTCTTGGAGTGCATGTGTGTAAATACAGAGAGTGTGACAAGATTGGTGAGCTGCAGGCTCAAGTTGCCACATAGGATTATCATGTAATGGCAATAACAGAGACCTGGCTCAAACAAGGGCAGGAATGGGAGCTGAATGTGCAGTGTATTCAGAAGGGATAGAGAAGGAAAAAAAGGAGGGTGACAATATTGATTAAAGACACGGTTACAGCCCTGGAAAAGGACAATGTGCTAGAGGGTCCAAAAGCATAATCTATTTGGTTAGCATTAAGGAGCAGAAAAGGAGCTGTTACTCTCTTAAGTGTATACTATAGCACCAAATAGTGGGAAGGAGATAGACAAGCAAATCTGCAAGCAGATTTCAGAAAGATGCAAAACCAATAGAGTAGTGATAATGGGAGACTTCAATTATCCTAACATAGACTGGCAAAATAACAGTGTAAAGGGCGCGGAGGGGGAAGGATTTCTGAAATGTGTGCAGGATAACTTTCTGGATCAGTATGTTTCCAGCCCAATGAGGAAGGAAGCAGTGCTGGGTCTTGTTCTGGGAAATGAAGTGGGGCAAGTGGAGCAGGTTTCTTTCGGAGAGCATCTGGACAACAATGATCACAATATCATTAGGTTTAGAGTACTTATTGGAAAGGGACAAGGAACAATCAAATATGAAGATCCTCAACTGGAAGAGGGCAACTTTCAGTGAGTTAAAAAGGGACCTAACTAAGGTGGACTGGAAAGAAAGATTGGCTGGTAAAACAGTTAACAAGCAATGGGAAGCCTTCAAGGAGGAGATAATTCAGGGACAGAACAAATACATTCCCACAATGGGGAAAAGTAGGGCATCACAGGAAATTGGGATTAAAATAAAATGGAAAAAGGAGGCTTATGTTAAATGTCAGGTCGAAAATACAGAATATAAATAAATAGAATATAGAAAGTACAGAGGAGAACTGAAAATGGAAATAAGATGGGCAAACATAAAATACCTTAGGGTTCCTTTTTATTTTACCTGCTAATCTTTTCTCAAAGTATGAGAGAGGGAGAGACTGAGAGAGGGAGAGTTACTGAGAGAGAGAGAGTGATAGTGAGAGAGACAGAGAGAGAGACAGAGAGAGAGAATATATATTAAAGAATAGTGACTGTATTTTGTGGGAGAGACAGCGAAAGACAGAGAGAGAGAAAGAGAGAGAAACTGAAAGAGTGAGAGAGAGTGAGAAATAGAGGGACATATAGAGAGAGAGAGAGAGAGAGAGAGACTGTGAGAGAAACCGACAGAGAGAGGGAGACAGAAAGAGAGACAGACAGAGAGAAAGAGGGAGACAGGGAGAGAGACTGAGGGAAAGATACTGAGGGACTGAGAGAAAGACAGAGAGAGAGACTGTGAGAGAAAATATATTAAAGGAGTCCTCCCAGCTGAGTATAGATAAAGATGAAATATCTTTCTCTGTGTCCGTCTGTGTTTCAATCTGTATTCCATGTTGGATCATTTGGTTGCAAGCAAAGCTGCAACGGGCACAACTACTGTACACTACTAAAGACAAAATGTCTTGTCTGTGTGTCTGTCCACCAATAATGCAATAATCGATTGACGTAGAGACATGATTTATATCTCATCAGAAAGGTCTTACATAGGGGAGTGTCATGGTGATTTTTATTTGGTGCGATATCCTATCATTGATAAGCTATGACCTAAACAAACTCATCACACATGTTATGGCAGATTTTGCTTAAGGTATACACATAGTGCTTATGGCATGTTAAATGGTTTGTGAGTGGTATCACTGAAATCTACATTATATTGGATTCTTTGGTTGCAAGCGCAGTAGGTACAGCATATAAAGAATTCCAATAGGGAATGTATATTGACACACAGACAGACATTTCATCTTTATACCCAGCTGGGAGGACTGCTGTGGGAGGACTCGGTGCTTTAAAAATTAAATTTTGTTGTTGTTGCCATGACTTAGGTTTGACTGTGTTCTTTATTTTTTTCCCGCCGCTTGCCTACCTGCATGCTCTGTGAAGCAGGATGCCACAGTACCTCTTTGATTTGGCTGCCACCAGGTATAAGTGCAGCAAAAAATGTAAAACTGAAAATAACCCACGAACAATAGGTGATACAGGAAAACAAATATGCCTATGTCATTCCCAGGTGCAAGACCTTTCCGATGAGGTATAAATCATGTCTTTAAGTCAATCGGTTATTGAGATCCTTCTTGAAGCGCAGGCAGACATTGTTGTATTAGTATATAATATAAAAGTTAGTCAAAGGTAGGGTGGGGCCATATGGGACATAAGAGGAAATGTTCTTGTGGAAGCAGAGGGCATGGCTGATGTAAGTGTGAGAATAGTGGAGGCTCTGGCCACAATCTTTTAATACTCCTTGGACACCGGGGTGGTGTCAGAGGACTGGAGGCTTGCAAATCTTACTCTGTTGTACAAAAAGGGGCAGAAGGATAAACCTGGGAACTACAGGCCAACGTCAGTAATGGGGAAACTTTTAGAGACTATAATCCAGGACAAAATAAATTTTTACTTAGCAAAATATGGGTTAATAAGTGACAGCCAACACAGATTTGTTAAACGCAAATCATGTCTAACAAACCTCCTTCTGAGTTTTCTTGATGAAGTAACGGAAAGAGTAGATGAAGTTAGTGAGGTTGATGTAGTTTATATGGATTTTCAAAGGCATTTGATAAAGTGCTACACAAGTGACTTGTAAGCAAAATAGAAGCCCACGGTATTAAACTAACAGTGGCAGCATAGATGCAGAACTGGCTGGGAGACAGAAAGCAGAGAGTGTTGGTGAACAGTTGTTTTTCTAACTGGAGGGAAGTGTGCATTGGTGTCCCCCAGGGGTCGATTTTGGAATCACTGCTCATTTTGATCTATATAAATGATGTGAACTTGAGTAGCCTCCTCACTTCGGTAAGAGGATAGTAGCAGACTGCAAGAGGACATTGACAGACTGGTAAAATGGGCAGACATGTGGCAGATGAAGTTTAATGTGGAGAAATGCTCAGTGATGCATTTTGGGAGGAAGAATAAGGAGAGGCAACATAAGCTGATGGTACAATCTTAAAGGGGATGAAGGAACAGAGAGACCTGGGGGTTCATATAAGTAAATCTTTGAAGGTGGCAGGACAGGTAGATATAGCTGTTAAAAAAGCATATGGGATACTAGGCTTTATAAATGAGGGGGCATGAAATACAAAAGTCAGGAAGTTATGATGAACCTTTATAAAACACTGGTTAGGTCTCAGCTAGAGTACTGTGTTCAGTTCTGGGCACCAAATGTTAGGAAGGATGTCAAGACATTGGAGAGGGTGCAAAGAAGATTGACCAGAATGGTAATATAATAATATAATAATAATAATAATCCTTGCATTTGATATAGCGCTTTTCACGTCGGGAGGACGTCCCAAAGCGCTTCACAGAACACACTGTAAAGTGAATTGACTGTATATTTGTGGGCGAACGCGGCAGCCAATTGCGCACAGCAATGTCCCACAAACAGTCGTAGATTGAAAAATGACCAATTTAATTATTGTTTTTGGTTTTTTGGAGGGATTATTATTAGGCGTGTGGAGTAAGGAAACTTGCCCAAGGTTTCGCCCTCTGCCTGGAATTGAACTCAGGTCTCTCACTTGCAAAGCGAGTGCTCTAACCACTGAGCTACAGGACTCCACAAGTACCAGGAATGAGGGACTTCAGTTATGAGGAGAGGCTAGCGAAGCTAGGATTATCCTCCTTAGAGCAGAGAAGATTAAGAGGAGATTTAATAGAAGTTTTCAAAATTATGAGGGGATTCGATAGGGTGAACAAGGAGAAACTATTTTCACTGGCGGGTGGGTAACTCGAGGACTCCAATTTTAAAATAGTTGTTAAATGAAACAGAGATGAAGAGAATTTTTTTCACACAGCAAGTTGTTCAGATCTGGAAAGCATTGCTTGAAAGGATGGTGGAAGCCTATTCAATAATACCTTTTGAGAGAGAAGTGGATAATTATTTGGGGAGGATAAGTTTGCAAGGCTATGGGGAGAGAGCGGGGGAGTGGGATTGATTTGGATAGTTCTCTTCAAAGATCCAGCATAGACACAATGGACTGAAAAGCCTCCTTCTATGCTGTGTAATTCTAAGATTCTATGATATAATGCCTATCACTTTGTTGAGATGTCTCAAAGCGCTTCACAGAATATAAAGGACAGAAAGAAGTTATTCGATCCATTGTGCCTTTGCGGCTACCATCTCTGTGTTTTTAAGCTGTCCTTTTTATATGTCTTTTAAAAATAACTGAGGTCTTACGATGCAGACGCTAACTGCAGAAAGTAAGCTCTACTCTTCCGAAATGTCTTAAGGAACAAAGTGCAGAGGTTAATCAAGTTGTCAATGCTTTAAAAAAGATCACATTCATGTGTAAATGAGAAGTGCTGAACTTTTGGGCATGTTAATGATTTAATGATGGTCTGGTTTCTATCACAGACCTGTCAAATTGGACTGAATTTTGCAAGTGAGGAAGAAGCAAAAAGATACAGATTTGCAGTGAATGACATAATTGGCAGACGCCAAAGGAGAACAGGTACGTCCTGGCTTTTATATTGATGAACACAAAGAATGAGAGGTATAATTCAGTTGTGAATTGTGCACAAAGTACAGTAGAACCCTGTTACAATATGGCTTGACTTATTGGGCCGTAGACGCTGACATTTAATTGGGGGAATCCAAAAGCAGCCCAGTTTGCTTCAGAATAACCTGTTGCACCCAGAAACCCTGTTACAACTTTGGTTGGGAACTGTATTATTTTAGGGCACTGCTGTCGTCTCTTTGTGCAACTGTTTTGGTTATTGATCAGTCTCCAAACATTCAGAACAGCGTTTGTAAGGATTAGCTGCTACAGTGCACTGTGGACTGCACTGTGGACTGCACTGGATTTTGGACAAGAACATTAAGCTTACCTTGCAGTGCTGGTAGGTTGAAGATTGAAGGTTGAACCTACAACTAGAGGAGTTTGAAACTTGTTTTTCTGCTCCAGCTTTGAAGGGCGTTTTTATCGATGTTCCCTTCACCCGTCCTCTCCTTTGGCCCAATATAAATTGTCGGTATTCACACTCTGGGTTGATTCACTCAAACTGCTCAGCACACTTTTCTGCCAGTGGCTTGAGATATTTTCTGAGTAGTACTTTTTGCCTTTCTCTAGTTTTCTGAAAAAAGTCCATTGGAATCATTCCAACCTCATGAATAGTTTTATTCAAGTTGAATAAATCTATACATGTTTGGAATTGTTTGGATCCGGAATGCTTTGCCTGAAAGGGTGGTGGAAGCTGATTCGATAACTTTCAAGAGAGAAATAGACAGATATTTGGGAAGGACAAATTTGTAGGGCTATGGGGAGAGAGAGTCCAAGGTCCTTGAAAGAGTTGTCGCCTCCCAGCTGCGCTCTTTCCTCTCCACCCATTCATTATTCAAACCCCTTCAGTCGTGTTTCCGTGCTGCCCATAGCACAGAAACTGCCCTGGTCAAGGTCCCTAATGACATCTTGACCATCTGCGACCAGGGCTCCCTCTGCCTCCTCGTCCTTCTCGACCTATCGGCCGCATTCGATATGGTCGACCACGCGATCCTCCTCCACCGCTTGTCTTCCCACCTCAACCTTCAAGGCCCCGTCCTTGAGTGATTTAGGTCCTACCTCTCCCACCATCTTCATTTTCTTTCCACAAAGGGCTTTTCCTCCAGCCCCCGCACTGTCTCGTGCGGTGTCCCACAGGGCTCTGTCCTCGGTCCCCTCCTCTTCACCCTCCATATGCTCCCCCTTGGTGACATCATCCGCAGACATGGGGTTAACTTCCACATGTAGGCGGATGACACCCAACTCTACCTTTCCTCCTCTACCCTCAACTCCACGCCCACCAATGTCCTGACAGCCTGCCTGTCTGACATCGAGTCCTGGACGAGAGACAACTTTCTTCAGTTCAACGTGCGAAAAACTAAGGCCCTCCTGATTGGCTCGCATCAGCGCCTCCGCACCTCAGGCACGTGCCTTCAGCTCCCCCCTCGACTCTCTACCTCCTCCTCGTTCCCTCCCTTCCCTCCCCTCACCCTGACCATCTCCTCCCTGCTCGGGTCCCGACCCAACTGTCCAGCGCCTTGAGACGTCTTCCCGACGTGAAAGGCACTCTATAAATGAAATCTTGTTGTTGTTGAGAGCGGGGAGTGGGATTAATTTGGACAGCTCTTTCAAAGAGCTGACATGGACCCGATGGGTCGAATGGCCTCCTTCTGTGCTGTATGATTCTATAAAATCAGAGGTCTTAGCCAGTTGGTCGCTCTCAGAGACAGAAGGTTGTGGGTTGGAGTCCCACTTCGGGACTTCAAACCCAATCTAGGCTGAAACTCCAATGCTATGCTGGGGGAACTCGGTATTGTTCAACGCCTTGGGACGTCTTTCCGCCGTAAAAGGCAATATATAAAAGCAATTTGTGTTGTCGTTGGAGGTTAAACCAAGGTCCCATCTATCTGGCATTACACAAAAAGGGAAGGAAATTTCTCCCGACCAACAATCCCTCAGATATATATTGGTCACTCGTTTTGTGGCTGTTTGTGGGATATTTCTGTGCATAAATGGTTACTGTATTTTCTTACAAATATAGTTCCACCATTTTTCAATGAATTCTGTGAAGTGGTTTTAAGTTGTCTTGACAACATAAGATGCTACATCAAAGGCAAGGTTGTTATATTATCATCATTATTATATAAGTGTGTGCAATGTGTGTCTCTTCAAAAAACAAGTGTAACTTCTGATCTTTGCTTCTGTTTTAATAGAGAAAAGACGAGAGCCAGCACCACTAAATGGTGAGTATAACCGTCGCAAGACTATTGTTTAAGCCTTTGATAGTAAGTGGCAAAGGACTTTAGATTATTCTTTTCTTTCTGGAGAACGATGCTTCATTAATTGATTTGTTAGGTTAGACCTGTCTGTCTTATGACTGAAGGGAAACAACACCCCCATCCTCTCTTCTTTCTGCTGTTATAAACAACCATGGCATCGTCATCGTCCCCCCGCACACACACACCTTTGATTCTCTTCTCATTAAATTTCACCCCTATGGCTAGCTGCTCATCTCAGTGTCAATTGTGGGAGTTACACAAATTGTAGCATTGACCTGCATGACAACATTCTTAATTTCTCATGAATCTCCTTCTGTAAATCTCTTTAAGACCTTTCTTTTACATACAGGGCACTTAATAAATATAATTGTATCTCAATGGTTCAATCTAAAATGTGTAAAAGAATTTCTCTGGACAGTTGTCTTTCTCGCAAGGCAGAAACTGTTTTCCGATCATTCAAAACAAATCAGTTGGTGAGGCAACGATAAGGAAGAGGTGGGTAGGAAGTTCCTGGAATACTTCTTCAAATTTTACTGTGAATTAGTGCATGGAAGAATGGTGTAAGTGTCTGGTCACTTTCTGTCACTCTGTTTGGTTTGATAGTGAAGTATAGTCATTCAATTTGAAAGTGAAGTAGGGAATATAGCAGCAAAAAGCAGACACAATACACAGAATAACTTAATCCAGGGATTCAGATAATCTCCAAACTGCAAAAGAAGGTTTACAACTCAAATTAACTCTCTGCTTAGGTTATAATATATAGTTTGCACAGAAAAAGGCTGTTATGTAGCAAGCTGGGGAGTCCATAAGTAGGGAACATAGTATAAAATAGCGACCAGGGGATTTGAGAAATTAGGAGGAACTTATTCATGCAAAATGTGAATTTACTGCCTGAAGCGGTAGTTGAAGTAGATAATATGGATGCATTCTATATATCCACATGAGGGAGAGGAGAATAGAAGGATATGAGAAAGAGTAAGGAGTGGGTGTAGCCTCAGTGGAGACTGGAGAAACTGGGACTTTTTTCACTGGAACAAAGAAAGTGAAGAAGTAAGCTGATCGAGTTCTTGAATATTATGAGGGGTTTAGATAATAATAATAATCCTTGCATCATTGGAATCAGTGGGGAGAAATTACTTTCACTGGTCGGTGAGTCAATGTCTGAAGGGCATCAATTTTAAGACAGTTAGTAAACGAGCACATGGGGAGGTTAGGAGACATTTTTTCTACACAGAGTATTTAGGATGTGGAATGTCTTGCTGTGGGCAATGGTTGAGGCAAAATCCATATTAGCTTTTAAAAGGGAACCAGATAAATCCCTAAAAAAGAGTAAATCACAAGTGTATGGGGATTCTCACCAGCACTAAACTCCGTACCCCCATCACACCGGCCACCTGCATGTCTCTCATGTCCTCCATTCCACCATTGGGGGCTGCGCTTTCATCCGTTACACCCCGAAACTCTGGAACATACTTCTATCCCTCCACCTTGCCCCTTCTTCCAAAATCTTCAGATCATGAATGAAAACCTTCCTGTTTGACCATGCCTACAGTCACCTCCCACCAGCTCGGCATTGTACTCCACCATAGTTGAGCGCTATGGGACTCTATCCTGCATGAGAGGTGCAATATAAATGAAAGTTGTCGTTGAAAATGGGACTTTAAGAGAGTCAGCACAGACACAACAGAACAAATGGCTTGCAATTAGTGTGAGTATTGGGCTGTGTGCTGAAATGCAACAAACAGGAAATAAAAGTGGATGTAATGGGAAATGTCATTCACAGAGTAAATGCTACCTCCTTAAGTATTAAAGTTTATGCAAAGATAATTCTTTCTGATAAGCACTGTCAGGAAACGGTAATTTTCATTAGATGGTGAACTGCATCACTGGAGCGTATGAAGAAGGGGAAAAGCCATGGGGCGAGGCAGCATTATATGAACATTTAATAATAATAATAATAATAATCCTGGGATTTGATATAGCGCTTTTCACGTCGGGAGGACTTCCCAAAGCGCTTCACAGAACACACTGTGAAGTGAATTGACTGTATATTTGTGGGCGAACGCGGCAGCCAATTGCGCACAGCAATGTCCCACAAACAGTCGTAGATTGAAAATGACCAATTTATTATTGTTTTTTTTTTGGAGGGATTATTATTAGGCGTGTGGAGTAAGGAAACTTGCCCAAGGTTTCGCCCTGCCTGGAATTGAACTCAAGTCTCTCGCTTGCAAAGCGAGTGCTCTAACCACTAAGCTACAGGACTCCACTAATGTATTTTTTTAAGTTGTACATTCCTGAAGCTTCAAAAAACATTGACCAGAATAAGAGGATAAAGAGGGATTAAGTTGGGGTTTAATGGTGACGCAAAATGCACTTGCTTGTAATTTCTTTGGATATAGTGTTTTCTGGTTCTGGACTGCAGGAGCCAGCAAGGTCAAATAAAATGAAATGCTGTGATTTGCATTGGCCTCAAAATTAAACGTTTGGGAGCAGAGAAGTGATCTGAGGCTGACATTTGTCAGGTCACGTGAGATTGAGCTTCTGTGCCGAGGAGTTGAGTTGTAGTCTTATCGTTTGTCTGAATCCTGTCAGAAAGTGAACAGTGGCACGATGTTCTGCACTGCGTTTTCCACTACATCGGAGGGTACTGACTTTAGCGCCAGTGGATGTTTTGCACCTTTCTATTGCCACGTTGTGCCAGAGGATGAGCTTTACGTGCCTCTGTCGTCCTCTTGTTGTGGGTTTTCAACGCCTGATGGAGAAATGGCTTATTTAATGATGGGGAGAATTCTGCTTGATGTTAACATGGCTGTGCTGGAAAATGTTAATGTGAATTGTATTGCTACTGCATGCATTCCATACACAGAACAGAGAAGATCTCAAATGAGAGGTATGCTTTCCCCTCTAGTCTCGTGCCTTCAATGAAGGCTTGCTACTTCTGCCCGGTTCTCCATAAATGTCTATATCATTGAGCCATATGATCAGGAAGATAAAGATTGTGCTTAAATTCATTCTCGATTTGGAAAAGCTTCTGAGAAAGACCTAGCCAGGTTCAAAAATGTTAAGAATGAATGTCAAAACTGTACTTAATTGAGAGTACTCCCCAGAAACAGGGTGCTTCCCTCCAGGGAGAGTGTGCATTCATTCCAGACACAGGGAAATGTCTATGTGTTTGTGCCAACCATGTGGAACTCTTGTCTAGTTTGGAGGAGTATAGTGACAGGTTAGTTTCTACAATTGTGTCCAAAGAAAACTTTAAGGGCATTAGTTTGTACATTTTTCTCTTCCCTCATCTTCCAGTGCATTGTTAACAGTTCTGCTCAGTGACGACATCAAAGTGCTATCGGTATGCTTAATATTGGCATTGAAACAGCAATGCAATAAAGAGTTGAAACACTGGCAAATTGCATCAAAATTCAAATATTTTATTAAGATAAGTCGCCATGGCCCGTTTTCTTGAACTCTCCTCTTAAATCCCTCCACCTTGCATCTTACAAGAAAACGTACCTCTTTGACCGCATATTCAATCATCTTTCCCCTCCCCATTCCCCTCGGTTCTCACTCCCAGCTCGGGTGCCGAGCTACTAGTGTCAAGTCAAGTCCTTTGAGTCTTCCTCTTGACATGAAAGGCACTGTATAAATGTAAATTGTATTATATCCCTTTCTGTTTTCAAATCCCATTTAAATTTAACATCTTTGATAACTCCTTCGGTCATCTTCCTCTCCTTGTCTTTTGCCATCTCTTCCCTCCCCCTGCTCAACCTCCCACTGCATCTCTGTGAAGTTCTTTGATTTAACTTCGGAGAATGTGCAATATAATTGGAAGCTGTGGTTGACCTCTTAACTCAATTCCAAGGATCAGTCTTTGTACAGTTATACACTGACTGCAAATTGCTTTACAAAATCAAGCTTAAATTTGCTGTCCGTGGTGGCCTGATATCATTCTGGACGAATGTTTTTATTCACAAATAAACTGTTTTACATCTGTGATCTTTAACTTTGGTTAACCTTTCAAATGTCAAGCCATGAATTATTTTGAAAAGCAAATGGCATAGCTAATAATAATAATAATCCTTGCCTTTGATATAACGCTTTTCACGTCTTCTAGACGTCTCAAAGTGCTCAAAGTGTATATTTTGTGGGCGAAACGCAGCAGCCAATTGCGCACAGCAGTGTCCTACAAACAGTCGTGCATTGAAGTGACCAATTTATTATTTTTTTTCTTGAGAATTATTATCAGGCGTGTAGAGTAAGGAAACTTGCCCATGGTTTCACCCTGCCAGGAATCAAACCCAGGTTTCTCGCTTTTGAGGCGAGTGCTCTAACCACTGAGCTAGATACTTGGAATAAGGGATTTTAAAACAAATGGGAACCGTTGAATAGGAAAGTGGGATTAAATAGGTTGGCTTGCAAGCACTAAAACACCAGTGCAGACTCGATGGGCCAAATTATCTCTATCAATGGTGTACCATTCTATGAATTGCTTCAAAACACCCAATGTTTTCTCGCAAAGGTGCATATTTGGCCACTGCAACAAAATATAATTTGAGTACAGTTGGCACGTCTATGGGACATTTGATGTTTGGAGGATGTCTCAAAGTGCTTGACCTGCTGTCTGGACGCCCAAGCTGGGTTGGGAAAGTGAGGTCAAAAAATGTGTCTGATCATATAGTATTCTTAATTATGTTTGTCCTAGGGCCTTCTCTTCCTATGGCTACAGTTGACATCAAGAATCCAGAAATTACCAATTCTCGATACAGTACAGGGCCCAACAATATTATGCATGTGAAAGATAAGAAGAAAGTAAAAGGTAAAAAGAAGAAATTGACGAAGGCAGATATTGGAACACCAAGTAACTTCCAGTAAGTGTTTTTAATCATTCACTATTTATAAATGTTTTTTTCATCCACTCATCAAGTGTACAATCTAGCTTCACAGGCATGAGGACTCTGCTGAGGATAGGTGAGGGTTGTCTAGGCACATTCAGTACATTCCTATTAAATATGTTAGGATTTTCAAAACTTTAACTATAAAGCACTTCATTCGAATGTAAGTTCACTTATGGATTGAGGAGTGGATCCCGATATCTACTTACCTAACAATCCAAACGTTTAAAGCCCCTCCGCATCAAGACTGGGGGAAGACAAAATAGCTGACTTCCAGACCATCTGGTCACGTTTTACACCCTATATATGTGTAAGAGCACTGAGAATGCAGAAATGCTGATCACACTTCAGTTTTGTGTTGGTTTGTGATTTTGTGCATTCCACCAACTGCATTGTGGTATTGCTCTGCTGCAGTAAGGCAGGCAAGCATTTAATCCAACTCACAACTAATCAATGTCCTAAAAGATTTCTTACACACATCTATCTACTCATCTAATAATCCTGAATAGTTTTCAGGAATTTGTCTGGTTCCTCATTCCAATTCTGTGCTGTGACATAATAAAAATAATCCTTTCATTTGATACAGCGCCTTTCATGTCAGGAGGATGTCTCAGTGCAATTCATGGGATTTACTATAAAGTGCAGTGACTGTGTGTTTTGTAGAAGAACATGATTTGCCCACAGAATGTCCCCAAAACAGCCACAAATTGAATCCCCAATTTTATTTGGGATAATGTTGGCCAGGACACTAGGAGAAACTCCCTTCTCTTTTTGCTATAATATTGCCATGGAATATTTAGGGTTCACCTAAACAGACAGACATATCTTTCAAAGCATGGCATCTCTGATAATGTTGCGCTCCCCAAGCACTGTTTCAAAGTGTCAGCTTAAAGTGTAAATTCAAAGTTCTGATATGTGGCTTGAATCCCCAGTCGCCACACTCAGGAGACAACACAAAATGGTCCATTTCCATCCCGCACTACATTTGAAGGCCTAGAGATCCATCAGCATTGCTTGTCAAGCTCGCCAGCCACCACATACAGACACAAAGAGAGACATATACACACACACAGACAGTCTCACAGAGACACATACATAAACTCACACACAGAGACACGCTCACAGACAGAGAGACACACAAACATTCACAGATCGAATGACACACACTCAGAGAGCGCACGCACACAGACACAGAGACACATACACACATTCAGAGACACTCACAGAGACACATTCACTCACAGAGACACACACAATCACATTCACACCCTCACAGACACACACGCGAATACATACACACATACAGACACACACCTACAGAGGAGAAAGACAGACACACTCACAAGCAGAGAAAGACACACACACATTCACAAACACACATACAGACGGAGGAGAAAGAGAGATACACTCACAATCGTACTCACACATACAGAGGAGAGAGAGACACACAGATAATAAGAATAATCCTTGATGAGTTAGGAACTGCATCAACCTACGTTGCTGCTTTCAGGAGACAGGACAGAATAAGGATTTCGTAACTCCTGTTAATCTATTAATCTCCAAAGTATAAATTTTTTCCCCAATGTAAACAGTGGTTTCAGTGTTATACTATGTATTTCTAGACTGTTTACAAACTATTAACAAGAGACAAACTTTCATTTTATGTTTCTATCCTGCAAACGTACACTGAGTTTTACATGTTCTCTCCATTACAGGCATATAGGACATGTTGGCTGGGATCCAAACACAGGTTTTGATGTAAGTACATTTTGAGATGCTTACCCATTTCCCATGCAAATATGGAACTCTGAATCTGAAGTCTGGCATTTCCTCATGAGTCAGGCCACCAGCTGACCCAAAAAAACAAACTAGATGATGCAGGTTTGTGTTTTACTGAACAGGATTTAAAGCTTAACCACCCTGACAGGTCAAATAACAAAGGGCAAGATCACAAATAAATTGGAGAATGTTATATATCCATTCACAAAAAAGAATGTTCTTGGATTTCTGATGTAGAGTGATTATAAGGATTAATCAAAGTCTGACTGACTGCTGCAGGCAGTGCCCTGTTGTCTGTCATAAATCTTCAAACTGTCAAAAAGTTATCAAGACCCCAATTTTTTAGTCATGCTGGGATCTGTTGATACAAAATTTTCATAATCCTTGTGTTTGATGTAGCACCTCATCACGTTGTACAGTGCACAGACGGCTTCACTGGATTCACTATAAAGTGTTGTGCAGACAGACATGGCAGCCAGTTTGAGCAAAGTAATATCCAACAAACAGCCATTGAAGTGTATGACCAATTTTAAACAACAATTTACATTTGTATAGTGCCTTTCATGTCAGGAGGATGTCCCAAGGTGCTGGACAGTCAGGGATCTGCACCCGAGCTGGGATGGGATTGGGAAGGCGGGGAGCGTAGGGGTAGGAGGGTAACCAAAGGCACGGTCAAAGAGAAGGGTCTTGAATCAGGCAAGGGAAGGGCCGAGGCGGAAGGACTGGGATGGAGTTCCAGAGGGTGGGGGCAGAGAGTCTGAAGGCCCGTCCACCAATGGTGGGGCAGGTAAGGCAAGGGACTTGAGCAGACCGGAGCCCTCTGAACGGAGGGAGCGGACAGGTTGGTAGGGGGACAGGTTGGTTGGTAGGAGCAGGGTCATGGAGGGCTTTGAAGGTGAGGACCAGGATCTTGAACCTTATCCTCTGAGTGACAGGGAGCCAGTGGAACCAGGCGAGGATCGGAGGCGACATAGTCGCAGAGCCTGGTGCGGGAGAGGACAGGGGCTGCAGAGTTCTGGATGATCTGCAGGCTGTGGAGGGAAGCTTATCAAGAGGAGTGTTGCCAGGGCACCGGGAGAAACGCCCTTTTCTTTTTGAATAGTACCACAGGATATTTGCTGTTCACCTGAACAAGCACAGGTGGGACCTCGGTTTAGAATCTCACTTAAAGGATGGCACCTCTAACAATCCAGCGCTCCTCCAATAATGCATTTGGAATTTCAGCCTGGACGGTGAACTCAAAGTCCTGACAAACAACCTTCTGAATCTGAGACGAGAGCACTGCCATCATTGTAACATCTCACCCGAAGGACGCCACCTCCAACAATATAACGCTTTCCCCACAGCTCCCCTCCACCCCATATAGCACTACACCAGACTGTCACCTTAAGACTACGTTTCTAAGTTGCAAAATGGGGCTCGAACCCACAACCTTCTGACTCAGAGGCAAGAGCGCTGCCGACTGAGCCAGGCAGACGCAAATTGTGGGCATATTAATGTAAAATAAAATTCCTGCAAAACTTTACATAGAATTTAGACACAATAATACAAAAAATCCATACAATAAATTGCAAAATTTTCAGTCGCCCTTTTTTTTTAACCGCCAACGTTCCCCGTGTGCACATGGGTAGAGTTGTTGCTGTCACAAATGCACCCATGAGAAGCCATTCCCCTCTGCAAAGTGCTATTCATGGTATGTGAAGGGAGGTTGGTTGGCCTCTTCGTCCACAGCTAGTTGATCTTTATCTTTTGGTTGCAGGAACACAATGCAGGTAAGGCCCAGATCATTGTGCTCAAACCCATCAGCAATTCTTAGTGCAATTCTTAATCCTTCTCCAGACTTTCTGTTTTCAGCCTGGGTTGTATTCTGTGTGAGGTGTGCTATGTACCTGCATGTTGTTGTTTTGGTTGTTATTTCCATTGCGAATAGAAACAAGAAGAATGAACACAAGCCGGAGCAAGTTTGTGTCTCAGGTCTATGTAAGGCACTCGGTGCCATGTATTCTCCCATTTATCTGCACATTATGTGCATTGGTAATGAATAATTCGCTGGCCTTTAATAAATCCTCCCATCAACTTGTGTCTACACACACAATCAGGAAGACAGAAGAAGCAGTGATATCTGGTTATAGGTCTAGCAATGTCCATTTGAATATGTGTTATACTAGGAATGAATAGTTTTACTGAGCTATTAATGCAATAGAGCATATTAATTGGACACATGCCAATTATCAAGATACTGATCAAGATGAGGGGGTGAGGAGCCACTGGAGCCGAGTGAGGACTGGGGATGCAAGTCTCATGGAGCTTGAGAGAGAGCATGGGCTGCAGAGTTCTGTATTGATACAGTTAGCGGCAATACCATGTACATAGCAGTCTGTTAATTTATATTCTGGAGTGAAATCTTCTATTGGAGGAGAGACGATTGTAAAAAAAAAGGGTTAGAATCAGTGAAATAACCATATTTTTTGTTCTTTATTTGCAGCTGAATAACCTGGATCCTGAACTGAAGAATCTATTTGACTTGTGTGGGATTTCTGAATCCCAACTGAAGGACAAAGAGACGTCCAAAATCATATATGACTTCATTGAGAAGAAAGGGGGAGTTGAAGCTGTGAAGAATGAGTTGCGCAGGCAAGGTGAGTTCACCACGGTAGTGGTATGTGTGCCGGCACTTCACGGTGTAGAGTGTCCAGGGATTTGTTCGATTTCTGTGGATTGTTTGCTGCAATCATACTGCCTCTTTCCTGAATGCTGCAACAGGGCATCAATAAAACTTGAATAAACTCAAATGATCCTTTAGGTTTTTAAGTCAAGCGTTTGTAGCCCCACATCGAACCTGTAAGCAGATTAGTCAGCAGAAAGCAGTTAAGAGTTTCCAGGCTGGATGTCAAATCAGTGTGCCGGATATTAATCCTGCAGTTACTCAGAGTTAGACACATAAATTCTGGGATAGAATCACAGAAATTTACAGAACAGAAGAATCGGCCCATCGTGTCTTTGCCAGCTCCCTTGAGAGTAATCCAAGAGGAATTGGATGGATATTTGCAAAAGAAATTGGGGGATGGGAAGCGAGCAGCAGCGTGGGGAGTTAAAGAAATGGAATCAATGGGGATGTTTAAAAGAGAGTTATTCAGATAGTTAGGGGTATTAAGGGCTAAAGCATAATAATAGACACTGGGATTGAAATAGCTGCTGCTGATAAACTGGAACAGTTTATCAATGATTTCTTTACACAGATTTAAATATACTGACAGTCAACAGCGCAGAAAACAAGGCATCAACCAAACCAGTTAATGTTGGTGTTTATGCTTTACATGAGTCTGCACATACTCCTTACTTCCTCCCACAGCCTTCTATTCCCCTCTCCCTCATGTGTACATCTAGCTTCCTCTAAAATACATCTAGATTATCTAATTCAACCACAGCTGCAGCAGCGAGTTCCACAATCTCACAATCCTCTGTGTGAAGTAGTTCCTCCTAAATTATCTGCTCGATCCCCTTTGTCACTATGTTATATTTGTGTCCCCTGGTTACGGACTCCCCAACCAGTGGAACAACCTATTTATGCTTATCGAACCCTTTTATTATTTTGAACACCTTTATTAGGTCATCTCTCAAACATCTTTTCTTTTGTGAAAAAGGTGTAACCTATGAGGTCTATCCTGATAACAGTAACGCACCAGCCCTGGTATCATCAGCCTCTTCCTGTTCCTGTTTCCATATGTGGTGAACAACACCAGTGTAGGTTTGAATGGCCAAATGCCCTGTTTCCTTACTGGCACCATTTAAGGATGGCTCTGCTTCAGGATACGTGTTGAGACAAAGTCAGAAGCTCCAATATTGTCTTCAGTGGGCTAGGGGAAAGGGACATCTGAGAGGCAATTATATCTGGTGCTCACTGAGACCACAAGGGGAATTGGCAGCATTAAATGTAGGATTGAGGCTTTCAAACCACTAATTTTAAACCAGGTTTCAAATCAATCATTCTACCAATCTCTGCAACCTCCACAAAACCACTCGTTCCTTCAGCTTGTCTCACATCCACTGCTCCACCATTGGCGGTCAGGCTTTCAGCATATCTGCCCCCACGTACTGGAACTCCATCACAGTTCATTCGCCTCACCCCTTCCCACGGCTCCACTTCAAGACCTTTGTCTTTGATTGAGCTCAGGTGCGAACCCTAGACTCTCCAATGTCTTGCAATATCCTCCCAGCATGAAAGGCGCTACATAAATGTAAATTTGTATTGTATTGTGCTCTTTATCTGTATGGTAGATTGCGGGTTGGTCAGCCTGGGTAACCACCACAAAGTGAGTTTCTTTCTCTCCCCTTGTTTTCATCCTGCTAGGTGCACCACAGTGGTTCGGTAGGTGGGACAAGCAAAGTGTGTCTGTTTGTGCATGTACAGTAGAGAGCCCGATATCCTCACCAACAACACCAGCACCTTTCTGATCTGAGATCAGGTCATCACACAGTGCAGTACACGGTGCTAGCCAAACACTTCTACCGGGAGTTATACTGTCCCTCCAATAGCACACAGTGACATACTTTCTCCGTCTCCCCACACAGTTCCCCCTTACTCACCAACACAGTGACAGCCATCTCTGTCTTCCCACAAAGTCCCCCTTCCGCCAATGTGGCCCCTTTCTCTTGTCTCTCGTCTATCTTTCTCTCCCACAAATCTTGCACCCTACCCAGTTCCACCCATCACCCCTCGCTCTTCCATCACCTACAGAACCAGTAGGCGATTTCTGCTGACATTATTTCGAGATATCGCTGCATCCAGTTAAGCAGGTCTGAGGTTGTATGGCTTATGGATATGGGGCTCACTCCAGGAGTTGACGGCTTGTGTGAATCGAAATGTAACCTGTTTTCCTAATCTGTTTGCATCTACTGAATAGCAGAGAGGTGTGTGTTAACTGCAAGAAATCTTTCCCAATCTTAAACAATTTTCCTTAACGCTTCAGTCTGTGATGATCTGTTTTATTGTATGTGAGGTCCTTAGTGAAGGATCCATTTTATTGTGAATTTTTAGTTTGTATAATGTGTTAACATCCTCTCAGCCTTATTCTGAACTCTTTCAGCCCCAGCAGGAAATCCTACTTAAAAGGAATTGTGTGCAATAAGCAGCAAACCAATCCTGTTTATAATAATCCTTAGATTTGATACAGGACCTTATCACGTTGTGTAAACGTCTCAAAGCTCTTTACAAAGCTCTGTATAGTGCTTGCTGTGTGTGTGTGTGTGTGTGTGAGAGAGAGCTGAGGCATTGTTCACTCTATCTTTCCAGCAGATGGCGTCTGATTGTAGGTCACACACCAGAAAATGTTAAATGTGACCTAATTTTCAAAGCAGGTCTGCAGGAATTATTGGAATGATTATTACTATGAGCTGAGATTTCGCATTCCAAATAGGAGATTAAAGTCACTTTATGTGTGAACTAATATTTTATCACAATCATACGTAACACTCTTCCTGCTCCATTAAACTATTTCTTGGTGTTTGTTTGCCTTCTGCACTTCCTGTGAATCTTTATTCCTCAACGTTAGTTGTCATTCAGTATTAATATCCTCAGTTCAGCCAAATAAAGCCCTGTTTCAGTATAACTTATTCATTTTTGGTTTGCATCAGGTATTCAGGTATTTCAATATATTTTGATATATATTATATTTGATGTATTTTCTTAAATGGAATGTTAATTAACACAGCTCTGTTAATTACCTCAAACCGCTTGGCTTTTCTTCCTGCTCGGGACCCTCACTTTCAGCCACTAACTTCTGGAACTCCCTGCCACTATCCTTGCCCCAACTTTGCCCATCTTCAGATCACACCCGAAATGTTCCTCTTTGATTGTTCCTATGGTTACCTCTGCTTTCTCCCCGGCTCGGAGTCGAGCTCTGCCATTGATCATTGCTGCAAGATGCTATCCACCATGGATGGTGCTGTTTCAATACAAGTTGTTGGTACTGTGTTCAGAGCCATCCACAATTATCTGTGCTCTCTTGCTTTTGAATTACGTTTTGTTCCTTAAACTGCCCAATTCTCAAATTTGTATCTGGAATAATTGTTTCTCCCACTCTGTTTCAGCTCCTCCACCACCTCCACCATCCAGAGGAGGTCTCCCCCCACCCCCACCCCCACACAGCTCAGGACCCCCTCCTCCCCCACTCCCTCCCGCTCGGGGCCGAGGAGTCCCTCCCCCTCCCCCTCCACCCCCTTCAAGAGCTCCTTCAGCAGCCCCAATAGCAGCCCCCCCACCTCCGCCACCTTCCAGATCAGTAGTGGGCGCCCCTCCACCACCTCCGCCCCCAAGCAGAACGTACACCCCACATCCACCCCCCCCAATGCACTCGGTTGCTGCTCCGTCAGGCCCTCCACTACCCCCTCCTCCCCCACCGCCTGCAGTTGGTGGTCCCGGAGCCCTGGCCCCCCCACCCCCACCTCCCCCACCTCCACCTCCTGGTCCACCTCCATTCCTGGCACCAGCAATGACATTGAACAACAATGAAATTCCTTCGCCGACCGGGGGAACGGGGGCCCTTTTGGATCAGATCCGGGAAGGGACTCATTTAAAGAAAGTGGACCAAAGCAGCCGGCCTGTGTCTTCCTCGGGAAGGGATGCATTATTAGACCAAATACGGCAGGGTTTTCAGCTAAAGACTGTGAGTACAATTTACACTTAGATAGTAACTTCACCCATCGTTAGTTACCTGAATTAGAATATCGTGTCCAGTATTGGTCAACCCACGTTAAGATCATCCCCGGTACCATTCATCTGCACCCTATCAGATGTAGATGAGATTTACTGGGCATCAGCAGCAGATGAGATTTACTGGGATGATTGGTTTGGCCTATGAGTGGATCTTGGAGGAACTAGGACTTTTTCCATTGGAACCAAGAAGATTGAGGGGTGACCTGATCAAGGTATTGAAAGTTATCAGCGGTTTTGATAGTGAGAGAAATTATTTCCACTGGCTGGTGAGTCAGTGACTGGAGGGCATCAATGTAAAATAATAAATGAGCAAATGGGGAGGTTAGGAGACATTTTTCACAACAGAGTATAGTAATTAGGATGTGGAATGCCCTGCTGGGAGCGGTGGTTGAAGCAGGATCCATATTGCCGTTCAACAGGGAGCTAGATAAATGCTGAAAAAGGACTGAAAGGATTGCTCTTGAACGAGCCGGCAAGATACGATGGACTGAATGGTCTTCGAGCCTCTCAAAGCATGTCATGAAGGCGATGGGCAGCAGAAGGAAAGGAGGTGGGATTGGAAGGTGTTAACCAACGACACAAAAACATATTTTTCAGGAGGGTTTTAAAGACTGACAGTGCTGGATAAACCTGGTATGCAGCACTGGACTTGGAAGAAATTGAATATTATTGCCCTCAGTCTGTGAGCAGGAAAGTGGGAATACATTAGGTGGGTATTGTGGAGAAATAAAGTAGTGTAGACTTGATGGGTCTAAGCTCTAACATTGTAAGATTCTATGATAAATTGACATCCTAATTTGTCTTTTTTAAATTTCCATATTAACTAAAAATATCAGACAAACTACTTAGGAGGTAGGAGCAACTACTTCAAGCAATGGGTAGTGAGAATGTGGAACTCACTTCCTGAAGCTGTGGTTGGGTTGAAGCAGATAATAAAGATCCCTTTTTTTAAAAAAAGGAAGATATACACAAGAACAACAACAAATTACATTTGTATAGTACCTGAGGAAGAAGTGAACAGAGGGATATGGCAGGGAGTAAGGAGAGGGAAGACTTATAAACACCGGCAAGGCAAGTTTGAGTCAAATGGCCTATTTCCGTGCTGTACAGTCCATACATTGATAACAAAGTATAGCTGAGCCACACTTCGGCAGAGCCACACTACAAAATTCTATGTAGATCTTTGCTTGAATCCAAACCAGCAATCCTGTGTGCCTGAGCACTTGCATTGTGACTTGTATCAATCACACAGCAATCCCTTTATACATGTCGCTAACGGTTCGAATATGTTTTATATGTCACTAACAAATGGTGCACTCATTGATCCTCAGGTAAATGAGCAGGATTCATCTTCACAAGCACCTGCTTCGACAGCTGGGATTGTAGGCGCCCTGATGGAGGTGATGCAGAAAAGGAGTAAAGCCATTCACTGTTCAGGTAAGCTTGTATGAAGCTGACATTCATCACTACAGATCCAGCACAGTCTAAATGCAAATGAAGATTGTGGCATATAAGACCTGTGTCATCTTAAGCACGGTAGTGGTTTCTTTGTGTGTCATACACCCGGCTGATCACGGTGACACACGTGTAAGACACCCGGCTGATCACATTGATTGGTTTTCGCATGTGTCAGACACCCGACTAACTAAAAACAAACCAGCCATCAGTGATCAATTGTGTTTTGAAACAAAGCAGCTAAAAATATCTTCACTTTGTTTGGTTTGTTTTCTAGATGATGATGAGGAGGACGATGAAGAGGAAGACTCTGATGATGATGATGAATGGGAAGATTAGAGTTTCTCCGTAAATTTGCCCCATCTCTCTTGACTCCTGTAAAAATAAGTCCTGTAAATGCTCGGCTGATTCCGCTGTATATTTTTGTTGCCTTCTACTTTTTTTAATTAATCTGTGCAATATGATTAATTGGGGGGGGGCGGGATTTGACTAAGCATTGTCTGTGAAGCTACTCCCTATGCAGAATTTGGTTTGAAAAAAAAGCAGACAAAAAGGATTAAAAACAAATGGTTACTACATTGCGAAATCAGGGGCAGGGACTGCGAGACAATAAAAATGACATGCACATTAATTCTGACTGTTTAAAAAAAGCCAGGCAAAGTAACACTATTTTTTTGAAAATCAATCATTCTGTACCTAAGAAATAACACTTGTTAAAAACTTTAGCTTTAGCACTATACAATTTTTTTAATGCAGCTCTTAAGATACTCTGTCCATTCACCTGCTTAATTGGCAAAGAAGCTATGGAGAGAATTTGCACAGTTCTTAAATCTTTCACAACAAGAATGCCCAGAAACTGCTTTGCGGATATTCCCATTTGAGTCTCAGTACACTCACTCAGCAACAACCTTATCTTCGGTGGTACACTACAGAGAAGCAATAACTCACAATTATTTGTTACCAGTGTCTTATACTGCATTCAGCATCACTACATCACAACTGCTCCACTCACTGAAATCTCCTCACCTGTGGTGTCCATTGCATTGCACCCCTGGCTGCTCCAATATATACTGAAGACGAGGTTGTTTGTTACAAATAGGAATCTGAGTCCCTATATTAGAACTATAAACCGAAACTTTGGGGGTCAAAGGTAATTTTAACCCTCATTGCAAGCATTTGTTCCATTTAAGAGTTCCTATTTATTCAACAGTGTAAAAGATCAATGGGAAATGGCCCAATATTGCAGTTGGAGGCTGCAATTTGGAATCTGGGTTTGTTGATCTGTGCTTTAAACTTCTTCAGCCTGTACTGTTGGGAACCGTTGGCCTGGGGTTTGTATCTAGTCCGGCAGCGGATCTTGGGGGTTGATGCCGTTCCAATATGGTCTTCTTGATGTCGCGGCGTCAGAATTCAGCACCGAACTCCAAGACATGTTCGCAAATATGGAATGGAACTTATTAGCTAAAATGTACTCCTGAATAAATGTTCAAAATTAACCAAAATGTTTTTGTTTTGAACTTTGTGGCTTTTTGTTTTGTGTTCTCATTTCACTCACGCCAATATTGGAGCATTATAACTTACAAATACTTGGTCGTGAGTTAACTGCATGCTCTGGAATATAACCATCACCTCAGCAGGTTAAATGTGTTACCCTGGCTCAGTTGGTTGCACTCTCGCCTCTGAGTCTGAAGGTCATGGGCTCAAGCCTCAGAGGTCATACAGTCTTAAGCCAGCGTGGTGCAACATCGGGTGATTTTTTCCGGCCCGCCACCATTCCAACTGCCGCTCCCCCCGTCTCTGGTAAATGCCCTCCCAGGGCAGTGGTAGGAGCCGGCAGTTCAGAGGATGCAGAGAGACTTGACTGCAGTCTGTCAGGAAGGTAAGGAAGGCGGGTCACTATTTGCAGCAGCAGGACTAAGTTACTTAGGACGTGGTTGGTAAGAGATTCACTTGCCTTCCTGACAGACTGCAGTGATGGTCGGTATTTCCACTCACTGTGCTGCATCCTCCCAACCGCTGGCTCCTAACGCTGCAATGGGAGGAAGTTCACCAGGGAGGGAGGGAGCGGAAGTTGGAATGTTGGAAATAGTCGCAGGCTGGATAAAATCACCAGCCGGGCCGGGAAGCCGGCTCGTGGCAGCCGAAAGGTTGGAGCACCTTGGTTTAGGCTGATGCTGGGAAAGTGCCACATTGTCAGAGATGCTGCCCTTCGGATGAGACGTTAAACCATCTGTACCTGTTCAGGTGGACATTAAAGATCCTGTGGCACTATTGGAAAAGAGAAGGGAGTTATTCTCTTTGTCGTGGCCGACAATCCCCCAGATAAAATTGGTCATTCACTTCATGGCTGTTTGAGGGTCAAATGGGCTGCCTCGTTTGCCCACAAAAGACAGTAACTGCACTTTGAGATATTTTGACCTGATAAGGTGGTGTAAAATTGGAAAAGTAAAGTTGCATGAATGCACTTTGAGCATAAAAACTGATAGTGGTTTGAGCTGGTAACTGTAAATACAATACAAAATTACATTTGTATAGCGCCTAAATTAAGTTTAATTTAGAGAAATGCGAGGTACGACATTTAGGATGGCCGTTTGTGTGATATTACTGTGCCTGAATTTGCCTACAAATCACTTAATTAAATCCGGTTTCAATGTAAGGTTTATGTGCTGATGATGAATATTCCATGGTCTTTACCTACCCTTCCTCGCCCGTTTCACTGTCTCCCTTTCCTCCAGTACATTAGCAAGTCCTCATACTGGCCTAGCAAGTTCTTCCACGTTTTGCTTCTCATCATTGCAATCTCTTCCAGTTCTATTCTGTTCTGTATTGGCAACTCTGGGCTATTGCTCATTCCTCCATTCTATCCCCCCCGTCAGAGGCAACTACAGCAACTATCTGTCCCCTTTCTGGAACTGTCTCCCCCAAATCTCTCTATAAAGGAGGAAATTCCTCAAGACTGTTTTGGAATCTTTCAAATCCATCTGAACACGCAGAAGGGATTGCATTCAACTTGTCCTCAGGACAATGTCACTGGAGAGTCAAATGGACTGAGTTATTATTATCCAGTTGTCTCTCCAGTGGATCTTGAACCCATGATCTTCTGACCCAGAGGTGAGCTCCACCAACTGAACCAGGCTCATCCTTCTCTCAGTGTGTACAGCCAATTATTTTTTGCTGAATGCTAAAGAGCACAAGTTAGTGAATGTTTCTAAATCCATCGAAGGGTAAGATTTATAGAAATCGGTGGTTTAATGTTTGTGAATTTCCTGTGTGCTTCGGCTGGCTGTTTTAATGTGTCCTTTGGAATCTAATAGAATATTTGTAATATGATAATTATCCTTGCATTTAACATTGCACCTAATCAGGTCGAGGCGTCTCAAAATATACCATAGGATTTATTGTAAAGTGAGTGATTCTATTTTTCAGGTAAATGTGGCAACCAATTTACATCAGTAACATTCCACAAACAGCCATGAAGTGAGTGACCAATTTTATTTGGGGGATTGTTGGCCTTCTCTGGAGACTCCCTTATCTTTATGAATTATGTCAAGAGATCTTTAACAGTCACCTGAGATGGGATCTCAGTGTAACATCTTGGTTTAGTAGCTTATCCAAAGGATGACACCTCCAACAATACAGCGCTCCCTAGCACTGCACTCGAACATCAGCCTAGGCTGTGAGTTGGGAGTCCCAAAGTAGGGCTTCAACCCACAACCTTTGGATCCAGTTAATTGATCTTGCAATAAGACCACATTTCCACAGCTAGGTTTACTACACTGTAAAAATGCAATGTGTCTCTCTCTTTCCACTTTTCCACACACTTTTTAAGTCAACTTTTCAACCACATTTTCAGTCATCTCTGCTTCCCCCACCCCTGGCTGGGGCACCCATTCAGCTGCATAAAGTAAATATCCCTTTTGAATTTCTGAATTAAGAAGTACCAGCGTGTAACATCAGAATTGATACCAGCATGTAGTGACACTCTGTAAAGTTACCCAGATCAGTATTCATTCATAGCTAAAGGATTGTGTTACTCCACATGCCTCTGTTTACTTAGCAGTAAGTAGAAATCTGATTGTTAGTCGATTGGTGGATCGCTTTTCTGGGGATAATAATCCCCCCTAAAAAACAACAATAATTTGGTCACTCAATTCACTACTGTGTGTGGGACACTGCTGTGTGCAATTGGCTGCTGCGTTTTACCCACAAATGTAATTCACTTTACAGTATATTCTGTGAAGCGCTTTGAGACGTCTGTAAGACGTGAAAAGCATTGTATCAAATGCCATTATTCTTAAGTTTTATGGTAAAATTATAATAATAATCTTTGCATTTGATACAATGCCTTATCGTGTCATTGAAACGTCTCAAAGCTCTTCACAGAAGTTACTGTAACATGTAAGGACTGTATGTTTTATGGATGAACGCAGCAGCCAATTTGCACACAGCAATGTTCTGTACACAGTCATGAAGGGGGATTGCTGGCCAGGACACCGGGAGAAACTCCCTTCTCTTTACATCCCTGTGTAAACAGGCATGGATAGAAAATTGACTGAAGAACAGGAAACGGAGAGAGTGGGGCAAATACAATGTTTTTCTGATGTAAATAGTAGTGTCCCAAAGTGCTTAGTATTTGGGATCATTGGTGTACTCTACATAAATGTCAGGAACTCAGGTTTGTCCATAACACTTCATATCAACAATACTCTCAATAACTATGTCAATGCGGATCAGTTGGTTGCTCTGAGTCAGAAGGTTTGAGTAAAGCGCTCTGTGAGGGGCGCTGTATAAATGCAAGTTGTTGTTGTTTGTAAGTTCAAATCCCAAATCAGGACTTTGAACTCACAGTCAGGCCGACACTCCAATGCAGTGCTGAGAACGTGCTGCTTTGTTGGAAGTGTCGTCCTTCAGATTAGACGTTTAAACCGAGGTCCCATTTGTGCCTGTTCAGAACGATCTTGCAGCACTATTGAAAAAGAGAAGAAAGTTTCTCCCTCCAGGTGTCCAGACCGACAATTCCCCAGATAAAATTGGTCACTCACTTCATAACTTTTAGTGGGGCATTGCTTTGCACAAATTGGGCTGCCTGCAAAATACAGTGAAGTGCTTTGAGTTGTCTTGAGAACATGGTAAGGTGCATGACAACCTGGTAAAGTGTTATCAAATGAAAGAATTATAATAAGAACAGTTTGTCAAACTCTGTCAACAGCACAGTCACAAATACCTTTTCTGGTCGACCTTTCTTGACGCGCAAACCGTTCATGACTGGAACCGTAACTGTTTGCAAAAGCAAGTTAAAGCCAAAAATATCAGCAACAAACATAACATGAACAGATGGAATTTCTCAGGGGACAATCAAGGAACTAATTTCTTGCCCACCCCACCATCATACACACACATACACTCACAGAAGAAAGAATGACCGCTATCTGGGTTATGGGTGAAAATTGCAAGGCTGATCCTTTTCAGGATGGAGCTGAGAGAATGCTGCAGCTGTCATTGTTTCAATCTTCTGAGTCACTGCTTTATTTATGTCCCCAGCATCCTCCCAATGGCAGCTGTAAACTCCAGCCCTCCACCCCCCCGATTTCATCCCCACATCGCAGGTCCCTGAATTCCACCAGGTCGTAGCCTGTTGTGAGTCTGTCCCGCCTTCAAATTTTCAGATGGAAGTCAAACTGGAAAATTCTTCATTCACGCTTACTTTTGAAAGTCGGTTAACTTTGTCCTTAAACGAATCGAGAATGAAATTTCCACAAACCTGCGAGTCCTTAACTTTTTTAAATACACAGAAAATGATGAGAATCCTCGCATTTGATTATAGCGCCTTATCACATTCTTTGAGATGTCTTGAAGCACTGCACTTTTACTGTTAAGTGCAATGACTGTGGGTTTCGTGCGGGAAGGCAGCAGCCAATTTGCGCACAGCAGTGTCCTACAAAAGGGCATGAAGTGAGTGACTGATTTTATCTGGGGGATTGTCGGCCAGGACATCAGGAGAGAGAAAATCTCCCATCTCTTTTCCAATAAGCCGAAAGGATCTTTAAGGTCCATCCAAACAGGTACAGAAAGGAAATCGGTTTAACATCTCATCTGAGGATGCAGTGCTCCCCCAGCACATCACTGGAGCATCAACCAAGACTGTGAAAGAAAGCCAGCCTTGTAACTCAGAAGTGAGAATGCTCCTGAGTGAGCCAGGCTCTAGTTATATTTGGAGAGTTGTCATAACATCAGAATGGTATGTGTTGGAGGCTGGGGACTCCTCCCTTCAAATAAAAGCCAATTTCTTTCCCTTAATGTTTTCCCCACACCTTTTGCTCACAAATAATACTCATACTCACACATACTCAGGTTCAATGCTCTTTTCACACACCTATACACACACACACACAAAAAAACTCTTTTCTGATCTGTTTGCACAGCTCAGGTTTCATTTCCAGCAAAGCTCGATGTTCTCGCACTAAGATTGGCCTCAGTGTAGTACGTGGGTTCTCTGTGCAGTGAAAACCTGACTCAGCTGAGAGGCAGAGAGAGGCCACTTTGTGGCTTGTGGTGGGATCTCAGTGACTCTGTGGGGACAGATCTGTATTTGGTCAATTCTATGAACAAACCACCACCAGAGATAAGCTCTCCCCCCCCACCCCCTCCCACACCCTCCTCCCCCCACCCCCTCCCCTCCCCTCTCTCTGTTGGCAATGATCGTGAGCGCTTCAGTGTAAGGTCTGTGGGTGACGAGTGTTACCCAAACTGGAAGATGTTTTCATACGTTGTTCCGGAGCCCTGAACTCATGACTCCCGGAGGCGTTGGGGCCACTCTTTAAAACCGTTCCTCGCAGCAGGTCCGGGAGTTGCACTGTGGAGCCGCATCGCATCGCATCGCATCCGCATCCCATCGCTGGTGAGACCATGTCTGGGTTCGGCTACAGACACGAGTTGGAGAAGTATGAGGAGATCGACGAGGATGAAATCCTCGCGTCGCTGACTTCCCGTGAGCTGGAGGAGCTGCAGAAGGAATTGGACGACATGGATCCGGACGACTGTGTGCCCATCGGTCTCAGGCAGAAGGATCAGACCGTCAAAACCCCCCAAGGCACCTTCAGCAGGGAGGCGCTGCTGGCTTACTGGGAGCAGGAGACCCACAAGCTGTTAGAGAAGGAGAGGTACTCTGCTGGACCAGAGCAGGTAAAACCACACCAACCAACCAGTGTGAACAGAATGCACTAACACCCACTTTGGAGGAAATAATAATCTTTGCATCTGATGCGGTGCCTTTCCCCGGCTGCGAGGACATCTTGTAGGGTTTTTCACTGCGAAGTGTAATGGTTGTGTGCTTCTCAGGGGCACGTGCACGCAGCCTTGTCCCACAAACAGCCACGCGACTGAGTTTCCGATTTTTTCTGGGCGCTTAACCGTAGAATTATGGAATTATACAGCACGGAAGGAGGCCATTCGGCCCATCGTGCCTGTGTTGGCTCTTTGAAAAAAAGCTATCCAAATCAATTTCACTCCCCGCGCTCTCCCCATAGCCCTGCAAACGTGTCCTCCCCAAATAATTAAACTCACATCTTATACTTACACAAGACGTAGAACACACGTCTTTGCTGTGTCAGAGGATCAGTCTGAGATGTGGTGAAGTTGTTGACTGGTAGCACGGTGGAAGAGATATGTTTTATAAAACAACAAAACTTGCATTTATATCGCATCCTTCACGCAGGATAGAGTCTCAGAGTTGGAAGGGTTTTGAAGGCAAGATAGAGCGAAGATGTGAGGCAAGGGACTTTTGGAATGAGTTCCAGAGCACATTATGGCTGACAGTTACTGAGAGAAAATTATCCAATTTAGCGTCACAAATTGATACATCCATGGGCATTAGTGGATAAATGCACACGTCTGTATTTGTAGATTACACCGAACACAAGGTTAAACATTGGAAAAGATGGCTCAACTTGTGACAATTGTGCGATCATCTAATTTGTGTTCGCAACTAACATTCTACCAATATAGTATAATAATAATCCTCATATGTGACATAACGCCTTAAAAATATATCTTATTACATTGTTAAGATGGCTCAAAAATTTACAAGAATTACTGGGAAGGGGAATGATTGTATTTGTACTAAACATGGCAATTGGTTTGCGCAACGAAATACAATTGGTATAAGCCTTATCACATCAGTGGGACATTTCAAGCAATTTCACAGGATTTACTGTAAAGTGCAGTGACTTTCGTTCGAAGGTGAATGCGGCAGTCGATTTGAGCACAACAACAGTTGTTTTTGTGACATTTAATAAAAATAAGAATGTAAATAATGTAACTTGGTAGCGAGGCTCATTTGATAGTGCTCACTCCTCTGGGTCAAAAGGTTCAAGCCCCATGTTGGGACTTTCAGCTCATGTGTCAGAGAGGCTGTCTTTCTGGTGAGACAATAAACCAAAGCGCTCATTCAGATGAATGTTAAAGACCCTGTTCGAAAAGAGAAAGGACTTTCTCTCTCCCGGTGTCCTGGCCCTCAATGTCCCAGATAAATGAGTCATTTTATCTAATAATAATAATAATCCTTGCATTTGATATAGCTCCCTATCACATCTTCATGACATCCCAAAGCCCTTCGCAGACTAAAGTAAATTGACTGCATATTTTGTGGGCAAAATGACTGTTTGTGGTCCATCTTTGTATGCATATTGTCTGCCGCTTTTACAGTCACTACACATGTCCGCAATCCCCCTTAGGAAACGTGTTGAGAAGCTTACAGGTTCAAATGCAAAAAATATTTTTGTAAATTAATTGTATCAGACTTTAGTGTATATTCCATGGGCGTTTTGAGACATCCTCCCAACGTGAAAGGCGCTATATCAAATGTGAGGATTATTTATAATCAACAACAAACTGCACCCTTTACGGAGGGTAACTCTAGGAGCTCTGCAAAGTGGTGGGGTTGGACCTGGAGTGAGAGGAAGGTTGACCATAGACAGCTGAACAGGTTGACATTAAGGCAGGATTTAAATGCAGATGGAGGGGACGAGGTAGAGGAGTACATGGTGGGAGCTCCAGAGCTGAAGAGTGTCTTGGCTGAAGGCTATAGGGAGAGTGTTTTCTCTTTGAGATTAGGATGGATTGCCTGTGTCGACTAGCACTGATGGTATCCATTCTCCATTTCAGGCCCAGGAAGATGAGGTGAGCAAAGAAGACAGTGAGGAGTATGAGAGCGAGAGTGAGATTGAGGGTGGAAAGTCAGAGAAGGAAGAACAAACCTCGGACGAGTCTGAAGAGGGTGGGAGCGATGAGGAAGAGGAGGAGGAGGGTGAATTTCGGAACACAGCAAAAACCTCAGACAGCCAACTCAGCGGCACCAAAGTTGCCAATAAATGTAACGGGCACGTGGATGATGGCCACAGCAATGATAAAGGACCGGCGTGGCACAGCAAGGGTCCGCCTGAGAGCCAGCTGATTCCCAAAGTGGCGGCCGGCGGAAACCCCAGGGTGGACATCGACGAGATGCTCGAGAGCGTGAGGAGCAATGACGTGGCGAGGATGGAGATCAACCTGAACAACATGGAGAACGTGAGCGGGGAGACTCTGGTGCAGTTTGCCCGAGCCATGGAGACGAACACAGCGGTCAGGAGTGTGACCCTGGCCAACACCCATGCTGACGACCAGGCTGCCATCGCCCTGGCCGACATGCTGAGGGTCAACAGGACCATCACCAATCTCAACGTGGACTCCAACTTCATCACCGGCAAAGGTATCCTGGCCATGGTCCGAGCCCTGCAGAACAACGAGGTGCTGACTGAGCTGCGCTTCCACAACCAGAGGCACATTTGCGGGGCTCAGGTGGAGATGGAAATGGCCAAGGTTCTCAAGGAGAACAGTACTCTGCTCAAGCTGGGATATCACTTTGAGCTGCCTGGTCCACGAATGTCCATGACCGCAGTCCTGACCAGGAACCTGGACAAGCAGAGGCAGAAACGCCTGCAGGATCAGAGAAACCAGCAGCTCGTGGAGAAACAGAACGGCTCTGAGGGAGCGATTGATCCCAGGGTCACTGCTTTACACAAGGACTCGTCCAGGTTTTCTCCATGTGCATCTCCCAAGAACTCACCCCACGCTTCCCCAAAAGTGGTCAAAAGATTGGGTGTTCCTCCACCGCCTCCCCCTCCCCCCCCTCCTCCACCTCCTCCCCCTCGTCCAACTCAACTCACGCTCACTCAGCCCCCTCCCCCACCCCCGCTGCCCAAGCACAAGTCCCCAACCAGAAACATCGCCGAGGCGATCAGGAGACAGGAGGACACTCAGACGAGGTGGTGCAACCGGCAAAGTCCCAACAGGAAGAAGGTCAAGGGCAGAGGCCACAGCAAAAAGCAGAGAGAGGAGAAGCAGAGAGAGGAGAATCACGTCCTGAGGGAACTCAAGAGCTCGCTCAAACCTATCACCGACCATAGGCCAGAGGAGGACTCCAGGCCAGCTACTCCACAAAGGACACGCCACGATGACCTCATGTTTTCCATACGCTCCAGCAGCATCAAACAGTTGAAACGGGTGAGTTATAACCGCAATAATTGTCTTTTCATTTGATACCACTCCTTGTCAAAGCTGTGCTCAAATCGGCTGCTACGTTTGCCCGCAGAATGCAGTCACAAACTTTACGGTACATCCTGTGAAGTGCCTTGGGAAGTCCTCCCGACCTGAAAGGTCCTGTACCAACTGTAAGGATTATTATTATTATTATTATTATATTGTCAAGATGTGTCAAAGCCCTTAATGGGATTTTACTGTCAAGTGTAGTGACTATGTATTTTGTGGGTGACCGCAGCAGTCAATTTTCACACAGGAATGTCTCACAAACAGTCGGGAAGCAAATGAGAGATTTTATCTGAGGCACTGTCGACCAGGACACTGGGAGAGAGAAACTCCCTTCTCTTTTCCAATAGTGCCATGGAATCTTTAACGTCCACCTGAACAGCACATAAGATCTCAAATTAAAAATCTCACCTGAAGTATCTCACCTCCAACAATGCAGCACCCCCCCCCCCCCCCACCCGACTGCACTAATAGTTATTAAACTAATAGAGTTCCAAGTCCAGTCAACAACAACAACAACAACAAGATTCCATTTATAGAGCGCCTTTCACGTCAGGAGGACGTCCCAAGGCGCTGCACAGTTGGGTCATGACCCGAGCAGGGGGGAAATGGTCAGGGTGAGGGAGGGAAGGGAGGGAGAGAGGAGGGGAAATGGTGAGGGGAGGGAAGGGAGGGAGCGAGGAGGAGGAAGAGAGTCGAGAGGGGAGCTGAAGGCACGGTCAAAGAGAAAGGTTTTGAGACCGGCCTTGAAGGAGGAAAGGGAGGAAGCAAGGCGAAGGCACTGGGGGATGGAGTTCCAGAGCCTCGGGGCTGAGAGGCTGAAGGCCCGACCACCGATAGTAGGGCGGTTGGGGCGGGGGACGTGGAGCAGACCGGAGCCAGAGGAACGGAGGGTACGGGCAGGTAGGTAGGGGGATAGTAGGTTGGAGAGGTAGGAGGGAGCAAGGCCGTGAATGGCCTTGTAGGTGAGGATGAGGATCTTGAAATCAATCGTGGGGATTGAACCTATAATCTTCTGACTCAGAGGCAAGAGTGCAAGTGACTGAGTCACACAAGTTGCATTGAGCTAGAATGTGGCTGAGATGGCAGTGACGTAGTAGGAATGAATGCTGCTGAATTTGTGGAGCCCAAAGAGGGGTTGGGATGAAGAGTTGCCTTCGGCCCATTAAACTTCATCCCTGCAGAAAATCCAACATCAGATTGAGAGGGAGAGAAGCTGGGGTAGAGGGACGGGTTCCAGTGTAGAGGGGCAGTAAGTGAAGGCTTGGCAGCAGCAGATGGTGGGACGGAGAGGGCATGGGCAATGTCCAGTAAACTTGAGTTCGCTGAGCAGAGGAGATCTGATTGTAAGATGGGAGGACCGCCAGGCTGACACAGCGCTCATGTTAGCCTGGCTCATCGGAGTCAGGCGGTTGTTGATTTGAGCCCCAGGTTGAGACGTTGAGCTCACATTCCAGGCTGATGCCTTAACACGTTGTTGAGTTGTCTCAAAGCGCTTTACAGAACGCACCAGCCAATTGCGCACAGCAGTGCCCCACAAATAGTTATGGATTGAGTGACCACATGATTATTATTATTATTTTACTTTGCAGGTCTCGCTGCCTGAATACCTGCGGTGAGGACACAGACTGTCTGTCTGCCCAGTGAGCAGAGGGAATGCCATTCTGTACAGAACGGAGTATTGAGTGTAGGGACAGCGCCTAATACTGACTGACTCCGGCTTTCTCCTGCCCTGAACCTCAGAGGAACATTGACGGCTATTCCAGACACCCAAGACCTGAAGTGCTGAGAGTTCTTTACGTGTGAAGTTATATTGAATTACACAGACTGTACAGCACAGAAACAGAGTGTTTGTCCCATCTAGTCCGTGCCACTGTTTATACTTCACTCAACCCGCCACCCTTCTATCCTTCTCTACCGTACACCTCTATTCACTTCTCCTGTATCCCTCTATTTGCTCTCATCAACCCCTCTATTCCTCTCTTCCTCACTTTTTCTCTTAAATCCATTGATGCTTTTTGCTTCAATCACAGCTTCTGGCAGGGAGCTCCACACTCACACTCTCTGTGTGAAGAAGTTCCTCCTAAACTCCCTATTAGATCTGTTACTGACTGGCTTATATTTACACCCTCCAGTTATGGACTCACCAACAACTGGAAATAGCCTATAACAACTACCTTATCCCTGTCCGATCTTTCCTGATAGCTGAGTCCACTCATTCCTGGGAACTTTCTTGTAAACCTACAGTCTTCTCTCAGCTGTAAATGAGTGTCAAGTGTATCTGTTTGTAATGAGAATAAGTTAGTAATTATGGTCTCTGATGCCTTGTTGCATCCAGCCCCACTGCATTCAAAGACAGTTCTCCTTTCCCATTCCTCTGTTTATTGGTCGTTGATATTGAGCCAGAGGAGGGTGGGGAATTCCTCTACTTCAACTAGGATATAGTCTGGCTCAGTCGCAGCACTCTCGCCTCCGAGTCAGAAGGCTGTGGGTTCAAGCCCCTCGTCGGGGACTTTGAGCTCACTGCCTCGCCTGACCCAATGCTGGGGGGAGCATTGTCGGGTTGCCATCCCTCAGATGAGATGTTAAACTGAGGCCCCACCTGTGCCAGTTAAAGATCCCGCCGCACTATTTGAAAAAGAAGATTCTCTCTCCTGGTGTCCTGACTGACAATCCGCCAGATAAAATTGGTCACATGTTTCATGGCTGTTTTGGGACGTTGCTGTATGCAAAATGGCTGCCACATTCACTGAAAAAATACAGTTTCTGCACTGTACAGTAACTATTGTGAAGCACTTTGATACGTCCTCCTGACCGGAAACACACTATCGAATATAAGGATTGTTATTATTATATTGCAATAACTTCCTGCTGGTCTCTGCTTTGTTTTCCTTCAGTATTAGTCGATGGATCTTAACTAAAGGAATCAATATCATGGATTGAACTATTTATATGTAAATATGAGTTTTCTATTGCAGTAAAAAGATTTGTGTCCGTTGTGATGAAGTGTCAGAATAGTTTGTGTGTGTTTTGCTAACAAAGTGAATAAAAGTTTTGAACTGTCAACTTTTGACATTTTGGTTGTTGGTCGATTTTTTTCCCCGCTGTCAATTCCCTTCTCTCCGTCCCTTGGATGAGACGTTCAACCGAGGTTCTGTCTGTGACTGTTCCATCGGACTTTAAAGACCCCACAATGCTGTTGGAAAAGAGAAGGGAGTTTCTCTCTCTGGGTGTCTTGGTTGATACAATTGATGAATCACTTCATGGCTGTTTGTGGTTGTGGACAAATTGGCTGCTGTGATCTCCCACAAAGTACACTGTCACTCCACTTTACAGTGAATCCTGTGAAGTGTTTGAGTGGTCCTCACAATGTGGAAGGCGCCATATCAAATACAAGGATAATTATTGTTCTTATTTATTATGACATGTCGGACCCATGCTGGAGTTGTTCAGCACTCCAATATTTCACATGAGTGTGTCTGGTCAGTGTGTTACTCGAGTCTCTCTTCTCACCCTATATCCACGTCTTCACATTTTCCAGCAGTTGGGGTGGGAGCAGAGGGGAGCAGGAGTGGGATACAAAGCTGACTGGACAATGTCTTGCCCAGTGATACAAGCCAGGAACAACCCTGGGATCCATTAACTCAGCACGGTCAACTGGGACCTTCTTTGCATTTGATACAGTGCCTTATCACGTCATCAAACTGTTTTAGAGTGCTCTACAAGATTTTACTGTCATGTGCAATGACTGTGTTTTGGGGCGAATGCCGCAGCCAATTTGTGCACAGCAACGTCTCACAAACAGCTGTAAAGTGAGTGACCAAATTTTATCTGGGGATTGGCGCAGCACTGCATTAAAGCTTCAGCCGAGAGTTTCAAAGCCCCCTAATGTGGAGCTTCAACCCACAACTTTCTGACTCAGAGATGGGATTGTGAGTAACTGAGCCAGGGTGAGGCGTTGTACGAATGATTATCCTTGTATTTCATACAGCGCCTGAACACAATAGAGATGGCCTCAGTCTTAACGTCTCATGCAAAGGACAGCACTTCTGACAATGCAGCACTCCCCTAACGCTGCACTGGAGTGTCAGCCTGGGCTGTGTGAGATCAGATCCTCATAGAGGTGAACTTACGGGTTTCTGTTGTGAACACTATGTGTGTTTCCAGCAATGGCAGCTGCTAACCACCCCCCCTCCCCCCAGTCACCCCCCACCGTCCAGGGGAGTACAACTCATTCAGAACAAAGGCTCAAGGTCACCGTGATGTCGAGTGGAGGGAGTTCACTGCAATGGAATTTTTTTTCTAAGCGTTAGTTTACTTCTGGTGGCAGAGTAAGTGAGAACAGTACTGATCGTGGCATTTTGATACAGAGCCTCATCATGACATTGAGACATCGCAATGCGCTTCACAGGATTTTACTGTAAAGTGTAGTGACCGTGTAATTTGTAGACAAATGTGGCTGTCAATTTGTACCCAGCAATGCCCACTAACAGCCATGAAGTGAGTGACTGATTTTATCTTGGGAGACTGTCAGCCAGGACACTGGGAGGGAGAAACTCGTCTCTCTCTTTAGGATCACAGGACTTTTAACGTCCTCCTGAACAAGGGCACAGAAGGGGCCTCAGTTTAATGTCTGATCTGAACGTCAGGGTGTCTGACATTGTAACACTCCGAGGCAATGCTGCGCTGGAGTGTCAGCCTGGATTGTGAGCTCGAACTTTCTAACCAAGAGAGCTCCTGACTGACCCACACTGAGCGGCCAGTGTGAAGAAAAACAGTGACAGGACCAGCCAGCTTGAGCCAGTTTGTTGGTTTTATCTAATCCAGAAGAAATGCCGAGTGAATGATGCCATTTCACTAACTCAGAGCTCGCTATCCGCTGGGGCACAGATAAAGAGGTTATTTCTGGTCTGTGATAACATGCCACTACAGCAACACAACACAGTAAGCAGCCCTCACCTCACTCCCTCCAACATCACATCAACTCATCAACCTACACTCACACCCCAACACGGCACTGCCATTAACACAAAGCCATATATTTAATAAAGCATCTTTGCACGTCATGAGGACATTCCAACAATAATTTGCAATAATAATAAATATAATAATAATCCTTGTATTTGATTTAGCAGCTTATCACATCACTGAGATGTCTCAAAGCATTTCACAGGATATACTGTAAAGTGCAGTGACCGTGTATTTTGTGGGAAAACACAGCAGTCAATTTGCGCACAGTAGTGTCCCACAAACAGCCATGGAGTGATTGATCAATTTTATTGTCAGCCAGAACACTGGGAGAAACTCCCTTCTCTTTTCCAATGGTGCCATGGGATCTTTAACATCTACGTGAACAGGCACAGGCAGGACCTCGGTTTAACATCTCCGCCACATTGCCCGCCTACGTCACAGCAGCCGAAACCCTCATCCATGCCTTTGTCACTTCCTAGTTGGACTTTTCAAATGCCCTCCTCAGGCTGCCTCGGGGTCAGACTCCGCCACTGTCAAGCGCTCCGGGATGCTACCCGCGTGGAGGGCGCTATATAAATGCAAGTAGTTGTTGTTGTTAACATATTATCCAAAGAACGATGTGGAGCTTGACCCCACAACTTGTGACTCGGAGAGGAGCGTGCGACCAACTGAAACAGGTTGACATACTTTCTGTATGTTTATAATAGCCTCCCTCTGTGTACTAACTGCATGCTCACTGGGAGCACTATTCTTAGACCTGTTAGGAGGATCTTAGCTCCAGATTACATACACTGACAGCTGAGAACCCAAATATTATGACTGAAACCAAGGCCCCCTCTCCAATAAAGCAAAGCCTCTTGTAATAGAGACTGCTCCACTGAATGATTAGAGTAATTTCACCGAGCCTTTCAGATTTCCCCTTAATGGTTCAGCTGATCTACCCTCTATTGACTTTGAGCTCACAATCCCAGCTGACACAGTTCAGTCCAGTGCAGTGTCAGGGGGAACGCTGCATTGTCAGAGGTGCAGTACTTCGAATGAGACATTAAATCCGTGTCGGTGACTGTTCAGGTGGACATTAAAGGCATGGCACACTTGGAAAATAGAAGGGAGTTTCTCTCTCCCGGTGTCCTGGCCAAAAATCCCCCAGATAAAATTGGTCACTAACTTCACTTTTTTTTGGTCAGCCAGGTGTCTGACACATGCAGAAACCCATCATCTTGCTTAAGAGTATTCAAATCAAACAGAGTTCTAAGCATCCCACCTATAAATTGAAATCCCAGAGATATTTTTGGAATTCAATGTGCAGTCTCCGTGGAAGGAAGCTTCCTGCTTGTCTAAACCCAGAAGGAATCAGGAGCAGGTTGATGAGAGCCAAGGCTTGTGGACCCCAGAGTGTGCGTTGGGGTACTGCTGGAGTCTAACTAGCTAAAACCACATATTTGGCACTGATATTGCTATCTGGCAAGCTTTCCCGCTGCTTATCCATAGATACAATCCACTCCACTGAGCCAGTCTTGTTTAACTCTCAACTGTCCTTTCTACCCCATATCAGTGCCATGAGCCACTCTGCCTTCCCCCACCTCTGCAAATTCACCGTCTCCATCACTGTCTCACACCGCAGCCCGCCAAAACCATGCATTTAGTACATCTAGGCTCGACTACGGCAACTCCCTGCTTGTCAGCCTTCCCAATTCTTCCCTTCACAAGCTGCAGATCATCCAGAATTCTGCAGTTCATTATCCTCTCCCTCACCAAACTCTGTGACCCTATCAACCCCACCCTCACCCGGCTCCACTGGCTCCCCATCCTACAGAGGATAGAGTTCAAAATTCTTGTCCTCTCCTTCAAAGCCCTCCACAGTCTTGCTCCTTCATGCCTCTGTGACCTGTTAACCCAATATCAACCTGTCCATTCCCACCGCTCAGCAGGCTCCCACCTGCTCCACGTCCTCCGCCCGTTCGGCCCCACCATCGACCTTCAGCCACTTTGCCCCACTCTTTGGAACAACATTCCACAGTCCCTTTGCTTTGCATGGCTCAAGACCCTCATCTTCAACTATTGCCTTCGGTCAACCTCCTACTCCTACCCTTTCTGCACTCAACCTCTCCTGATCCCATCCCCCTGCTCGGATCCAAATCCCTAACTGTCCAGCACCTTGGGACGTCCTCCCGTCGTGAAAGTCGCTACACAAATGTAATTTGTTGTTGTTGTTTAGCTCAGACTGCCCTTATATTTCCAATTAGGGCTTGACTTGCAGGGTTCACTTCATGATTATTTGTTGGATGTTGCTGTGTACAAATTGGCTGTTGCGTTTGCGTATAATATACAGTCAATGCACTTTAGAATAAGTCCTGTGAAGCGCTTTGAGACATCCTTCCAATGTGAAATGCAAGAATTGTTATCACTTCTGCTGTGTATTGCAGTGAACGGCTGAGAGTACGTGTGTGAGATCTATTCCAAGCTGTGTTGATAAGTGACACGGAATGTTCTTTTGTTGAAGCCGAGTTGTTCAAGGTATATTCTCCCCATGAGTCAGAGGACATGTGTGACACAATGACATGGCCTTTTACAACGAAAGCTCTTCGTGGCCCTTCTTAACATTGAGTGGGTTTGGAAGTGATAGGAGATCTGAGGAGACATTTGCTTTGTAATAATAATAATCTATCGGAAAAGAGAAGGGAGTTTATAATCCTTGCACTTGAGTTTCCCTCTCCTGGAGTCCTAGTCGACAATCCCCCAGATAAAATCACTCAGTCACTTTAGGGCTGTTTGTGTGACATTGCTGTGTGGAAATTGGCTGCTGGGTTTACCTGCAATATACACAGCCATAACATTTTCCAATGTATCCTGAGCTTTGAGATGTGTCTCCCAATGTGAAAGAGGCTTTATCAAATGCAATAATTACAAAGTCCCTGATGTGGGGCTTGAACCCACAACCTTCTGACCCAGAGGCGAGAGTGCTCCTGAGTGAGTCAGACTGACAACACGTCTCCACACTTAGCTCTCGAGGAATGGAACAAATGGAGATTTATTAATGATGAGAAAATAAGGTCAGGGGCAACTTTTCCCAATATGCCAGACAATTGGTTTTTGACTCGTGACTCACAGGAAGGAGTTCAGGGACAGGGGGAATGAACAGAATTCGGCATCAAGTCAAGGCTGAGGGAATGATCTGAGCTAATTGAATTAACATTAATTTGCTGTAATCCAGACCTACATTAGGGATGAATTTGCTCTGTTCTTTGGCTTTCATTCATTTTGCTGCTCCTTGCACTCAGCAACCACTGTCCAACCTCACCCCACCCGTGTAAAGGGCTTTGAGACAAGCTCCCGAGGTGAAATGCTTTGTGTAAATATAAACCGCTGTCACAATCACTTCTTTGGGCACTGTTTGTCCTTCAGATGAGGCGTTAAACCGAGGTTCCATCTGTGACTGTTCAAATGGACATTGAAGTTCCCACCGTGCTATTTGAAAGAAGGGAATATCTCTCTCCCGGTGTCCGGGTCGACAATCTACCAAATAAAATCAGTCACTGACTCTATGGCTGTTTGTGGGACAAATTGGCTGCCACATTTGCCCACAAAGACAGTCACTGCATTTTGAGATATTTTGACCTGATGAGGTGTGTAAAACTGCAAAAGTAAGATTACATGCATTCGTTTAGCATAAAGTTGTCCATGGATGGGACTGAACTTGCAAAGGGGGGGAAGGTGAAAGGGATCTAGGTGCGTTAGTTGACTCGTCGCTCACTATGTTGCGTAGTGTGGCAACAGTAACAAAGCAAAGAGAATGCTGGGCAATATTGGCTAAATCAGTTAAGTTCAGATCCCCAGACCCCACACTCAGGCTATACGTCGCAGGCCAGACACCTTGAAAACTGTGTACACCTCTGGTCACTGTGACATAAGGAGGCTGCCCAGGCTTCAGAGGCAGTGCAGAGGAGAGCAATGAGGATGATCCCCAGTTTAAGAGGAACAAGCTGTGAACAATGATTATACAAGCTAGGGCTCTGCAGCCTTCAGAGAAGACGACTCAGAGAGGATCTTTTGAGGTGTATACAATTTTAAAAGGGATTGGCAAAGTAAATCCAGATCAATGCTACCAGACTGGTAGGTTATTGCTATTGGGCTTGACTGGATAGGTAAGGCCTTTTTTTTTGCTAGAGAAGCAGGAATCCAATAGAATTGGTTAAAATGATAAAAGGGTCAACATAAATAGGCTGTTTCCACTAGTTGGGGAGTCTGTAATCAGGTGACACAAATATAAGATAGTGACTAGGAGATCAAAGAGAGAAGTTAGAAGGAACTACTTCACATAGAGGCTAGTGAGATTGTGCAACTCTCTGCCTGAAGCGGTGGTTTGTATTAGATAGTATAGATGCATTGAAGAGTGAGTCCCAATGTTTGCATCCGAGCTAAGGGTGAGTAGTTAATAGGTGAGGGGGCATGGGGGAGGGGAAGATGGCCGAAAACACAGTCAATGAGAAAAGTCTTGAGGCGGGAGAAAACACACAGTCACTCCACTCCACAGTAAATCCTGTGATGCAACTTGAATATTTACGTCACTGAATCGAGGATTATTGTTAAATTACTCACCAACCACAAGGCAGCTAACATTTCAATACTTTATTATTTTAGAATTAAATAATTTGTCTTTTTCTCTGACCGTGAGGAGCGCACAATGATTGAATATGCAAATGACGGCGGATCAGTAGTTAAGAAGTCAGGCCCCTTCCATACAGATCGTAATCCTTATATAAAATGTAGTGTCTGAGTAGAGGGGGGAAGGGGAGCAGCACTGAGCTCTGTAACCGGCTTTGACCCACACATTTCCGAATCATCAATCGGCACAAGTGTTTCAGACCAGAGGGGTTTTCTATTGGAAAAAAAGAAAAAATAAACTTTAGGCATTTCAGCCTGGCTCAGTCTCTCACATTCTTGCCTCTGAGCCAGGAGGTAATGGGTCCAAGCCTCACGTCAACAATTTGAGCTCACAGTCTTGGCTGATGTTCTAGTGCAGTGCTGAGTCAAGGGTACTGTTGGGAGTTTCGGATGAGACATTAAACCAAGGTCCCGTTTATGCCTCTTCAGGCTAAACATCCATTTGAATTCCTATTTTTTTTGTACAGATTGATTGCTGGTAAGATCATCAGGTGGAGTGCGTGGGGACGGTGTGGGAACTGCAGGGACATCAATGGGAGATGAGATCAAAAGCCCTGCAGTGTTCAGACTTAGAGCAATCCTGAGTGCTCTCACCTGCTTCACACAACGGCCGGACACTGTTCCCAAGCCAGTTTCTCACATTATAATCCTTGTATTTGATACAGACCCTTATCATGTCACTGAGATGTCTCAAAGCGCTTCACAGGATTCGTCAGCAAACTGCAGTGACTGTATTTTGAGGGCGAACACAGCAGTCAATGCGTGCACAGTAACATCTCACAAACAGCCATGAGTGCCCTTAGTTTCAGCCGAAGAACAACATCACTGACATTGTAGCTCTCCTGCAGCACGCACGAGAGCATCCGCCTAGACTGTGAACTCCAGGTCCCTGAAGTGGGGTTTGAACTCACAACCACCTGACTCAGAGGTGAGAGTGCTTCCAACTGAGCCAGGATGACAGACATTGCACAATCAAGAAAGAGATTGAAATAATGTAACTAAAAATCTTTATTTTGGTCAGTCAGGTCTGCAACACACACAGAAACCTATCACCGTGCTTAAGAGTATACAATCCAGACTGAGACTTCCATGTATGTCTGATACCTACACATGGAAATGTCCCCGTGCCTGGAGTGGAATGTGCACTCTGTCCCTGAGGCAATCACCCTTCTTATCTAATTCCAGAGAGTATAAGGTGTAGGTTGGTGAAAAACAAGCCTTGGGGGCCCTAGAGTGTGCATTGAGGGGAAAGGCTGGTGTCTAACCAGCTAAAAAAGTTGAGAGCACTGTATAGCAAGCTTTCCCGCTGCTTGTCCAGCGAGAACCACCCTAACCGTTAGGGTTTAGGCTTGCGGGATTAACTGGAGCTGAATGGGAAGATCCCTGCCCCCAGTGATGAAACAAACCTTAAGTAATGAATAAGGCAGAGACAGAGAGCGTGTAGTTTACCTAAGATGTTCTGAATCTCGGGCCATTCGTTCTGTTTCTCAAGGGCAGACCTCAGTGTCTCACAGAGGGATATGCAGTCCACGTAGTCGATCAGCACTCTAACCACTCGCCCGATCAAATGGCTCATCCAGGGTACGGTGATGAACTCGCAGAACTGTAGGCGCAAAGTGACAACCATCATGTCTAATCATCTCAACACAAGCCAGGGAATTACCGGAGTCAGCACGGCATCGTAAAAGGCAAGGGGAGGGAGTTTCATTGAACAGCATGAAACAGCATACAGGGAGAGACAGGAGCCGGGAGAGATGGAGAGGATAAAGAGGAGTCACAGTTACTGAGATGATGAGGGATGGTGGCTCAGTCACAGGCCGGAGAGAGAGGAGCCAATACAGACAAGGCAGATCAGAGGGGAGTCACTTACTGGGACAATAATAATAATCCTTACATTTGATGTAGTGCCTTATCACATTTTCGAGACGTGTCAAAGTGCTTCACAGGATATACTGTAAAGTGGAATGACTGTATTTTGTGGAAAAAATGTGGCAGCCAATTGTGCAGAGCAATGCCCCGCAAACAGCCTTGGAGTGAGTAACTAATTTTATTTGGCAGCTTTTTGGATAAAACACTGGGAGAAACTCCCTTCTCTTTTAGAATAGTGCCATGGAAACTGAACAGACGGGATTTCGGTTTAACTTCCGAAGGACAGAACCTCTGAAAATGAAACCCCCCCCCACCCCCCAGCACTACATTGGAGTGTCAACTTAGACGATGCAATTCCAAGTCCCGACGTGGGGCCTGAACTTGCAACCTTCTGACTCAGAGGTGAGAGTGCTACTGACTGAGGCAGGTTAACACACCACGGTGACAGATTGTGGCTCAGACACAGGCCAAGGAAGAGAAGAGTCACACTTACCGAGACGATACGAGATTGTGGCTCTATGGTGGGCCAGGGGAGGGAGGAGCCGCTGTGGATGCAGTTGAAGCACATGTGGGCCTTGTAGCCGTTGTTCAGCAGAAGGCGGAGCATGATGTGGTCGTTGACGGCATACTGAATGGCGCTGGGGAACTGGGTGTCGGTCACCAGCAGGCAGTGGCAGTTGGGGTTGGCACCGTGCTGCAGCAGGAGCCGCACCAGCTCGTGGCTGGACGCTCGCACGGCCACCAACAGGCAGGGCAGTGGGTCAGCGTCTGGCCGGGCGCCCGCTTCCAGCAGCAGCCGGGCACAGGTCACGTCGCTATTGGACACAGAGAAAAAGAGCGCCGACCGGCGCTTGTCGGAATAGCTCTCGGACACGTCCTCGTCTAAAGCCACGTTCACATCAAACCCGCTGTCGATCAGCAGCTCCAGGCACTGAGCACTGCCGCCCTCCGCGGCCGAGTGTAGCGGACTTCTTCCGCTCCTCCGCACCGCACTCTGTAATGTCACCCCGACGAGATGCTTCAGAGCCCTACAGCCAACAACAACAAAAACTGCATTTATTTATTTGGTTGTTTTGGTCGACCAGGTGTTTGACACACGCGGAAACCCATCTCCATGCTTAAGAATATCCAAATCAAGCTGAGATTTCCACAATAATAATAATAATCCTTGCATTTGGTACAGCACCTTATCACATCTTCGAGACTTTTCAAAGCGCTCCACAGAATACACTGTAAAGTGACTTGACTATATATTTTGTGGGCAAATCGCGGCAGTCAATTGCGTACAGCAGTGTTCCACAAACTGTCATTGATTAAGTGACCAATTTATTATTATTTTTTGAAGGAATTATTACCCCCGGAACAGCGATCCACCAATCAACTACTGACTGCTAGGAAAACAGAGGCATGTGTAGTAAGGAAACTTGTCCAACATTTCGCCCTGCTAGGAATCAAACCCAGGTCTCTCGCTTGCGAGGCGGGTGCTCTAAGCACTGAACTACAGGGCTCCACATCCATCCCACCTGCACATGGAAAACCCAGTAATAGATTGTTGGAATGGAATATGCACTCTCTCCCTGGACAGACGCATCCTGCGCCTTAATTCCAGAAAGTATTAAGCACAAGATGGCAAGAGCCAAGGCTTGAGGAGCCCAGACTGTGCATTGGAGAAACTGCTGGAGACTAACTGGCTAAAACCGCACAGTTTGCCATTGATATTGCTGAGCAGCAAGCTTTCCTGCTGCTTGTCCGGCTAGGACCACCCAACTTGTTAGGGGTTTGGTTTGTAGGATTAACAGGAGTTGAGTGGGATAACTACCTGCACCAGTGACTGGAAGCTCCACATGGGAGTAAATGACCAATTTTATTTGGAGGATGTGTTGGCCAATACACTGGTAGAAACTCCCTTCCCTTTTAAAATAGTGCCATGGGATCTTTAACGTCCACCTGAACAGGCAGACTGGACCTTAATTTTACGTCTCATCCGAGGGACAGTACATCTGACGTACCCCAACACTGCACTGGAGCAACAGCTTAGACTATTGAGTTCAAGTTCTGACATTGACTCGAACCCACAACCTTCTGACTCAGAGGCGAGAGGGCTAGCACTGAGCCAGGCTACCACATGATAAAACTGGAGAAATTATTTCCACTGGTCAGTGAGTCAGTGACAAGAGAGCATCAATATAAAATAGTTAGTAAATGAGCAAACAAGGAGGTTAGGAGAATTTTTTTCACACACAGAGTGGTTAGGTTATGGGAACATTCTTTGAGACAGAATCCATCTTGGCCTTCAAAAGAGAACTGGATAATACCTTAATACCAGGTACAGTGATACGGGAGAAACGGGCAGGTAAATGGGACTGAAAGCATTGCTCTTAAAGGAACCGGCATAGACATGATGGGCTGAATTGTCTTATGTGTTATAAATTTCTGGGTTTTATGTGTCAGTCTGGCTTAGTTGGTAGTGCTCACCTCTAAATCAAAAGTTTGTGGGTTGAAGCCCCACGTTAGGGTCTTGAAGCTTGTATTTTCTAAGGTGACACCCCAGTGAGGTGATGGGGGAGCAGCTGTATTGTCCTTTGGATAAGACATTAAACCAAGTGGAAGTTAAAGATCCCATGGTGCTACTCAAAAAGAAAAGAGAGATTTTTCTCTTCCGGTGTCCTGGCCGATAATCCCCCAGATAAAACTGGTCGTTCACTTCATGGCTGTTTGTGGGATGTTGCTGTGTGCAAATCTGTTTGCCCACAAAATACATACTAACTACAATTTACAGTAAATCCTGTGAAGGGTTTGAGACGTCCTACCGATGTGAAAGCCACTATATCGAATATTATTATTGTTATTATAATACCTCCCCAGAATGCTTAACAGGCAGATATCAGCTGCTCCAAAGCAAGATGTATCTTATCTTACCAGGACATTGTGTTCCAGTGATGGGCTGCGTTACTCACAGGTAATGTCCCTGTTGTGCCGCTCGGTGGATGGGAAGCAGGCCTGAATTGTCAGGAATATTAGGGTTAGCTCCATACTCCAGCAGCACTGTGATGCAGTCTGGATTGCCACCTTCTGCTGCCTCAAACAGCACAGTGGCGCCGTCATCAGTTTTTGCATGGACATTACCTCCTGAGGACAAAACCAAGCTGAGATAAACGTAGCATATTAATAGCATATTAACCCTTGCTTTAATACATCACATCATTGAGACATCTCAGTGATTCACAAAATCGCAGTAGCCAATTTACGCGCAGCAAAGTCCCGCAAACAGCCAGGAAGTGAATGATTTTATCTGGGAATTGTCAGCCAAAACACCGGGAGAATGCTACCACATTCGCCTATGAACTACACAGTTACAGTTATAGAAGTTATAAACAGCCTATGAAGCACTTCGAGATGTTTTGGTGACATGATAAAGTGCTTTGTCAGATATCATTATCATAATACTGAGATGAGCGGCCAATTAATTGGAATTTGGGTAAACCGTGTGTGATCTCCCTCTGTATCTCAGACAGAAGTGTGTGTGTGAGTGTTCTCTCTGTATCTCACACAGTACTGTGTGGGTTTTCTCTGGATCTGACACAGGAATGTGTGAGTTCTCTGTGTCTGTATCTGTATCTGACACAGGGCTGTGTGTATGATCTCTGTACCTCAGACAGGAATGTGGTGTGTGTGATCCCTCCCCACCTTTATGAATAAGATGCTCCATCACACTACAGTGTCCGAATCCTGCAGCTGTGGCAACTGGAGTCACCCCGTACCCGTCCTTCTGATTGACGTTGCTCTGGTGCCTCAAGAGCAGGGCAGCGATTTCTTTGCGGCCATGTTTGGCTGCCTCATGCATTGCGGTCCAGCGCCGCACACAGGGCCTGTTCGGGTGGGCCCCGTGCTCCAGCAAAACAGACACCAGCTCCACGGCGTTCCTCCTCACCGCTTGCAGAGGGAAATGAGGAAAGAGAAAAGCTTTTTGTTAACCAATTAACAAGACCAATCTGAGACTATCCTTAGAGCTGAACTAGCTCCAAGTGACATGTTTGGCAATTGAATGTTAGAATCGAGCTGTGATGGTTTCCAGTCTGGTTCCTGGGCCAGGCGGGTCCACAGTATTCCAAGGCACTGCTGATGACAGCAGACAGTCTGGCTCATTGGCGGGACTTGGAAGGGCAGACCAGTCACTGGAGGCAGGGAATCATCTTACTCAGCGCCTGCTTCCCCTGCAAACCAAAGCCCTCATGGGTAGGGTAACTCTTAGCTGGACAAGCAGAGGGAAAGTTTGATGTGCTCTCGATGGCAAGCTATTCGATTGTAGCTGGTTAGACTCCAGCAGTTACTCCAATGCACACTCTGAAATACTTGTATTTATGTAGCCCCCGAGGGTAACGTCTTGGAGCACCGTGTAAAGACAGAATCTGGTGCTGAGCAAGGGAGGAGGCGGAAGAGAGATGCAAAGAGATAGGTTTTAATATAGATCAAGAAGGGGCAAGGCAGCAGGGTATCTCTCCGATCATGTTTTCAGACACCTTTCCCTTTCTCTGCCTTAACTCCCCCCACTCCCCCACACACCCACAGCTCAGGCTCCCAGTCAGTTGCTTCGAGCTCACAGTCTGGACTGTTGGGGAAACCGACCGAGGTGTCATCCTTCGGATGAGATGTTAAACCAAGGCCTGGTTTGTGCCTGTTCAGGTGGAAGTTCAAGATCCCGTGGCACAATGGAGAACAGAAGGGAATTTCTCTCTCCTGGTGTCTTGGCTAACAATCCCCCAGTTCGTTCACTTCATGGCAGTTTGCGGGACTTTGCTGTGTGCAAATTGGCTGCTGCATTTGCCTACAAAATACTGCACTGCACTTCATAGTAAATCCAGTGAAGCGCTTTGAGATATTCTGTCGGTATGAAAGCACTGTATCAAATGTAAGAATTATTAACTCGTCTGTGCCGGATATCAACAATGCCCTGAAAAGATAAGACTGTAACCACTGTAAAGAGGCTTCTTACCAATCAGTAGTGGTGTCTCTCCCCTGTTGTTGGTTGTGTTGGGACAGATAGACTTCTCAAGGAGAGCTCTCACATTCCCCAGCACACCCGCTGTGACAGCCAGAGTCAGTGCTGTGTCCCCCTCTTGTGTCCTCTGTTCCCACGTACTCTTATAGGAAGCTGAAATCAATAACACAAGCAATAAGCAAAGGATCACAAAGTGCCTTTGATCAAAGTGTAAATGGAGTAAATGGAGCCGTGTTGTCCATTTATACAAGGAGTCCTGTAGCTCAGTAGTCAGGAGTCCTGTAGCTCAGTGGTTTGAGCACTCGCCTCGCAAGCGAGTGACCTGGGTTCGATTCCCGACAGGGCGAAACCTTGAGCAAGCTTCCTTACTCCATATGCCTGATAATAATCCCTCAAGAAAAAAAAACAATAATAAAATTGGTCACTTCAATCCACAACTGTTTGTGGGACACTGCTGTGTGCAAGTGGCTGCCACGTTTTACCCACAAATAGTCAATTCACCTTACAATATATTCTCTGAAGCACTTTGAGACGTCTAGAAAATGTGAAAAGCACTATATCAAATGCAAGGATTATTATTATTTTTATTATAATTATTATTGTGTAAATGGAGTTCCAGAGTTCCGCCCTCTGGAACTCCATCCCAGTCCCTCCACCTTGTCCCCTCCCTTGCCTCCTTCAAGACACATCTCAAGAACCTCTTCTTCGACCATGCTTTCTATCACCCTCCTTCCTCCCTGCCCACCCTCCCCAATCCAGACCCTCATCTCAGGTCCGAAACACTAACTGCCCAGCGTCCTTCCAATGCGAAAGGCGGCGCTTTACAAACATAATTTTCAGTGTCAAATGCAATGGGTGTGTGTGTGTGTGTGTGTGTAGAGCCAAGTGTAAACCTTGGTCAGTTGGCAGTATTCTCACTTCTGAGTGATGAGTCAGCAACGTCCCACAAACAGCCATGGAGTGAGTGAACAATTTTATTGTTGCCCAGGACACCCGGAGAGAGAAATTCCTGACTCTTTGCCCATCATTCCATGGGATCTTTAACTTCCACCTGAACAAGCAGACAGGCCTTCAGTTCAATGTCTCATCAAAAAGACGGTACCTCCAACAATGCAGCACTCCCCCCATTTCTGCACTGGATGTCAGCCTAGACTGTGAGCTCAAATTCCCGACATGGGGCTTGAAACCACGACCTTGTGACTCCGAGATGAGCGTGAGTGACTGAGCAAGGCTGGCACACTGATGAGGGAACCAAGACACAATGGAGAAAATTCTCTCCCTTTCCTTAAAATATCATTGGGATAATTTAAAGTCTCCCTGACTCTCAAGACGTGGTTTAATGAATAATTCCAAACAGGGATGATAATCTGGTATCAATGAATGATGACTAACATTTGAATCTCCTTTAGCGGGCTAATCATCTCAAAACATCTCAAAGTGCTAAGAAAATGAGTCGCTCTGAAGTGTTATCAATGGTGATCATTCGTGATTTGGAAGGAAATAAAAAATCAGGCCGGGAGGGAGGGAGAATTTAAAACGACTTACAGGCATCAAAGGAAGGAAAAACAATGGGGAAAATGTTGTCAATCGGTCGGTCAGTCAGTCAATGTTAGTTGGTGTCAGTTGGTGACAGTTGGGTCATTAGAGACACTTGGTGACCGTCGGTGACAGTACTCTGGGACGCTACCCTGCATGAGAGGCACTATATAAATGCAAGTTGTTGTTGTCTGTGTTAGTTGGTGACAGTTTGACAACGAGCCGGGAAGAGAGGGAAATCTTCAGGTGCAATCTGAAGACAGGCAAAGAAAAGGCAAGCTGGAGAGATTAGGGCAGGGATTTCCGGCAGTTCAGGTGTAGAAGCTGAAAGCACGGCAGCCAATGGAGAGGAGACGATGAGGGATGGGCAGGAGGCCGGAGCCAGCTGAGCAAAGGGAGGGGGTGTGGAGTTAGGTGTGAGCAGGTCGGAGAGGTAGAGAGGTGCCAGGGTATGAAGCCATTTGTAGGTGAGTTTAAGGAACTTGAAAGCGATTTGTCCTGTAACAGGGAGCCAGTAGAGCCTGGCAAGCACTGGGGTGACAGGGGAGCACAGCCTGATAGGAGTGAAGAGATGCGCAGTGGAGTTCAGAATCAATCAGTAACTCATCTGATGCAACTCACAGTCCAGGACAATTTCCATGATTTGCTGATGTGGCTGAATGGCAGCTTCATGTAGCGGGCACCATCCCCTTTCATCCGCCTCGTTGAAAGCAAACGTCCAATGGTTGATTTGCTGCAATTGGAAGATTTCTCCTAAAGAAAAAGCAGATGTTAATCCCGCTGAACCCTGCGGGGAGGCTGAACTGGCTCCAAGGTGACAAGAATGGCAGTGCAATATCACAAGTCTATGATGGTCGCTGGTCTGGTTCCTGAGCCATGTTGGTCAGTGGAACACCAGGGCACTGCTGATGATAGACCAGCCAGTCTGGTTCATTACCAGGACCTAGAAGGGCAGACCGGTCACTGGGGACAGGGACTCTTTCCACTCAGCTCCCGTTAACCCTGCAAGCCAAAGTTCTAATGGATAGGGTGGTACTGGTTGGACAAGCAGCGAGAAAGTTTGCCAGGCAGTGCTCTCAATGGCAAGCTAGACTCCAACAGTTACCCCAACCGGCACCTAATAGTCTCTGAATTAGGTAATAATAATCCTTACATTTGATATAGTGTCTTTCACATCGGACATGTCAAAGCGCTTTACGGGATATTCTGCAAAGTGTCGTGACTGTGTATTTTGTGAGCAAACACAGCAGCCAATTTGCGCACAGCAACATCCCTGCAAACAGTCCTAGAGTGATCAATTCTTCTTTCTGGCGGATTGTTGGCCAAGACACCAGGAGAGAGAAATTCACTTGTCTTTTCCAATAGCTCTACAGGATCTTTAACATCCAGTGAACAGGCCACAGACAGGGAGCTCGGTTATTGTCTCATCTAAAGGATCCCTGGTTGACAAAAAAAACCATAAAAAACCATAAGCCTTGAACTCAGCTGGACCGACCCCTACCTTGTCTTATCGCTTCGACTATTTTCCTGTTTTCTTGACTGGGTGGCAAAAACCTAGGACATAAATTACAAGGATACTATTATCACAATAATCCTTTCATTTGGTATAGCCAAATAGCAAAGTGTAGTGACTGTGTATCTTGTTGGAAATGCAACTAGCCAATTTGTGCACCGCAATGTCCTACAAACAGCGAATGACCAATTTTGTTTTGGGGATTGGTTGGCCGGAACTTCAGGAGAGAAACTCCCTTCTCTTTTCCAGTAGAGTCATGTTCAACTGGTCCATTTAATATATGACCATCAAAGTTCTGACGTGGGGCTTGAACTCACAATCTTCTGAATCACAGGTGAGAGTGCAACTGAGTGAGCCAGTCTGACAACAGCTGGTTGAGAGAGGTAGATGAGATGGCAGAGTGCAAACGATAAACCAAGTGAAATCCTGACAAACCATCTGTGAGTGGAACATATCCAATTACCTTTCACTGCCTCTGGCTTCAGATGGCTCTTGAATACTCAGTTGGATTGCGTATTGAGTCAGGTGGTCCTCCACTGAGTCACTGATTCCATCCATTGCCTTTCAGCCTCTAAGATTGCATCTTAAACAGAAGAAGGAAAAGTCAAAATAAAATTGATAACCCACAGTCTAATTCCTGGATTAGATGCCTGGCGGAGTCTGATCCTGAGCTTCAGCAGGTTCCAAACTCAAGCCCTTGCTTTCCCTCAGCGTATGCTATCGTGTAGAATAACCTCAAGTACTTCTTTGATGAAAAAGAGCAGCGTATTGCTGCTTTTCTTCAGGGATACAACAACAAATTATATTTGTATACTGCATAAAGTGAAGAAAAGCAGCAAGTACCCTGCAGATTTCTGGGCAACTGGCCTGCAGAGGCAATGGGATGGGGAACAAGGCTGATATTAATGAAAACAAATCTTTCCACTTGATACAATGGCTTTCACTTTGGGAGAGAATCTTAAAGAGCTTCATGGGTTACAATGTAAATGACTGCGTATTTTGTTTGCCAATCGTGAACTGTGAAACTCTCTTCTCTTTTCAAACAGGGCTACGGGATCTTTAACGTCCAACTGAACAGACTGAGATGGGCCTTCAGTTTAAAGTCTCATTTGCGACTGGAGTGTCAGTCCGGGCTGTGAGCTCAGAGCCCACCTGTGCCCCCTGTGCCAAGAGGCCTGTGGCCCCTGTGCCAAGAGGCCTGTGCCCCCTGTGTTAAGAGGCCTGTGCCCCCTGTGTTAAGAGGCCTGTGCCCCCTGTGCCAAGAGGCCTGTGCCCTCTCTGTCAGAAGCCTGTTCCCCCCCATCCCACCCTCTCTGTGTCAGAGGTCCGTACCCCCTCTCTCTGTTTCAGAGGCCTGTACCCCCTCTCTCTGTGTGTCAGGGGCCTGTACCCCCTCTCTCTGTGTGTCAGAGGCCTGTACCCCCTCTCTCTGTGTCAGAGACCTGTACCCCCTCTCTCTCTGTGCCAGAGACCTGTACCCCCTCTCTCTGTGTGACAGAGGCCTGTACCCTCTCTCTCTCTGTGTCAGAGACCTGTACCCCCTCTCTCTCTGTGCCAGAGACCTGTACCCCCTCTCTCTCTGTGCCAGAGACCTGTACCCCCTCTCTCTCTGTGTGTCAGAGGCCTGTACCCCCTCTCTGTCTGTGTGTCAGAGGCCCGTACCCCCTCTCTCTGTGTCAGAGGCCTGTACCCCCTCTCTCTGTGTCTCTGTGTGAGCCGCCGCCCGGCACCGTATTGGAGAGGCGGCTCCAGAGCGGAGACCTTGACTCGAGGCTCGGCTCGCGCTGTCTGGCCTAAAAGTTGCTCCGTGATCGATCGAGTGCGTCTGCCCGACCCCCACCCGCGCGCGCGGCCCCACATCCTCTCTCTGTGATTGACCCCCAGGTCTGGCTCTCTGGGCTCGGCTCGCGCTGCCTGGGCACTGCTCTGGGATCGACATGGCGGCGATTCTGAAGAGAGTAAGTGACCGTCACACACTGTACCCTGAGCGCCCCCTCACTGTACCCCCTCACTGTACCCCCCCACTGTACCCCCTCACTGTACCCCTCACTGTACCCCCCTCACTGTACCCCCTCACTGTACCCCCTCACTGTACCCCCCTCACTGTACCCCCTCACTGTACCCCCCTCACTGTACCCCCTCACTGTACCCCCTCACTGTACCCCCTCACTGTACCCCGTAACCCCTCACTGTACCCCCCTTGTACCCCCCTACTGTACCCCCTCACTGTACCCCCCTCACTGTACCCCCTCACTGTAACCCCTCACTGTAACCCCTCACTGTAACTTACCCCCTCACTGTACCCCCTCACTGTACCCCCACCCCTCACTGTACCCCCCTCACTGTACCCCCCTCACTGTACCCCCTCACTGTTCCCCCCTCACTGTACCCCCCCTTCACTGTACCCCCCTCACTGTACCCCCTCACTGTACCCCTCACTGTACCCCCTCACTGTACCCCCTCACTGTACCCCTCACTGTACCCCCCTCACTGTACCCCCTCACTGTAACCCCCCCCCTCACTGTACCCCCCTCACTGTACCCCCTCACTGTCCCCCCTCACTGTACCCCCCTCACTGTACCCCCTCACTGTACCCCCTCACTGTACCCCCCTCACTGTTACCCCCCTCACTGTACCCCCTCACTGTACCCCCCTCACTGTACCCCCTCACTGTACCCCCTCACTGTACCCCCCTCACTGTACCCCCTCACTGTACCCCCTCACTGTACCCCCTCACCCCCTCACTGTACCCCCCTCACTGTACCCCCCTCACTGTACCCCCTCACTGTACCCCCCTCACTGTACCCCCTCACTGTACCCCCTCACTGTACCCCCCTCACTGTACCCCCTCACTGTACCCCCTCACTGTACCCCCTCACTGTACCCCCTCACTGTACCCCCCTCACTGTACCCCCTCACTGTACCCCCTCACTGTACCCCTCACTGTACCCCCCTCACTGTACCCCCTCACTGTACCCCCTCACTGTACCCCCCTCACTGTACCCCTCACTGTACCCCCCTCACTGTACCCCCTCACTGTACCCCCTCACTGTACCCCCTCACTGTACCCCCTCACTGTACCCCCTCACTGTACCCCCTCACTGTACCCCCTCACTGTACCCCCTCACTGTACCCCCTCACTGTACCCCCTCACTGTACCCCCTCACTGTACCCCCTCACTGTACCCCTCCTCCTCACTGTACCCCCTCACTGTACCCCCCTCACTGTACCCCCCTCACTGTACCCCCCTCACTGTACCCCCTCACTGTACCCCCTCACTGTACTCACTGTACCCCCTCACTGTACCCCCTCACTGTACCCCCCTCCCCCTCACTGTACCCCCCTCACTGTACCCCCTCACTGTACCCCCTCACTGTACCCCCACACTGTACCCCTCACTGTACCCCCTCACTGTACCTACCCCCTCACTGTACCCCCCTCACTGTACCCCCTCACTGTACCCCCCTCACTGTACCCCCTCACTGTAACCCCCTCACTGTAACCCCTCACTGTAACCCCTCACTGTACCCCCTCACTGTACCCCCTCACTGTACCCCCTCACTGTACCCCCTCACTGTACCCCCCTCACTGTACCCCCTCACTGTAACCCCCCTCACTGTACCCCCCCTCACTGTACCCCCTCACTGTACCCCCTCACTGTACCCCCTCACTGTACCCCCCTCACTGTACCCCCTCACTGTACCCCCCCTCACTGTACCCCCTCACTGTACCCCCTCACTGTACCCCCTCACTGTAACCCCTCACTGTACCCCCTCACTGTACTCCCCTCACTGTACCCCCCTCACTGTACCCCCTCACTGTACCCCCCTCACTGTACCCCCCTCACTGTACCCCCTCACTGTACCCCCCTCACTGTACCCCCTCACTGTACCCCCTCACTGTACCCCCCTCACTGTACCCCCCTCACTGTACCCCCCCTCACTGTAACCCCCCTCACTGTACCCCCCTCACTGTACCCCCTCACTGTAACCCATCACTGTACCCCCCTCACTGTACCCCCTCACTGTACCCCCTCACAGTAACCCATCACTGTACCCCCTTCACTGTACTGTACCCCCTCACTGTACCCCCCCTCACTGTACCCCCTCACTGTACTGTACCCCCCTCACTGTACCCCCCTCACTGTACTGTACCCCCCTCACTGTAACCCCCCTCACTGTACCCCCCTCACTGTACCCCCTCACAGTAACCCATCACTGTACCCCCTCACTGTACCCCCTCACTGTACCCCCTCACCTGTACCCCCCTCACTGTACCCCCCTCACTGTACCCCCTCACAGTAACCCATCACTGTACCCCCCTCACTGTACCCCCTCACAGTAACCCATTACTGTACCCCCCTCACTGTACCCCCCTCACTGTACCCCCTCACTATACTGTAACCCCCCTCACTGTACCCCCTCACTGTACCCCCCTCACTGTACCCCCTCACTGTACCCCCTCACTGTACCCCCTCACTGTACCCCCCTCACTGTACCCCCTCACTGTACCCCCCTCACTGTACCCCCTCACTGTATCCCTCACTGTACCCCCTCACAGTAACCCCTCACTGTACCCCCCTCACTGTACCCCCCTCACTGTACCCCCTCACTGTACCCCCTCACTGTACCCCCTCACTGTACCCCCTCACTGTACCCCCCTCACTGTACTCCCTCACTGTACCCCCCTCACTGTACCCCCTCACTGTACCCCCCTCACTGTAACCCCTCACTGTAACCCCTCACTGTACCCCCTCACAGTAACCCATCACTGTACCCCCCTCACTGTACCCCCCTCACTGTACCCCCTCACTGTACCCCCTCACTGTACCCCTCACTGTACCCCCTCACTGTACCCCCTCACTGTACCCCCCTCACTGTACCCCCTCACTGTAACCCCTCACTGTAACCCCTCACTGTAACCCCTCACTGTAACCCCCTCACTGTACCCCCTCACTGTACCCCCTCACTGTACCCCCTCACTGTACCCCCTCACTGTACCCCCCTCACTGTACCCCCTCACTGTACCCCCCTCACTGTACCCCCCTCACTGTACCCCCTCACTGTACCCCCTCACTGTACCCCCCCTCACTGTAACCCCCCCTCACTGTACCCCCTCACTGTAACCCCTCACTGTAACCCCCTCACTGTACCGCCCCTCACTGTACCCCCCTCACTGTACCCCTTCACTGTACCCCCTCACTGTACCCCCCTCACTGTAACCCCTCACTGTAACCCCCTCACTGTAACTCCCTCACTGTACCCCCTCACTGTACCCCCTCACTGTAACCCCCTCACTGTAACCCCTCACTGTAACCCCTCACTGTAACCCCCTCACTGTACCCCCTCACTGTGCCCCCTCACTGTGCCCCCTCACTGTGCCCCCTCACTGTGCCCCCTCACTGTACCCCCCGCACTGTACCCCCTCACTGTACCCCCCACTGTACCCCCTCACTGTGCCCCCCCTCACTGTGCCCCCCCTCACTGTGCCCCCCCTCACTGTGCCCCCCCTCACTGTGCCCCCTCACTGTGCCCCCCCCTCACTGTGCCCCCCTCACTGTGCCCCCCTCACTGTGCCCCCCTCACTGTGCCCCCCTCACTGTGCCCCCTCACTGTACCCCCTCACTGTACCCCCTCACTGTACCCCTCACTGTACCCCTCACTGTACCCCCTCACTGTACCCCCTCACTGTACCCCCCCCTCACTGTACCCCCCCTCACTGTACCCCCCCTCACTGTACCCCCCTCACTGTACCCCCTCACTGTACCCCCTCACTGTGCCCCCCTCACTGTACCCCCCTCACTGTACACCCTCACTGTACCCACCTCACTGTACCCCCCCACACTCTGTATCCCCCTCACTGTACTCCCCATATACTGTACCCTCCCACTGTACTCTGTACCCCCACACTGTACCCTGTACCCCACCCTCACTGTACCCCACCCTCACTGTACCCCACCCTCACTGTACCCCACCCTAACTGCACCCCACCCTAACTGTACGCCACCCTCACTGTAACCTACCCTCACTGTACCCCACCCTCACCGTACCCCCCCACACACCCTGTACACCCCCACACCCCGTACCCCCTCTACACCCCGTACACACCCCGCACCCCCCAGTCACACCCCGTACACTCAAAACACCTTGCACACCACACTGAGAGAGTGAGTGACCTTGAGACACAGTCACGCATAGTGTACATACTTTTCACCACACATAGCGTCATACCATATCCTATCCACTAATACAGTGATCCTGAGTATCAGTATACACCTTATATACAACAACCACCACAACTTGCACTTATATAGCGCCCTCCTTGCAGGGTAGCGTCTCAGAGCACTTAACAGTGGCGGAGCCTTACTCCGAACCGGGCGGCGGTCGCCGTAAGTACGGTCGAATGGGAAAGTCTTCAGGTAGGACGTGAAAGAGGGATTGAGGGAGAGTGTTCCAGAGTTTTGGGGATTAGTGGTTGAAAGCACAGCACAACCTCCGATGATGGGGTGGAGGCTGCAAGGAATGAGCAGGAGGCCGGTGCCAGTCCAGCTGAGGCGCCTGATGGTGGATTGGGGAGTGAGGAGGTAGGAGAGGTAGGGAGGTGGCAGGGAGTGAATGGATTTGAACACAAGTGTAAGGACCTTGAAGCTGATCCGTTCGGTGATGGGGAGCCAGTGGAGCCTGATCAGAACTGGTGAGATGTGAGTACGGAGTTTGGTCCGGGTCAGTATGAGGGCGGCAGAGGTTTGAATGAGCTGGATCTTGTGAATGGTGGAGCTGGGGAGACTGGCGAGAATTCTGTTGGAGTAATCCAAGTGGGAGGTGACAAACGCATGCACAAGGGTTTCGGGTAAGGTACGGTTGGAGGTGGGCAACGTGGCGGAGGTTGGAAGAAAGCATTCCTGGTCAGGGACCGGATGTGGGGGAAGGAGGACAGTTGGGTGTCGAACTGGATGCCTAAGTTGTGCACTGGTTCGGTGAGTGAGGGAGAGCCCAGGGAGGTTGAGGAGTTCAGATCTGCAGGAGTGCCAAGGAGTATGGCTTCCGTCTTGTCCATATTCAGGTGCAGGAAGTTTAATAATAATAATCCTTGTATTTGATATAGCACTTTTCACATCTTCTAGATGTCTCAAAGCGCTTCACAGAATATACTGTAAAGTGAATTCACTGTATATTTTGTGGGCAAAACACGGCAGCCAATTCCACACAGCAGTGTCCCACAAACAGTCGTGAATTAAGTGGGTGTGTAGAGTAAGGAAACTTGCCCAAGGTTTCGTCCTGCTGGGTCTCTAGCTTGCCAGGTGAGTGCTCTAACCACTGAGCTACAGGACTCATCCAGGCTTTGATAAACATTGGCTGATAGAACATTGGCGGACCTGGAGTTGATACTGGAGGAGACAAAGTAGATTTGTGTGTCATCCACATACATGTGGACGTTTTCCCTGTGTCTGCGGATGACATCGCCCAGAGGGAGCATCTAGATAAGAAAAAGAAGAGGGCCAAGGTTGAAGCCCTGGGTTACCCCGCAGATGACCAGCAGGGGCAGGAGGAGAAACCATTTGCTGAGATGAAATGAAGGCGGTTGGTTAAGCAGGACTCGAACCATGCAAGTGTGGTCCCACTAAGATAGATGAAGGAGGAGAGACGATGGAGGAGGATGGCGTGGTCGACTGTGGTCGATAGATCCAGGAGGAGGAGGCTGAGGGAGTCCTGGTTACAAATAGAGAGAATGTCGTTTGTGACTTTGACAAGCCCTGTCTCTGTGCTGTGGGCAGGGTGCAAACCAGACTGCAGGGGTTCGAGGAGGGAGTGGACGGAGAGGTGTGACCGAATTGACCCGCAACAATGAGAAGGATAGGTTGGAGATGGGACGGTAGTGTGCGAGATTAGAGGGCTTGAGGGTGGGTTTTTTGAGGAGGGGGTATGATGACAACGGTTTTCAGGGGGAGTGGAACAGAGCCTGAGGAGACAGACTGGTACCACACTGTACACACAGTGACAAGGATAGTGGCACTGAGACTAAAGAGAGTGAGTGACCCTGAGTGACGGTCAATTACCCTGTAGACCTTATATACCACACACATGCACCACAGAGATAGAGAGTGAGAGTGTCACACTTCCTGCACACAGCATCCATGTCATACTCTTTTCATCCCACCCTGACAGACAAGGTATACCTTATACACCACAGAGAGAGTGAGTGACCCCTGAGACACATGCCAACCCATATGGTAGTATTCCAGTAAACGTGAGAAATGGGGACCTGACCTTTCTTTTCTCTTCTCCCTAACAGACAACCGGCTTGGTTGGGCTTGCGGTCGCCCAGAATCCTCATGAGGTATTATGTTTGAAAGTTTTTCCTCCCTATCCTGTCATATACTGTTTTACAAATTGCGAAGTTGTGCTGCCTTCAAAACTTTGACACCCAGTTCATCCAATTTAAGATTCTTCTCTTGCATCTGCAGCATTCTTAGAGGTGTCGTCCTTCGAATGAGATGTTAATCTGAGGTCACATCTGTCCTGTGCAGGTGGATATTATAGATCCCGTGGCGCTATTGGAAAAGAGAAGGGAGTTTCTCTCTTCTTGGGTCCTGGCTGACAAACCCCAACGTTTAAAAAAAAATGTTCATTCACAGTTACTGCACAATAGACAGTAAAAAAAAATTCTGTGAAGTTCTTTGAGACGTCGCAACAACGGGATTGAGCGCTGTGTTAAACGTAAGCATAATTTACGTTATTCTTTTGCAGAGACTGAGGATCCTCTACGCTCGGATCCTGGGAGCCTTGCAGGAGATGCCCAAGGAGGCAGGCTACAGAAAGTACACTGAACAGATTGTCAACGATAGATTGAACCTGGTGCAGTCGGTACGTTGGGTGAAGTTCATTTAACCTATTTTAATAGGCTGGGATGGTTTGAATTGGCTTAAATTGTAACTCAGAAGAGTGGTTGAGGCCAGGGCTCTGGAACTCCGTCCTGGAGTCCCTCTGATTTGCTCCCTCCCTCACTTATTTCAATGTCCATCTCAACATGTAACTCTTTGACTCTGGTCATCTTTTCCCTCCCCACCCTCTCTTGGCTTCTAACCCCAGCTCAGTGAAGCCTATGGGATATCCTCTTGATGTGAAAGGAACTGTAAATGTAAATTTATATTGTATAGTTATTCAAGAAACGGCAAGATGCTGTAATGGAATGATATCTGGGGGTGGGGTGGTAGTTGAATTTTCAGGATGACTTAGTAATTATTCCAAATGATCATGCAAGCTGGATCAAAAGAGGACTGTAATGCATAAGGGAAACCATGAGGGGATGTGGTAAAAAGTGGGATTTAAGGTAAAAAGTGATTTAGAAAGACGAGCAGTGATGGGCTAAACTGCCCCCTTTTTAAGTTTGGCACAGTGGTAGCAATCTCTCTCGAGTCAGAAGGTTGTTGGTTCACACCAGGATTCAAACTCACATTCCAGGCTGACCCTCCGATGCTTTGCTGGGGGAGCGCTGCAATGTCGCAAATGCCATCTTTTGGATGAGACATTAAGCCGAGCTAACTTCTATCTGTCAGGACATTAAAAATCCCATGGCACTATTCGAAAAGAAAAGGGAGTTTCTCTCTCCCAGTGCCATGGCCAACAATCTCCCAGAAAAAATTGGTCATTCATTTCATGGCTGTTTATGGTACATTGCAATGCCCAATGGGCTGCCGCGATTGCCTACAAATACGCAGTCACTGACTTCATAGTAAATCCTATGAAGCTCCTTGAGACATCCTCCCGACATGATAAGGCGCTGTGCCAAATGAGGATTATAAAATTTCTTTGTGTTTCATATCCAAGCCTTTCTTGTGATCTCTTGACCTGTGCTGTATGTTGCAGGAGAAAGATGTGGAAAAGCTAGAGGGAAAACTCAACTGTGGGCAGATTGAAGAAGTCATTTTCCAGGTACGGAGTGTTCCTGGAGCATTTGGAGCCTTATGTGCATGTGTTTACTGCAATCGTTGATCTTTCTTTCTGCTGCGATAATAATAAAATTGGCCACTCACTTCATAGTTGTTTGTGGGCAATTGCTCTGTGTAAATGGGCTGATGCGTTCACCTACAAATACAGAATCATTGCACTTTAAGTGTATCTCGTGAAGCGCCTTGAGACTTCGACCTGAAGTGAAAACCTGTGTCAAATGTAAGGATTAATACGTTTTGTCATGTTGGTTAGGATGAGCTGCCTCGCCCTTGAGGGCCTCCTTATACATTGAAAAAATTCCCTTCTAAACAAGGAAAGAGCTGCTTTCCCTCTCCCAATAATCTGGTCGTAAGGCAGCTATGGTTCCATAGCTTCTTTATATGCACTTGCTAGGTCAGTCCATAGCACTATCACTTCTGGGTCAGAGGTTGTGGGTTTAAGATTCCTTTTGGGATTTTGAGTTCACTGTTCAGGCTTACATAGAGCAATACTGGGAAACATTGCAATGTTGGAAGCCTTATGTACCTATTCACCCCCCCTGCAAACCCATTCATTTGCATCGGAGATGTGAGCACAAAATACTCTGTGTGCATGCTTGAAGTTGTGCAAATTGGTTTGAGGTTACTAAGGACTCAGAGAGGAAAAAGGCAGATTGAAAGAGTTAGCAAGAGAGGTATAGAGAGATTGAAAGGGAGAGAGGAGCTGGTTGATGGAACAAGTTTTTATTTGGCACTGAAAATGATTTGTATTGTGTGTGATGTCCAATCATCCACACTGTCCTCTTAACCGCAAATGGGGCCGGTGCTCACCAGTAAGAGAACCATACTTGAGAGCAATCAGCTGTGAAGATCTTTGCGTCCCTTCGACTTTAAAGTTTCTATATCAAATGCAATGATCAACAACAACATCTTGCATTTATATAGCACACTTCACGCGGAACAGCATTTCAGAGCACTTAAACGATGGTGCAAAGAAATTTCTTGATCAAAACTGGGGCGACCTCAGTCGAATATAATACATAATTTGATATAATTTGGTATTAGATATAATACATAATTACCAGGGATCACATATTCCCTTGAAAAATAAAAATACCACGGGAAAAGTGGTTTAATCCTGGCTACCTAGAGAATTAGGGAAATATAAAATTAAAAGAAGAGGCCTATAATACTGCCAAAACGAGCAGTAAACCTGTGGATAGGGAGGGCTTTAGACATCAGCAAAGGAAAACCAAGAAACTGATTAAGAGGGAGAAAATGGAATATGAGAATAAACTAGCTAGGAACATAAAGACAGATTGTAAGAATTTTTACAAGTACTTAAAGAGGAAGAGACTATCAAAAGTGAATATGGGCCCATTGCAGGCAGAGACAGGAGAAATTGTAATGGGGAATAAAAAAAAAGCAGAGTCATTAAACGATTATTTTTCTTCAGTCTTCACGTTAGCGGACACTGAAAACTTACCAAAAATAGGTGGGAATCTGGAGGCTAATGTTACTGTCAGTAATGTCAGTAAAGCAATAGTACTAGAGAAATTGATAGGATTAAAAACCGATAAATCCCCTGGACCTGATGGCCTGCATCCTAGGGTTTTTAAAAGAGGTGGCTGCAGAGACAGTGGATGCTTTGTTTTTGATCTTACAAAATTCTCTGGGTTCTGGAATGGTGATTGGAAGGTCGCAAATGTAACGCTGATATTTAAGAAGGGTGGGAGACAAAAAATGGGAAGCTATAGACCAGTCTGACATCAGTGGTAGGAAAAATTCTAGAGTCCTTAATTAGGGACGTCGTCGTGGGGTACTTAGAAAATCATAACATGAATAGGCAGAGTCAACATGGCTTTACGAAAGGGAAATCATGTTTAACAAATCTTATAGAGTTTTTTGAGGATGTAACTAGCAGGTTAGTTAGGGGGGAATCAGTAGATGTGGGGTATTTGGATTTCCAGAAGGCATTCTACGGTGCCACAAAAAAGGCTGTTGCATAAGATTAGAGCCCATGGAATTAAAGGCAATATATTAGCATAGATTGGAGAGTGGCTAACAGGAAAAAAACAGAGAGTAGGGATAAACAGGACCTTCTCAGATTGGCAGGATGTGACAAGTGGAGTGCTACAAGGATCAGTACTTGGGCCTCAATTATTTACAGTCTATATCAATGATTTAGATGAGGAAATAGAACTTAATTCGCAGACGATACGAAGATAGGTGGGAGAGAAAGCTGTGAGGATGACACACGAAGAATGCAAAGGGAAATAGACAGGCTAAGTGAGTGGGCAAGAAGGTGGCAGATATAATGTGGGGGAGTGCAAAGTAATTCACCTAGGTTATAAAAATAGAAAAGCGGATTTTTTCTAGAGGGGGAGAGACTAGGTAGTGTTAGTGTTCAGAGGGATTTGGGTATCCTTGTACACCAGTCACAAAAAGTTAGTGTGCAGGTACAGCAAGCAACTAGGAAGGCTAATGCCATGTTGGGGTTCGTTGCAAAAGGGTTAGAGTACAAGAGTAGGGATGTTTTGCTGCAGTTGTATAATGCCTTGGTGAGACCGCACCTAGAATATTGTGTGCAGTTTTGGTCTCCTTATTTAAGAAAGGACATATACTTGCCTTAGAGGGGGTGCAGTGTAGATTCACTAGGTTGGTTGCTGGGATGAGGGGGTTGACCAATGAGGATAGGTTGAGTAAACTGTTTCCCCTCGTTGGAAAGTCTAAAACTAGGGTTCATAGTCTCAAGATTATGGGTCAGCCTTTTCAAACTGAGTTGAGGAAACATTTCTCCACTCAGAGGGTAGTGAATTTGTGGAATTCTCTACCCTAGGAGGCTGTGGATCCTTGAACATATTCAAGACTGAGTTTGATAGATTTCTGAAGGATAGAGGGATTAAGGGATATGGGGCTAGAACGGGTAAATGGAATTAGGTTAGAAGATCAGCCATGATCTTATTAAATGGCGGGGCAGGCTTGAGGGGCTGAATAGCCTACTACTGCTCCTACGTTTTATGGTCTTATGGAATCATAGGAATTTACAGCCAAATCGGCCGATTAGGTTCTCACCGGCTCTCAGAGTAACCTCTGTCCTGTCCCAATTCGATCGTTGCCTGTTGATTTCCCTCTTGAAACCTACTGTGAGTTTGCTTTTTTTATCAGTGCTCCACTTTTCAGCTGGGTTTCCCCACCAGAGCACTCTGGCTTTTGATTCTAGCATTTCTTTTCTGAGCTGGGGGAGGGGTAAAGTGGGGGTTAGGCATTTTGTGCTGCAAAATTCTCAAGCATTCGTTTCGCCTGAAGCATCACGAGCAGCCCACAAACCATCCAATCTTAGGACAATGAGCATTCTCTCCTCAGTCAGACCTGACCGCAGTCTCCCAGCATAATCTGCTGCATCCAATCGATTGCACACCAATCAAGTGTGTTCAAAGCCTCTGAATCCAGACTCCAGCATAGTACAACACACACTCTGGGGATCCCTACCCTTGGATCTTACCAGGCACTTAATATTGTCTGAGATTAGGTAAGCAGGATAGGTCCCTCCAGGGAGAGAGTGTACATTCCGTTCCAGTCATGGCGAATTTCTATGTGCATGAAATTCTGGTTTGTTTGGATACTATAAAGCATTATGTTGGGATGCCATGTGAGTCAGACACCCGACTGCCCCAAAAAATCCCAATCCTGATTATCTTATTTGAATTACAGGCTGAGAGTGAATTGAACCTGGCCCGGAAAATGGCTCAGTGGAAACCCTGGGAACCCTTAATAGAAGAACCCCCGGAAAATCAGTGGAAATGGCCAGTTTAAACAACGGCTCCTTCAACGCACAACCAGCCTGAAGCTGCCCGAATTTCACCATTAAAATGAATCTCTGCAACGGTCAACATGTGCTGTCCGCTTTTTATTTTCAATTGGCTTTCCCTACTTCCCCCATCCCCAGGCTACAAAATTCACCCGGATCAACCCCCACCCGGATCAATCCACTCCCCCCACACGCACTTCACCCCCATCGTCGCCTGGTTTACGCTGCCCCTCCTCCAACCTGTCACCGATTGGATGAATTTCAAGCTCCTCACCCTCACGTATAAAAGCCTCCACATGTTCTCACCTCCCAATCTCTGATCTATTCCTTTCCCATTCCTCTGCTCGCCCCTTCACTCAGCTAACACAGGATTGATGCTCACTCCGCGCTACCATCAGTAACTAAGCCTTCAGTCACTCCGCCGCTAGCTTTTGGATTAACTTCCTTTTGTCTCTCCACATCAGCCCCTCTCAATCGATCTTTAAATCCTACCTTAAAACCTACCGCTTCGACCCCACCTTTGGTTCACCTTCCACTCCCGGTTCTCACTGGCTAGGTGTCAAATCCTGCCACAGTGAAGCGCTCGGAAATATTCCCCCACCTGAAGGGCCCAGTAAGTTGTTACTGGCTGTTTCAGTTTCTATCCTCTAAACGTTGGAACGCTACCTTTTCAAATGTGTCTTTCTTACCCCCACCGCCACCTCGCTGGCTCGGTGTCCAACCCGATCCCTGTGAAATGCTCCGAAGATGTTCCCCGACGTGAAGAGCTCTATCCAAATACAAGCACCTATTGTGGCTGTTTCATGATCAAATTCCATTTATTTGACGTTCTCCAGCCAATGGTATCAAGCCCATCGTGATTGCTATGTTTCAGGTAGATATTGAGCGAACGTTAAACAATTCCATGATACTATTTGAGAAGAGAAGCGAGTTTCTCCTGGTTTGACAACCAATCCCCCCCGATAAAATTGGTCGCTGTTTGTAGACCTTTCCTGTGCATTGGATGACAACTGAGTTTGCCAACAAATACACAATCTATACTGTAACTGTTACATTGAACTCTACAGATGCCTACAATGTTATTCTGTTTAGCAGTATTCGAGTTGTATTCACTGCGCTTTCACCATGTTCCACAGTCCCCTTCACTACCCTTCACTAACAGGACTTTGGAGCTGAACTGGCCAATCAACCCATCAAGCAGGTTCTGCAAGATTACAAAATCATAGCAGATGTTTAATTCCATATGTTTTATACCCTTATGATGTCAGCCTGGCTCAGTTGGTTGCACTCTGAGTCAGAAGTGTATGGGTTCAGGCGTCACATTGGAACTTGGAGCTCACACTGAAACTCCAGGGCAGCGCTGCTTTGTCAGAAATGCCATCCTTCAGGTTAGATTTTGAATCAAGGTCCCATCTGTGTCTGTTTAGGAAGATGTTAAAGATCCTGTCTCGCAATTGGAAAAAAGGGAGTTTCTCCTGGTGTCTTGGCCGACAATCCCCCAGATAAAACCAGATATTCACTTTGTGGCTGTTTCTGGGACACTGCTGTGGGCAAATTGACTGGAACATAGGAACAGGAGGAGGCCATTCAGCTCTTCGAGTCAGTTCTGCCATTTAATTAGATCATGGCTGATCTGTACCTCAACTAATTCTTTCAATTCCAATTTCCCACTTTCTCCCCATATCCCTTAATGACCCTTAATGACCCCTGACCTATTAAAAATCTATCAATGGTGCAGACGGACTGTTCCATCCACCTGCACATGCACAGTCACTACACTCAAATTTGGTGAGATTTTGATATTTTGATGTGATTTTAAGAGCTTTTAAAATTACTTCCCTCCCCCACTCCCTCGGCTCCCACCATAACTCAGGTGCACATCTGGCACTGAAATGTTTCAAGACATCCTCCCAATGCGAAAGGTCCAATGTGAATGTAACTTGTTATTGAGCACATATAAAGTAATAAAGAGTCAGTAGCCGCCCCCCCCCCCCACCCCGTGTCCTAAGTCTCTGCATATAAGCATCTCGAGATTTTGCCTGTACGCCTAAGCAGCGTGTTCCTCTGTCAATGACTAAAGTTCCTCATTCTCTATCCTTTCCTCCTCTCCCCACGCTGTTGTGTGTTGAGTGTCAGTGTTATGCAGACTCTGCTGCAGACAGGATCAGAGTTTGGAACCTGGAAGTTGGTGGTGGTTACGTGCCCGTTGCTGGGAGACGGCTGACAACAGCACAAGCCCTGGAGACGGGGTGAGAGACAGGCCCTGTTCTGCCGGACTCCAGCCCACTGGCTGCCAAACCTCCTGCTTCCCTTTGACGGCTGTGATACGGGGATTGCCTCTGCGCAGAGCACCTGCAGTCCGGTCACTTCATTTAGTTTTGATTCCAAAAGCGATTAAAACTTCAGGTGAGTCAATTTATTGAACCGAACGTTTTGTCAACACTTTGTTCTGTTATTGTTTAAGCCAGTTGTATGTCCCTCCCTCTCTCCCTGAATCAGGTTGTGTCCTGGTTCAGGGTCTGTCTCGACATGATTCTTTGACTGGGCTTTGGGTTATCTTTCGCCTCCCACCCCCAACTCGGACGCCAAGCCGAGGCTGTTCAGCGTCTCAGTGAGAAAGCTCTTGTGTAAATGTAAATTGATACTGTGTTGTGGGAGGACTCTCTGTCTCTGAGCACACCGGTCTCCCGGTTAAGCTTCATATGTTTTCCAGTCTCTCTGATCTCCTCCTGCCCCGCTCCTCCATCTCGTACCCACTCGTCTGCCTGCCTGCCTCGCTCTCTCTCATGGATGTGGAACGCTCTGTGCTAAAGGCACAGTTAATTGTGAGTTTAAGGAAGGAAGTTGACAAGTATATGAAAGGTAGAGGTTTGAAGTTATATGGGGATAGGGCAGGACGAGAGATGAAGATTGAATGGACGGCTTGGTCTGAGAGCTGGTGCAGACTCAATGGCGCTCAAAACTTCTACGGTTCTGTGATTCTCAGGATTTAACTTTAGATTTGTTTTTAATTTTGAAAAATAAGGTAAATGGCGGACGAAGAGGAAGGAGGCGAGCAGTCATTGGCACAGGAGTCAGTGGATGTACCCCCAGAGTCTGATCAAGCAGCCAGCAATGAAAGAAAGGAGCTTGTCGATGGGGGAGAGGCTGGGGCTACAGAGGGGACAGAGCAGGCAAGTGGAGCAGAGCAGATAGGAGAGGCAGAAAGAGAGTCTGAGGCCACAGAACAAGTGACTGAGGCAACAGGTGGTGCGGCGGGTGAGGATGAGAAGACTGAGGTAGAGGGCAGGGAGACTGAGGGAGAGGACAGGGAGAGTGAGGGAGAGGGCAGGGAGACTGAGGGAGAGGGCAGGGAGACTGAGGGAGAGGGCAGGGAGACTGAGGGAGAGGACAGGGAGGCTGAGGGAGAGGACAGGGAGGCTGATCAAGAGGACAGTCAAGCTAAGGGAGAGGACAAGGAAGCTGAGGGAGAGGGCAGGAAGCCTGAGGCAACAGAGGGGGAGACTGGGGCAACAGAGGGGGAAACTGGGGCAACAGAGGGGGAGACTGGGGCAACCGAGGGGGAGACTGGGGCAACAGAGGGGGCAACAGATGGAACAATGGAAGCAGTACAGACAGTGAAGGATGAACCAGTGCCCAGGGTTGTCGTATTGGATCTGCCTGGTATTTCCGGATGTGATGGTAAGTAACTGTACCTACAAATACTTTCCCTTTTCCTGTTCATTAGATCACAAGATTGTTTATGATGAAGAAGAACGTTTGGTCTGTTTGAACTCATTACCTCCAGCAAACCCATCGAACCAACTTCCCATTCTTCCTCCGGCCTCTTCCCAATCACCCTGTGCCAAACTTTGTTCTCCTCGATTATAATAATAATAGTAATAATAATAATCCTTGCATTTGATATAGCGCTTTTCACGTCGGGAGGACGTCCCAAAGCGCTTCACAGAACACACTGTAAAGTGAATTGACTGTATATTTGTGGGTGAACCGGCAGCCAATTGCACACAGCAATGTCCCACAAACAGTCGTAGATTGAAAATGACCAATTTATTATTTTTTGTTTTGGAGGGATTATTATTAGATGTGTGGAGTAAGGAAACTTTCCCAAGGTTTAGCCTTTCGTGGAATTGAACCCAGGTGTCTCGCTTGCAAGGCGAGTGCTCTAACCACTGAGCTACAGGACTCCACGATCTCTCTGCTGCCTCATTTAACCCAGTATGATTCGTCCCCACTTCTCCCCTCTGCTCCACCTTCACAGTTTTGTCCTCTCATGTTTCACTCTTACCTAGCCCAGCATGTTTTATATCCCCGCCTCATTTTCCCCCCCATTGGCCCCCCAACCCTATCAGTCCCACCATAATGGGCTGAGCTTTCATCCATTCTTCAACCTGCACTTCACCCCCTCTTGCTTTTATCTCTGCTGACTTCTCCTCCCTCCTCTCCTGTCACAACCTCTCCCTCCACATTCACTCTGCCACCCACGTACCCAGCCACCCACTTGACTTGGTGATCACATGGGGGCTCAGCCTCTCGGATCTCACCATCACCGACAAAGCCATCTCGGACCACTACTTCATCTCAAAGCACTGTTCAATCCTTCTCCTCACCGCCACCCAACCCGTTTCCATCTCCTACCGCTCCTGGAAAAAAAGCTCCCTTCATTCCCTCTCCGGAGTCATCTGAACTCCTCGCCCCCTGGGATTCCTCCCGCATTGACTTATCCTCCTCAGTCATACTCCTCCACAACTCCCTCTCCACCACTCTCAATCTCCTTGCCCCTCTCACCTCCCGAATCACCTCCTACTCACAAAATTCACTCTGGTACACCAGCAACCTCCACTTCCTCAAGACTGGTGCATCCCACCAAACTCACCTGGCTCAAATTTAATTTAACGGTCCATCAGCAGATCTGGCTGGACCACATCAAAACATACCGCTCCGCCCTTGCCTCCACTAAATCGTCCTTCTACTCCAAGGACAACTCCAGGCTCCTCTTCTCCATCACCACTTGGCTTCTCCGCCCACTCTTATGCCTAGCCCATCCTCTCCTCCAATTCCAACTGCGAGATGCTGGATTTCCTCAAGATCAAAATCGAGGGGATCCGCTCAGCTGCCTCTGCCCTCCCAGCCGCTAACCCCTCCCCATCTCCCCCTCATATTCTGGCCCCTATCCATCCCTCCCTCCACACCTTTGAACCTGTCTCCTCCTCCCATCTCACCACCATTGTAACCCACATAAAACCCACCACCTGCTGTCTCGACCCCATCCTTACCTCTCCTCTTATCTCCCAGTCTGCATCCTTGCCCCTCTACTCACAGGCATCGTCAACCTCTCCCTGTCCACTGGCACCTTTCCCACCCGCTTAAAAACAGCCGTCATCACCCCTATCCTCAAAAACCTTCCCTGGACCCATCCCTGCTCTCAAATTACCACTCCATCTCTAACCTCCCTTTGCTTTCCAAGGTCCTTGAACTTGTCGTTGCTTCTCAGTTTAGCTGCTTCCTCTCCCGCCACTCCCTCTACAAACTCCTCCAATCAGGTTTCCGTGCTGCACACAGTACAGAAGTAGTCCTGGTCAAAGTGATAAATGACATTCTGTCCATCTGCAACCAGGGCTCCCTCTGTCTCATCCTCTTTGACCTCACTGGTGCGTTTGATGCTATTCTCCTCTACCATCTCTCTCCTCACCTCGACCTTCATTGTTCTGTCCTTGAATGGTTCAGATTCTACCTCTCGCACCGTCTCTACTTTGTGTCTACAAACAGCATTCTCCTCCAGCCCCTGCACTGTCTCGTGCTGCGTTCCTCAGGGCTCTGTCCTTGGTTTTTTTCCTCTTCAACCTGTACATGCTCCTTCTTGATGACATCATCTGTATACATGGGTCAACTTCCACATGTATGCGAATGATACCCACCTCTATCTATCTGCCTACACTCTCAACTCCAGGTCCCTGATGTCCTGACAGCATGTCTATCAGATATCAAGTCCTGGATGAGAGCTAACTTTCTACAGTTGAACGTCAACAAGACCGAGGCTCTCCTGATTGGCTCCCGTCAGTGTTTCCACACCTCAGGCGCTGACAGCATCACCATCCATGGATGCACACTGAGACAGTCAGCAGCCTTTCTCCCCATATCTGTGTCATGACCCGCTTTGCCTTCCTCCAACTCTGCTCATCTCACCAACTCCCTGCTTGTCGGCCTTCCCAACCCTTCCACCCACAAGCTGCAGATCATCCATAACTCTGCAGCTGGTGTCCTCGCACCCGGTTCCATGGCCCCAACAACCCCACACCCCCCCGACTTTCACTGGTTCCCCTTCCCTCAGAGGATAGAGTTCAAAATCCTCATTCTCGCCCTGCCCCCTCATCCCTTAGTGACCTGCTAACCCCTCAATAACCTGTGTGCTTCCTCCACTCAGCAAGCTGTGTCCTGCTCCACGTCTACCGCCCGGTCCAACCCACCATTTGCGGTCGGGTCTTCAACCTCTCTGCCCCCACCCTTTGGATCTACATCCCACATTCCCTTTGCCTCATCTCTTCCCTTGCTTCCTTCAAGGACATCTTCAACTGTGCCTTCGGCCAGCCTGCTACCCTCCCTTATCCCAAAGCCCCCCATCCCTCCTCGGGTAGAAATCCCTGACTGTCCAGAGAGTCTCTAACCTCAGCCCCTATGCCTTGCCCCCTTTCTCCCTTGCCCCCTCTCTCCTTTGCCCCCTTTATCCCTTGCTCCCTCTCTCCCTGCTTTCAGACCTGGCTTAAGGCCTTTCTTTTTGACTGCTCTTTCAGTCTCCCCTTCACCCCTCTCCTAGCTAATGATACCCCATCCTGAATTAGCAATTGTGAAGCTCTTTGAGGCACCCTATAGCCTAAAATATGCTAAGTGCCTTTTCAAATCAGGGGGACATCTCAAAGTATTTGCAGGCTAATGTAGCAGTCAGTTTGCACGCAGCAACTTCCCACAAGTGAGTGAGTTACCAATTTTATCTTGGGGATTGTTGCCAAGGGCACTGGGAGAGAGAGACTCTCTTCTCTTTTCCAAACATTTACCCACAAAATACAGTCACTAGACTATACAATATATCCCGTGAAGTGATTTGAGATGTCTTGCTGAGTTGATCAGGCACTATATCAAATGCAAGGATTATAATAATAACTGAGCGGGGCTAACACAGATGCTTCGGATGCTAAAGTTGCAGACAAGCTGCGTTCCACCACCTCATTTGATGCAGTCAAGGGGTTACTCAGACTCAGAGGGTGGAGAGGGGAGGGACAGTATGAACATATCTGCTTTATGCAAAGGGTGGCTAAGAACAACACCACCAAATTTAGATTTATACTGTTCCTTTCACGTCAAGAGGATGTTGAGGGTTTGCACCCGAGCTGGGGGATAGATTCAAAAGGGTGGATTCCAATGAGGGTGGGGGCCAAGGGGGGTGGGTGACAATGGGGTTGGAGCCACGAGATGGATGCCAAGGGGATGGGGTGGGAATATGACTGAACGCAAAGAGGAAGGTCTTGAGACAGCCCTGGAAGGAGACAAGGGAAGGGACAAGGCAGAGGGGCTCCGGGATTGAGTTCCATAGGTTGGGGGCAGAAAGACTACAACAACAACAGCTTCCATTTATATAGTGACCTTCACATGGGAGTGCTTGACAGTGGTGGAGTCTGACACCGAGCCAGAGGGAAGGGTGAGGTTACCGTAAGCACGATCAAAAAGGAAGATCTTTAGGCGGGATTTGAAAGTGGGGAGAGAGGGGGCAAGTCGGAGGGATTGAAGAAGAGATCCAGAGTTTCGGGGAGAAGTAGCTGAAGGCAAGGCCACTGATGGTGGAGCGGAGGGCACGAGGAACAAACAGGAGGCTGGAACCAGCCGAGCGGAGGCAGTGGGTGGTAGTAAGCAGATTGGATAGGTAGAGCGTGCAAGAGCATGATGGCATTTGAAAACAAGTGAGAGGATCTTGAAATTGATCCGTTTGGTAATTGGGAGACAGTGGAGCCTGGGAAGAACTGATGTGATGGGGTACGGAGTTTGTGTGGATGAGTATCCAGGTGGCGGAGTTTTGGATCAATTTAATTTTGTGTGTGGTGGAGCTGGGGAGACCAGCGAGGAGGGCATTGGAATAGTCCAACTGAAAGTAACTAAAGTGGCTAAAGAACTGACTGCCAATGGTGGAGCAGGCAGGGCGGGGGATGTGGAAGAGGCCAGTGCCCACTGAGCAAATGGAAAGAGCAAATGGGTGGAACAGTGACCGGGGAGGTGGATCTTGGGAAGTCTCAAGGGGAGGATGAGTATTGAGAATGTTGATATTGAGCTAAATGAAGCCAGAATCATATCACCATTTTCAAGGTGCTATTTGTCTTTACAAACTGAAGGCAAATGCTTTCTCCTTTCTGCCGCCCAGAGATCGACACCTTGGAATGCCCTGAATCAGCGAGTCCTCCAATGAGCTGTGAGGATCTGCAGAAGATACTGGAGGAGCAAATGCGGCAGCTACGAGAGTCGGGAACAGTGTTCACCGTGTTTCCAGGTAACTGTGAGTGACACCATTCCTGAGGTTACAGGTAACTGTGAGTGATAGCATTCCCGAGGTTACAGGTAAGAACATAAGAACATAAGAATTAGGAGCAGGTGTAGGCCATTCGGCCCCTCGAGCCTGCCCCGCCATTTGATAAGATCATGGCTGATCTTCAGACCTAACTCTAATTACCTGCCCTATCCCCATATCCCCTAATCACTTTATTTTTTAAAACATCTATCAGTCTCAGCCTTGAAGATGTTCAAGGACTGAGCATCTACAACCTTCTGGGGTAGTGAATTCCATAAAGGAGGGTGGCCGAAGGCATGGTTGAAGAGGAGGACCTTGAGATGTCCTTGAAGGAAGCAAGGGAAGAAGTGAGGCAAAGGGAATGTGGGATATAGATCCAAAGGGTGGGGGCAAGAGAGGCTGAAGACCCGACCGCCAATGGTGGGTTGGACCGGGCGGTGGATGTGGAGCAGGACACAGCTTGCTGAGTGGAGGGAGCGCACAGGTTATTGAGGGGTTAGCAGGTCACCAAGGGATGAGGGGGCAAGACGAGAATGAGAATTTTGAACTCTATGGGAGCCAGTGAAGTTGGGGGAGTGTGGGATTGATGGGGCCACGGAGCCGGGTGTGAGGATACCAGCTGCAGAGTTGTGAGTGACAGCGTTCCCGAGGTTTACAGGTAACCATGAGTGACAGCGTACCCAAGTTTACAGGTAACCGTGACTGACAGGGCTCCCGAGGTTACGGGTAACCTGGACCAGACTGTATCCTCTGGTTCAGTGTTTGGGGAAAGCTTGGAGGATTCTTCAATCGCAATCTGATCCAAACCCACACAGCAGCTTCCAGGCAGCTCATCGTGTGAAGACTTTGAGACATTTTAACAAAATGCATGAAATGCAGGCGAGGTTATGAGCAAGAGAAGGCCAGTCCGATGTTTTATTGCTGGCCGAGGTTAGTCTGAACGTGATTGTTTGTGTGTATCTAATCAGAGCAGCCTGCAGAATACACCAGGCTCAGCTGAGATATATAGAATCCGAGAGAGGTATGACTGAGAGGTGTTTAATTGGGATAAGACAGCGATTGTAAATCTGTGACAGGCATTGGGTATAAAAGATTAAATGGGATTCAAAAGGTAAATAATTTAATAATGCACCAAGATAATAGAACAAGAGGTCACAGGTTGGGAATTGTAAAGGGCAATTTCAGGACAGATTCCAGGAAGTCTTTTTTTTCTGCCATAGGATAATTAATGACAAACATTGTATTTTTCCAATGACATGCAGGAATGAAATCAACTGTTGAGCCCAAGAAGGAGACATGTGTGCCGGCGGACAAGAGCTTTCATCCATTCACTATCGTAAGAGATGTCTCACCCGCAGGTGAGGACATTCATGTGGAGAGAGAGGGGGGAGGTGACCAGATTAAAGTCGAGTGTTGTTATTTTCACATTCCGCAAGTCCTTTCGGTCATCTTTCCTGTCCCTCGGCTCCCACCCCCAGCTCAGTTGCCCAGTGTCAAGCTCTTGGAAATGTCCTATCGTGAAAGACACAGTACAATTGTAAATTATATTTAGAAAAGATTTAGAAGGAATGTAATGCAAGGACTCTCGGTCCAAACAGTACGTGCTGGCATTTATATTCTACACAATCCCCCTAGTCACTACAAGGTAATTTAGGAGGAACTATTTCACCCAGAGAGTGGTGAGATATTGTGTTGTACTGTGCTTCGAGACATTATTCTGTGTGAAGGGTACTCTATAAGTGTATATTTGTACTCTATTGTTGTATTTCTGTGTTTTTCCTGCAGGCCTAGTACTCCCCACGCCGTCTATAATCTGTGGTCTGGATCAGCTACCGATAGCATCTACTGCCGACAGAGATTTGAAGCTGAAAACAGTGATCCAGTCATATGCTGGCATCCTCAAGGACACAGTGGTGGATGAATGCGTCACAGCAACAGGTACCCAGCCATGTTAGGAGATGCCATTTCACTCTTGCTTTGCCAGCGCAATGGGATGGAGAGCACCTTTGCATTTCATTTCTGTATCTGAATCAGTGTGGAATCAATTAGGTGACTGTCCTGCTTGGGGAGGAGGTAAGCGGGGCTTCTTCGGAGCTGAACTGGTTCGAAGGTGACATGCTTGGCAACGGAATGTCAGAATCGAGCCAGCCCTTTGAGATAGTATCTAGTCTGCTTCCTGAAACAGACAGGTCTGCAGTATTCCAGAGTACTGCTGATGACAGCACAGCCAGCCTGGTTCATCAGCAGGATCTGGAAGGGCAGATCAGTCACTGGGGGCAGGGAGTCACCCGACTCAGCTCCCGTTATCGCTGTGAGCCAAAGCCCTAATGGTTAGGGTGGTCCTAGCTGGACAAGCAGCAGGAAAGTTTGCCAGACAGTGCTCCCAATGGCAAGTTATGTGGTTTTAGCTTGTTAGACTCCAACAAGTATCCCAATGCACACTTTGAGGTCCCCAAGCCTTGGTTCTTGCCAACCTGCACCCCAATACTGACTGACAATCCCCCAGATAAAATTGGGCATTCACTTCATGGCTGTTTGTGGGACATTGCTGTGTGCAAACTAGCTGCTGCCTTCGCCCACAAATACACACTCACTCCACTTTGCAGTATACCCTGTGGAGCACTTTTGAGATATGATAAGGCGACAATCAAGTTTTTCGTCTCTTGTTCTCCACCCAAGTTAAAGTGGTGCTGCTTCCTGATGAGCACGTCATGACCCTGGCCTTTCCCATCTGCTCCACCACGGGGAAACTCAAGGAGCGCTTCGGCAAGGAGCTGAAAATACCACCACGGATGCTGAAATTAACGTACAATTGTAAGTCTGAATCGAAATGAGAATAATGTCATGACAACAACCCTAGTGTTTGTGGGTCAGCCTGGCTCAGCCATTCGCACTCTCGCAATCCTCTTCCATCCCTCCGCCTTGTCCCTTCCTTCCCCATCTTCAGGTCCCGCCTCAAGACCTTCTTATTCGACCTTCATTCAAAACCTTGCCTTCATTCAAAACTCACCTGCACGAAACTCCGCTCCCCGATCATTCAGTTCTTGCCAGACTGTACTGGCTGCCTATCCCAGAGAGGATCGATTCCAAGATCCTCACCCTTCCCTCCCGGCTCGGTGTCATGCTCCGCCACTGTCAAGCGCTCTGGTACACTACCTGTGTGAGGGGCGCAAGTGGAGTCAGAAAGTTGTGGGTTCAAGCCCCAAGTCGGGACTTTGAGCACACAATCTATGCGGATGCTCTAGTGCAGTACTGAGGGACACTGTATTGTCAGTGGTGCCTTCCTTTGGATGAAATGTTAATCCGAGGTCCCGTCTGTGCCTGTTCAGGCGGATGTTAAAGATCTCACGCCACTCTTGGAAAAGGGCAGGAAGTTTCTCTCTCCTGGTGTCCTGGTCAACAATCCCCTCCCAAATAAAATGAGTCACTTCTAGATTATTTGTGGGATATTGCTGTGTTCATCACCAACACAATACACAGTCACTACACTTTGCAAGTATAGGCTGTGAGGCGCTTTGAGACGTCCTCGCGATGTGAAAGGCTGTATCAAATCTAAGGATTATTGTTACAATGGTCTGCTCCTTGGTCTCATGTTAAACAGATGATCTGAAACTTTTGATCGGAAACTTTGACTTAAACTTTACTCCGTCTTGGAATGTCTGATCAAGGTTTAAGTTAGACAAGACACTCCCCACCAGGAGGGTGACGAGACACTCCCTACCAGGAGGGTGCCAAATAATGCACGTTGTAGTTGTATGAAGCTGCTCATGTACCTTTTCTCTTTGAATGTGTTGCAGCCAAAACAGTCAACGATTCCCAAACACTGGTGGACTTGGGAGTGCGACCCCACGGAGCATTCCAGCTCGAATTGTCATCCATCAGCCCCTTACACTTTCCCATCAAGCCAATCCGCCCTCAGCAGTTTTACACCTCGGATATCATAACAGTCAGAGTCATCAGAGGTAACCTCAGGCATTTTTCCTACTCAGCTCCCGTTAACCCTGCAAGCCAAAGCCCTAAAGGGTAGGGTGATCCTAGCTGGACAAGCAGCAGGAAAACATGGCAGACAACAATATCAACGACAAGCTATGTGGGTTTAGCTGGTTAGACTCCAGCAGTTATCCCAATGCACACCTGGGGTCCCAAAAACCTTGGCCATTGCCATCTTCGGTTTAATACTTGTCTGGAATTAGGTAAGCAAGATGCGTCTCTCCTGGGAGAAAGTATGCATTCCATTCCAGACACGGAAATTCCCAAACATGGAGCACTTAGTCTGGTTTGGAGGCTTGAACATGGTGATGGGTTTCCACGTGTCAGATACACTTCTGGCCACAAAACAAAATGTCAAGACCACAGCTTTCTCCTTCATTGAATTGAAGCGCTCTGAGATGTCATCCTAGGTGAAGAGCGCTGTTTTAGTGTGATGCAGTGTTTTACTGTGATTTTAAATAAAGATTGCAAAGCAATCTATACTACATATAAGAGATAGGACACATTTGTGGCAGAAAGTTGTGGGTTCAAGCCCCACGTCGGGAACTTGGAGCTCACGTGTCTAGGCTGACACTCCAGTGCAATGCTGAGGGATGCGCTGCATTGTTGGAGTTACCATCCTTCAGAGGAGATGTTAAACTGAGGGCAGTCTCCCTGTTCAAGTGAACATTAAAGATCTCATGACACAATTGAAAAAGAGAAGAGAGTTTCTCTCTCCTGGTGATTTGGCAACAATCCCCCTGATAAAATTGGTCACTGACTTCACAGCTGTTTATGGGACATTGCTGTGAGCAAATTAGCTGCCGTATATTCCTGTGAAGCACTTTAAGGCGTCCTTCTGATGTCAAAGGAACCTTATGTTTGATGAGAGCAAGCAGCTGTTCTCATGCACTCAGTGATGTGTACACACCTTGCAGCCGACAACACCTGCTGTGAAGTGGCCGTGGAGATTGAAAGAGTTGCCTCGTTCAAGCCCTTCCTAGGCGGCTACAGGCACAAGCTGACAGGGCAGGAATTCCACCACGCAGGGACACAGACTAGCATGAAGAAGCGAGTGGATGACGGTGTGGAAAGGTTCTGCAGGGAGACCCAGGTACTGTTTTCCATCACCATAGTCTTCAGCGCCTGGTGGTAGCCCTCCATTCACATTTTTATCACCTCCAGCGCTCTGTTCAACAGACTCCCCAGCTCTTTCCTACACAAGCCGCAGACTTTCTGGAACTCTGCAGCTTGTGGTCCTCTCCCTCACTTGAACTTGAGCAAGTTCAAAATCCTCGTCCTCAGCTTTAAATCCCTCCACGATCTTGCCCCCACCCTAACTCTACGACCTCCTCAACCCAGCTACTCCATCCGCTCAGCAGGCACCAGCCTGCTTCACTTCCCCTACCTTGTCTGCCCCCCTCCAATCCGCAGGCGGGCTTTCAGACATTATGCCTCCCCTCTCTGCCCTGAGCTCCATCCCAGAGCTCCTGAGATAAGGAATTAAATGAAAGCCTTACCACTTCAACCACAACTATGTTCACCTTCCCTCTCTTTTCCTCGCTGACTGTCGTTGTCTAGCATTCCGAGACGTTGCCCTGCGTGAAGTGTGATGTGTAAATGCAGGTTGTAAACCGAGATCCAGCTGGAATTACTGCTGTCTCCAGTCTAGAACCATTAAGCAATAGAAATTCACATGCAGAAGAAGGCAATTCAGTCCATCGTGTCTATGCTGGCTCCCAGAAGAACAATCCTTTCAGTCCCAATTACCAGCCCTTTCCCCTTGTAGCTGACTCTCTTTAAGTTATCTGTCCAGTTCCCTCTTGAAGGTTAATAAGGATTCTTCTTCAACCATCTATCCTGGCAGCGCATTTCTTCCTGCCTTCCTGGTAACCTATCCGACTCTGTCATTGAAGGAGAGGGGTGGGGGACCTGCACTGTGACCCTTTGTCACAGTTTTCAGATGTATTATCTCTCTCTCTCTCTCACACACACGCAGACGACTTTTGAGAAAAATCGAGCCCAGCAGACGGCAAACAACACCTCCACACAGATGACTAAGATCGGCTGCTACGTTTCCAGCATCACAGACAAACTCGTTTGTCCTGGTGTCTACATGACGGCTACTGAGTTCCACGCGCGGCGTCTGAAAGCGGTGAGTTCCAGAGACTCGTCTGGTGGCTGAAAGTTTGAACTGTGTTCCTCTTCAATTCTTCAAGATTATCTTCGCTGGAGACCTCTTGACTCTTTTTTTACTTCTTACTTCTGGATGCAATTGGGGGGGAGGGCATGATTCTCCCAGGTAATCGTCACATGTCTATGTCAGCCTGCCTCAGTCAGTGGCACATTCGACTGAGCGTGAAGGTTGTGGGTTCAAGCCCCACGTTGGGAACTTTGAACACGGTCTAGGCTGACTCTCCAGTGCAGTGCTGGGGGAGTGCTGTGTTGTTGGAGATGCTGTCCCTGGGATGATACATTAAACCAAGGTCCTGTCTGTGCCTGTCCAGGTGGACATTAAAGATCCCAGAGCACAACTCAAAAAGATCATGGAATTGTTCTCCATTGTAGTGGCAGACAATCACTCAGATAAAATTGGTCACTCACCTCATGGCTGTTCATGGGACGTTGCTGTGTGTAAATTGGCTGCTGTATTCACCCACAAAACACACAGTCATTACACTTCAATGCTGTGAATCACTTTAGAAGATCCTTCCAATGTGAAAGGTGCTGTACCAAATGAAAAGATTATTATTATTATGATTTTTTCTTATATACTTGGCTACTTCCCTCCTGAAACCCACAATGTTGTCCTCTGCACTACCCTGCTTGGCAGAACGTGCCATGTTCCTTCACTAACCTTCGCTCCCGCTGCCACAGATAATTGTGATCCAGACGCATACTCGGCGTTGGCTGGCTAAGTCCTTTGTCCAGGAGCTGAGAGTGCAGAGGGACAAATGGCTGGAGTGGTCACGGCTGGAGGATCAGCTCGCTCGACAGAAGAAGGTGGACTACCTGAAAGGGGAATATGAGAGACGGATGAACCCCAAGACCAAAGAAGACTTTGATCTGCTTTATTACACCCTGCAAAGTAAGTCCTTTAGATGAAGTCTGAGCGTGAGAAAGGAATGGAGATTTCAAACACTGAGCACAAGAGAGCGACTTTATTTCCTGGTCTCTCGTTACACAGATCAGGGTCCAATAGGCAGCGATTACCAAAGCCCCTGGACATGGGTTTAAAATAGACTGCAGGGAAAGAAGCTATTGTGTTTTTATTGCTCAGCTCTAGCTCAGCTCTGAATCACTGATTGTCCAGCGCCTTGGGATGTAATGTTGTTATTGTTGTTTAAAAGTATCCAAACCATACTCATGTTCTCCCTCCATGAATCCCACCAAACTTGGAAATTTCCCTAGCTGAAATGGAATGCACACATTTTCTCCCTCTCTCCTCTCTCCAGAAGGACGAATCTGATTACTTAATTCCAAACAGTCTAACGTGCAGGTTGGAAGGAGCCAAGGCTTAATAATAATATTAATCACCCCAAACTGCTCAAGACTGCTTGAGAACCCCAGTTGGGGGTAACTCCTGGAGCTTAACCAGCTGAAACTGCCCAGTTTGCCATAGAGAGTAGTTCCAAGCAAGCTTCCAATCGCTTGTCCAGCTTGGACCATTCTGGCCAATACAGGAGATTTTTATTTACACAGAGAGTAATTATGGTTACCAGGAAGGGTGGCTAAGGCCAGAACCCTGGGACTCGTTGAAAAAGCAACTTGATGCTATGTTGGGGGAACGGTAGGCTGGATGTTCTGGAGGGATGAGGTCAGAAGGGAGGAAGGGTCTTCTTCATCCAGACAGATCTTGTGACCTTGTGATTCCCATGTGCCTGTCTGCAGGGTGGAAGGAGGAAGAGCTGGATTATATAAACAGAACGCTGAGTGGCCCAGCTAGGAAAGCTGCTCTCTGCACTCTGCTGGAAAAAGAGGCCGAATTGATCTCATCTATCGGGCGTCACAAAATCCGTGCTGTGAAGGAGTCAAAGCCACTGTTAATCGAGAAGCTTTTGAAAAAGGTGCGTGCTGTGCTGTCTGTAGAGACTTACAACAACAAAAACAACAAGTTACATTTGTATAGCGCCTTTCACGTCAGGAGGACACCCCAAGGCGCTGGACGGTCAGAGAATTGGACCCAAGCTGAGGGTTGGGATCAGGAGGGGTGGAAAGCAAGGAGGGTGGGGTAAGAGGGTGACCGAAGCCATGGTCAAAGAGGAGGGTCTTGAGACGTGCCTTGAAGGAGGCAAGGGAGCGAAGTGAAGAGATTGTAGGATGGAGTTCCATAGCGTGAGGGCAGAGAGATTGAAGGCTCAGAAATACATAAGCATTACATAAGTATAGAGTTACATAAAGTGATTCAGCACAGAAGCAGGCTGTTTAGCCCAACTAGTCCGTGCACTGTTTATACTCCACACGAACCTCCGCTTCTCCTATTCCCCTCTCCTGCACCTCTCTATTCCCCTCTCCTGTACCCCTATATTTCCTTCTCCTATTCCACTCTATTCCTCTTTCCTATACCCCTCTATTCCCCTCTCCTATATTATTCTCCAATACAATTCTGCATTAAGATTCTCTGTATGCACGTATGTGTGTCCATGGGAACTATTTTTCACTCAAAGTAGACTTTATACATGTGCAAAAGAAGAATTGTATAAAGTCTACTTTGAGTGAAAAATGTGCAAAAGAAGAATTGGAGTGGCTAGAAGTTGAGGTGTAGAGGCACATGTGCTGTGAATGGCAGGTGCTATAGTTCTATAGTTGTAAACCGGATTGTAAGGTAGGAGCGTTGTTCTTCACTTCATTTCCTGAGCAGGAAGTAACGTCAAGGCAGGTATCTTGACCATGTGCCTCCTTACAACATGGTCCCTTGATGTCTCTTCATATCTGGATGTACAAGGCAGGGCGAAACCTTGGGCAAGTTTACTTACCCCACATACCTAATAATAATCCCTCCAAAACAATAATAAATTGGTCATTTTCAATCCACGACTTTGTGAGACACTGCTGTGCACAATTGGCTGCCGTGTTTTGCCCACAAATATACGGTCAATTCACTTTACAGCATATTCTGTGAAGCGCTTTGAGACGTCTAGAAGATGTGAAAAGCGCTATATCAAATGCAAGGATTATTATTAAATTTCCTCTGATATACATTGATGCTTTTTGCTTCAAATACAGCTTCTGGCAGTGAGTACCACACTCTCACACCCTCTGTATTCCAATGGGGTCCATTTAGGTGTCAGCTAACTCAACTGATACTCTCTCTGATGGGTCAGAAGGTTGCCCTGCTTCAGAACTTTGAACTCACAGACTAGACTGACGATGCAGTGGAAGTGCTGGGGGCTGTCCTACAGTGTTGGAGATGTCTTCCTTCAGATGAGACATTAAAAGCGAGGTGTCCTGTCTGTCTGTTCAGGTGGATATTAAAGATCCCGCTGCACTGTTGGAAAAGAGAAGGGAATTTCTCTCTCTCAGTGTACTGGCCAGCAATCTCACAGATAAATTTGGTCATTCGTTTCATGCTTTTTTGTGGGACATTGCTGTGTGCAAATTGGCTGCTGCATTTGTCCACAAAATACACAATCACTCCACTTTACAGTATGAGTATACTGAATACACTTTATAGTATATCCTGTGAAGTGTTTTGAGACCTCCTTCTGTTCTATTATATGATTATAATTTGTGTGTCTTGAATTTCATAACGTCTTAACAATTACCTCAGATTAGACTCAGTTGTTTGAAACCTGGTTTGGCATTATGTTGTGCTATTTTGTTTACTCCCTGCATCCCCCTCCCTCTTGCTTTTTCTACCTCGCTTTCTTTCTCTCTATCACTCTCTCTCTCCTCCACTCTCTTTATCTTAATCTCTCTTGCTTTCTCTCTTATTCTTTCCTTTTCTTTCTTTCATTCTCTCGCTCCTGTTCTCTCTTGCTTTATTTCTCATTTTCTCACTTTTTTTCTTGCTTTCTTTTTTTCTCCCCCTTTGTCCCTCTCTCACTCTCTCTACCTCTTTCTCTTTCGTTCTGTCCTCCCCTCCCAGTGTGCAGATCCGATCCGGTGGAGGGCGTTTGATGGGAGAATCACTGAGATGGACACACAGTTCACTCTGCGGGCCAAGGAGTTGCGAGATATTTACAATACCATCAACATGAGGTACCTGACCCAAGACGAGAGGCTGGATGCTCTTCTCACACTAAAGCAGACGGTCATGGTATGTTCAAGCACCCTTGGTTAGGCTGGTTCTCTGGAAGCATGTATCTCCATGCCTTGCAATCTTCCTGATAAAGCTGCCGCAGTTGCTCGCACTTTCACTTCCGAGTCAGGAGGTTGTGGGTTTAAGCTCCACATCAGCTCACACTCCAGGCCAATGCAGAGGTTCATTGCAGTGCTGGGGGAGTGCATTGTCTGAGGCACAATCCTTTGTATGAGACTTTAAACCAAGGTCCTGCCTGTGTCTTCAGGTGGACGTTAAAGATCCAGGCAGTCACTCCAGTGCAGTGCTGGGGCGATGGTCCCAGTTGGACAAGCAGTGGGAAGCTTGTCAGGCAGGGCTTTCAATGGCAATTTATGCAGGTTTAACTGATTAAGCATTATCAGGTACCCATTCCATGCTCTTGCATCTCTCAAGCCTTGGCTCTCACCAACGTACACCAAATACCTTCTGAGATTAGGTTAGTAGGGTGAGACCCTCCGGGGAGAGAGTGAGTATTCCGCTGCAAACATAGGGAAATGGCCATGCATGTGTGGAATGCTTAAACATGGTGATGAGTTTATGCGTGCGATGGACACCTGGCTGATCAAATAGAATTCTTTCAGTTTAGGAACTTTACAGTACATCACATCAAACCGAACCTGACATCAGTGCTGCCTGCCTGCCTGTCTCTCTGGCTGTCTCTCTGCCTGTTTATATCTGTCTGACTCTCTGTCTGTCTGCATTTGTCTTCTGTCTCTGTCTGTTTCTCTGTCTCTGTCTCTCTGTTGCTTTCTCTATCTCGGGTTTCCAGCCAGCATTGTCAAGCACTGCGAGACATCCTCCTGATATGAAAGGTCCTATATAAATGTAAATTGTACCTCTTTCTCTCTGTAAAGGAGCATAATTGTAAATTGACGCAGGATATTGTGGAGTTGATTGACAGAGAGGCTGATCTCCTTTTGCGGGATGTGAAGGAATGTAACCTGAAAGGGCTCCGGAAGAGAATATCCACCCTCTTTCTTCAGTACATTAAAACCCCGATGTTCAACCCTGAGATTGCCAGGTTTCTTAAGGTATGTGTTTTAAAGATTGGCTCGACTCAAAAACAGAAGAGTTTCTGCCTCCCGGTGTCCTAGCCGACAATCCCCCAGATAAAATCGGTCATTCACTCCATGACTGTTTGCGGGACCTTGTTGTAGTGCAAATTGTCTACCATGTCAGGTTGTGTACAGCCAATCTGCCCCAGCATTTAGAATTCTATCCCAGAGTCCTTATAATTTGGCTCGCTCCCTCCCTCCCTTCCTCATTTTGTTCAAGGCCCACCTTTGACTGAGCTCTCGGTCATCTTTCCTGCTCCCACCCCCAGCTTGGATGCTAAAGACAGGGAAAGAACTGTGTAAATTTGTGTTATTATTGAAGAAGTGGCTTGATGCTGTAAGGGAATGACATCTGCCATTGTATTGTGTTGTATTGTCCTGCAATGCTCCTATGTCCAACTCTCTTCCAACCAGTGTGTGAACCTGAACTTCTTCTTCAGATTCCGCAGGACCCGATGCAGCTGCGGAAGAGAATTTACTACTGTGCGAGTTGTGCCAGTTATTTACCATCCACAGAGTTTGTGCTGTCCATCACCTCGCGGAGCGTTGGGGCGTGCCGCAAGTGCATCCGCCTGCACAACGAGGCTGGCAAGCGGGAGGAGTATTCCAACTACAAGCTGATGCTCACTGAGCTGAGGACCATGGAGGCTGCCTACAGAGATGGAGCCCAAGTGGCATTCCTGGTGAAGGTACAAATGAGACTGAAATTGGGAGTGGTGTGGCCAGTGTCTCGCTGGCTGAGAGCTGGGCGTTGAAAGGGAACATAGCGGAGACATTCGTTCAACCCAGTTCAATCGGCAGCGCTCTCACCTCTGAGTTAGAAGGTTGTGGGTTCAAACTCCACACCTCGGGTCTTGGAATCACACAGTCTAAGCTGATACTACGATGCAGTACTGGGACAGTGCTGCATTGTCAGAGCTGCTGTCCTTCACATGAGAAGTTAAACTGAGGCCTGTCTGCCTGTTCAGGTGGAAGTTAAAGATCCTGTGGCAATATTCAAAAGGGAAGGGAGTACTTTGAGCTCATAATCTAGACTTGTGGAGAGGAGGGTGGGGGTGGTGAAGTGGTGGGGCGGCTAGAGTGCTGTATAGTCAGAGGAGCCTTGAGACGTTAAACCGAGGTGCAGTGTAACTGTTTAGGTTAAAAATCAATTCCCCAGATTAAAATAAGTTATTCACTTAGAACCTTAGGAATCTACAGCGTAGAAGGAGGCCATTCGGTCCATTCGGTCTGTAGCAGTTCTCAGAGTACTGTCCATTCTGTCCCATTGTCCTGCCCTAACATTATACACCTTCAAGCTTCTATCCTACATATACCTGTCCACTTTCCTCTTGAAACCTACGATGGACTCTGTCTTTACCATCCTACTTGGCAGGGTCTTCCACATCCAAGCAACTTTCAAAGTGAAAACATTTCTCCTAAGCTCTCCTCATATCTGTGTCCTCCAGTCGATGACTCCCTGACAGTGGAGACAGCTTCTCCCTAAACCCTGACATGCATGCGGATGACACACAAATCTACTTTACCTCCTCCAGTACCAACTTCAGCTCCGCTGATGTTCTATCAGCTTGTCTGGCAGACATCAAGGCCTGGATGAGTGTAAACTTCCTGCAGCTGAGTATGGACAAGACGGAAGTCATACTCCTTGGCTCCCGTCAATATCTTTACTCCTGCGGATCTGAACTCCTCAACCTCCCTGGGCTCTCCCTCAGACTCACCGAACCAGTGCACAATCTAGGCATCCGGTTCGACACCCAACTGTCCTTCCTCCCCCATATCCGGTCCCTGACCAGGACCACCTTCTTCCTCCTCTGCTAACCAAACCTCACCCCAAATGCAGCTGAATCCCTCTTGCTTGCATTTGTCATCTCCCACTTGGATTACTCCAAAGCACTCCTCGCCGGTCTCCCTAGTTCCACCATTCACAAGTTCCAGCTGATTCAAAACTCTGCCGCCTGAATACTGTCCCGGACCAAACTCCATACCACCATCTCACCATTGCTGGCCAGGCTCCACTGGCTCCCCATCACCGAGCAGATGGACTTCAAGATACACACTCTTGTGTTCAAATCTATTGAGTTCCCTGGCACCTCCCTACCTCTCTGACTTTCTCACTTCCAAATCCACCACCCGGCGCGTCCACTCGACTGGCACCAGCCTCCTACTCATCCCTCGCACCGTCTGCCACACCATCGGAGGTCGAGCTTTCAGCCACTATGCCCCAAAGCTCTGGCACACTCTCCCTCAATCCCTCCATCTTGCCCCCCCCTCTCCCCTCTTTCAAGTCCCATCTGAAAACTTTCCTCTTCGACCGTGCATACGTCCACCCACTCCCAGCTCGGAGTCAGGCTCCGCCACTGTTAAGCGCTCTGAGATTCTACCCGTGTGGAGGGCGCTATATAAGTGTAAGTTGTTGTTATTAAACTACCTCATCATTGTATCCATCGCTATCAGGACCCCCTCTCAACATTCTCTGCTCCAGTGAAAATAGATCCAACTTCTCCAATCTGATATAGTGCCTTATCACATCAACATAACATCTGTTTTTATAACTAAAGCCCCCTCTTTCCTAGGATCAGTCTTGTAAATCTCCTCTGCCCCGCTGCAAAGTGAGAGACCTGGGTTCGATTCCCGGCATGGTGAAACCTTGGGCAAGTTTCCTTACGCCACACCCCCTCAAAAAAAATTGGTCACTTCAATCCACAACTGTTTGTGGGACGCTGCTGTGCGGAATTGGCTGCTGCATTTTGCCCACAACACCGCATTTCGCCCACCAATATAGTCAATTCACTTTACAGTCTAAGATGTGAAGCCCTTTGAGACATCTAGAAGACATGAAAAGCGCTATATCAAATGCAAGGATTATTATTATTATTATTATTATTAACATCTTTCCTGAAGTGAAATGCCCACAATTGGCTGCATTTCCTCCAGTTTTGGTCTAAGCAACTTGTACAAACTTTAGTGCTTCACTTTTGTACTCTATGCCTCAGTGTTTAAAACCGTGAATATCTTTGATATTCATATATTTGATATTCATATATTTGATATTCAATGTGGGACATTGCTGTTCGTAAATTGCCTGCCGCATTCACCTGCAAAATATACAATCACTACACCTTACAACACGTGGGGCAAAGCACTTTCAAATGTGATAAGGCACTGTATCTAATGTAAACATTTGATTGTTACACTCAGCACTGGGAAATACTTGTAGGTTTTATATTCGTTGGAAGAAGCCTTATGAAGCAAGATCACTCCCCATTGGGAATAATGATTGCAGAGCAGGTGGGTAAAGACTTGGTTCATGTGGCAGCAAGTCACTGGCGGCAGGGAATTCTCCCACTCAGCTCCTGTTAACCTGTAAGCCAAAGCCCTGATGGATAGGGTGGTCATAACTGGGCAAGCAGCAAAAAAGCTTGCCAGACAGTGCTATCAATGGCAAGCTATGTGGTTTTTGCTGGTCAGGTTCCAGCAGTACCTCAACACGTATTCTGGGGTCCCCAAGCCTTGGCTCTTGCCAACCTGTGCCTAATACTATCCAGAATTAGTTAAACAGGATGTGACCCTCCAGGGAAAGATTGTGCATTCCATTCTAACAATCTATCTCTGGGATTTCCATGTATATGTGGGATGCATGAAATTCTCAATTTGGTTTGGATACTCTTAAGCATGGTGATGGGTTTCTGCATGTGTCAGACACCTGGATAGCGAAAAAAACAAATTCTCAGAATCATGACCCTGTTCTCATTGGCAGCAACAAGATTTGAAATACCTGGTGGAAAATATCTGGGGCGGTCAGTCAACACTGAGCTCTGAGACAAACCTACATGACCTGATTCTGGTCAGGTGGGACCAAAAGAAGGAGTGGTCACCATGGAACTGTATGCTCCTCACAAAGGAAGAAGCCAAAGCTCATTTTCTATTGAATGACATTGAAAAGGTAAAAAGTATTTTATTCCTTCATTTCCTTGTCAGCCCGGCTCATGCAGTTGCACTCTCACCTCCGAATCACAAGATTGCGGGTTCAAGCCCCATGTCAGGACTTTGAGCTCACAGTCGGGCTGACACTCCAGTGCAATGCTGGGGGGAGCTCCACATTGTCGGAAGTGCCATCTTTCAGATGAGACATTAAACTGAGACCCTGTCTGTCCCTGTCCAGGTGGACGTTAAAGATCCTGTGGCACAACTCAATAAGAGAAGGGAGTTTCTTTCTCCCGGGATACGAGCTGACAATCCCCCAGATAAAATTGGTCACTCCTTTCATAGCTGTGGGATGTTGCTGTGCACAATTTGAATGCCCATAAAGTTGGTTCACCCACAAAACACAGAGTCACTACACTTTACAGCGAGTCCTGTGAAGCGCTTTGAGATATCCTGCTGATGTGAAAGGCACCGTATCAAATGTAAGGATTATTTACTTTATTTACCACTATTATTTACCACTCTCACACCGTTGATTTCCTCGGACACACTTTTTCCGTAAACCGATTGGACTGTTGACAGCAGTTGCTGAGCTACTGTATCACTCTCTTCATTAATAATTAAAATATTGTCATTGATAATGATGATGCATTGACATTGGTACTCTGCCCTTATTGCAGAGCTATTTAAAATAAAGTGCAGCTGGGTAATTACATCTGACCTTGACCTTCCACCCCTCACCTCTCCATGTGAAATTCGGACTAGGCAGGGACAGCCTGGCTCCTGGAAAGCGCTCAAGATTTTCATGGAAAAGGGGGAGGGGGCTCCAATTTGTGGGGATCATAAAACATAAAAAGCATAAAATAACGCACAAAGGCCCTCCCCATCCTCCCACGTTGGTATTAACCCCATATGATATTTTTGCCCACAGAATCCATAGTCGGTTCATTTTACAATATAACCTGTGAAGCGCTTTGAGACGTCTCAATGACGTGATAAGACTCTATATCAAATCCAAGGATTATTATTATTATACTTATTATTACTATCCGAACCTGTGACTGCCGTGGCCACCTCGACTTTGTGGTAGTGGTTTCCTCTCCTCCAAGTCACAGTGTGTTTGCGTTGGCACAAAAAGGAGAGTACCAGTATCCATGCCTGGGCCAGGCAGAAAAGCCCCCGTTGCGCTTGTGCATAAGTATGAAAAGGCCGATGTGCGGCTGTGCAGAGGGTAAGTGTCTGTCATTCGATTCCCAGGGACCCGGTGATGGAGCGGCTAATTTCACCGGATGCTCGGGAAGCCGGACACTTGGGGAAACTTCCTGATTTTTCAAATAACCCGTCCACCCCGAGCCAAGGACTCACACTGACTTGTGTCTTCGCTTTCTCTCCCAATGCAGGACTACGAGCCCCCATTCATCCGCAAGATGAAGCACCGTCACACTTTGGCCAAGAAATATTATGCTCGAATCCCCCAGATCAGGAGTTATGCTGAGAATTGTTTGATGCAAGACCTGACTCCCCAAGAGAATGTGGTGTCGAGACCCAGCTCCTCCATGCCGACGACTTAAACCCTCCTCTGTTCCTCAGTGTGGGACCTTGGCAACCTTAAGAAACTTTGGCATCAATGAACAATTATATTTTCCTGAACTCCAGAGTTCCGTTACTCACCAACCCGGTGCTTTGCTGACTAGAAGCGTCTCCCTCACCCACCTTTGAAATCTGTATGTTGTGTCATTCCTGGTCAATCCTCCTCAGTTTCCCCTCCAGACTCACAAACGGCAACATACTGACATGTAACTTTGATGTTTTCAATGCTTGCCCATGGTTTACATTTGTTTCTCCCCTGCAGCGTTTTCCAACAATCCAGTTGCATTGATCCGGTTGTGTGATGTGGAGTGTCTTTTGTTGTTTGTTGGTGTGATTGCATGTGGTGGGTTGTTTGTGTCATGTATCGTGTCTTGTGTTTTCTGTTTTGTATGTTGATTTGTCATGTGTGTATTATGTGGTATATGTGTATTGTATGTATTGTTGCGTGTGAGCCCAACAGCAACTTGCATTAATATATAGCACCCTTCACGCCGGTAGCACCTGGAGCGCTTGCCAGTGTCGGAGTCTGACGCCGAGCCAGAGGGAGGTGGGACAATAAAAACACGATAAAAAAGGAAGGTCTTTAGGCGGGATTTGAAAGTGGGGAGGGAGGGAAGAAGCAAGGCGGTGGGATTTCCAGAGTTTCAGGACATAGTGGCTGAAAGCACGGCCATCGATGGTGAAGAGTGGGGGGAGGCTGGAGCCAGCCAACCAGAGGCAGCAGATTGTGGAGTGGGGGGATAAGCAGGTCGAATAGGTAGGGAGGTGCGAGGGCATGAAGGGATTTGAAAACAAATGAGAGGATCTTTAAATCGATGTTCTGATAGAGAGCCAGTGGAGCCTGGCTAGGACTGGGGGTACGGAATTACTGTTGCGTGCGTGCAGTGTGTGTGCTGTGTTGTATTATTTGTGGTATGCTGTTGTGTGTAAATTGGCTGCCGAGTTCGCCTACAAAATATACAGTCAGTACATTTTACACTACACAGGGGGAGGTGCCCATAGGCATGATCAAATAGAAAGGTTTCAGATGTGATCTGAAGACAGGGAAGAAGGCAGGGACTGAGGGAGAGAGTTCCATAGTTTCAGTGCGTACTGGCTGAACGCACAGCACAGCCCCTGATAGTAGAGTGGATGAGACGAGGGACATTTCGCAGGCAAATACAATGCAACACAATTAGAATAATAATCCTTGCATTTGATATTGCGCCTTATCATGTCATCAAAACGTCTTATCCAAAGAATGGCACATCTGACAATACAGCGCTTCCTCAGCACTACTTTTACACAGTCACTATACTTTACAGTGTATCCCATGAAGCGCTTTTAGACATCCTCCCAACTGAAGGGTGCCGTATCAAATGCAAGAATTATGGTTATTAAAGTCCTGATGTGGTACTTGAACCCACAGCCTTCGGACTCAAATGTCTCAAAGAGCTTCACACTGCTTGCTGGACACATTGGTGGCGAGGGGTGAGGCAAGGAGTATGTGTGTGCTGGGCAGGTGGGGGTGTGTGGGTAAGAAAATGACCAAAAGTGCATTCAAGGGAACTATTGTATTTCGCAAACAATGAGAATGTTAAGTAATGTCTAAACAAAAAATATCCCCCCATCCCAATAAAATAATTTTGACTTTCAGAGGAGGAGTCTGAAGAATTGTGAGAGGGAGCACAATTCATGGGAACTTGTACCCTACTGTGTGGAGGCAGTTGGTTAATATTTGCACTGGTTTAAATCTCCAGATATGCAGTCCCACACACACAGTGTTTCACTCCCTTTCAATGGTAAGTGAGTTGTAAACCTATTTAGGGTCCTAACCACGTTGGTGCCCTGTCTTCAAGGCTGCCCTGCCAGGCAACTGGAAACAACTGGAATGTGAGAGGAAAGCAGCCGCAGGTGTTGTGAGGCAAAACAAGCATCACATAATCTAAGCTGAAGGTGTGCCGCATTGTCGGAGGTGCCGTCCTTCAGATGTTATGTTAAACCAAGGTTCCATCAGCCTGTTCAGGTAGACCTTAAAGATCCCATAGCACTATCAGAAAAGTAAAGGGAGTCACAAAGTGTCCTGGCCAACAATCCTCCAAATAATTGTTGGCAGGTTCGACCCCCAATTATCATTTCTCCGCCACATCCGGTCGCTCACCAGCACCACTTTCTTTCACCTCCGACGCATCGCCCATCTCCACCAATACCTCTCCCCAAAAGCCGCTGAAACCCTGGTCTATGCCTTTGTGACCTCTCGGCTGGACTATTCTAATGCCCTCCTCGCCAGACTCCCATCCACTACCATCCATAAAATCCAGATCATTCAAAACTCTGCCGCCCGCATTCTCACCCTTACGAAACTCTGCTCCCCGATCACCCCAGTCCTTGCCAGACTGCACTGGCTGCCTATCCCAGAGAGGATCGATTTGTAGATCCTCACCCTTGTATTCAAGTCCCTGCACTCCTGCACCCCCCTACCTCTCTGACTTCCTCTTTCTTCAAAACATTACCCGTTGCCTTTGTTCCACCGGGTCTGGCCTCCTCCTCATCCCCCGAGTCCTCCGCACCACCCTCGGTGGCTGTGCCTTCAGCCACTATGCCCCGAGGCTCTGGAACTGCCTTCCTCACTCCCTTCGCCTCGCTCCCTCCCTTCCTATTTTCAGGTCTCTGCTGAAGACCTTTCTTTTCGACCGCGTCTTTGGTCACCTTCCTCCCCCTCCCCTGGGCTCGGTCCCGGTATCCGTTACTGTGAAGTGCTCTGAGACTCCGTCCAGCGTGGAGGGTGCTATATAAATCCAAGTTGTTGTTTGTGAGAGACCTCTGTGCACAACTGTCTGCTACCTTTCACCCACAAGATACACAGTCAAATTACTTAATCAAGCAAATCCTGTGAAGCAGTTTGAAAAGTCTCAATGATGTGATAAGGTGCTTTATCAAAGCAAGGATTATTATTATTATTATTTATCAAATGCGAGGATTATTATTTTCAACCTGGATCAGTCTGTCCTCTCGGTGTCATTCTGACTCAGTCACTCACCTCTGACCCAGTCAGCCCCCTTGTAGACAAGAGCTCTTCTTAACACATTCTGATTGACTTTTCAGATTGTGGTGGGATGCAGACAGTTCTCTGCCCAGGGACAGATTGCATTACATGAGCTACATGCATTCCTGTATTCAAATTTTAGCCCACTTTCTCAGAAAGTTACTCTCTTTCTTCAGAATGAGGTGAGCAATGTGTGTTTAGTGCCTCCATTCAAAGTGCATTGCTGACGCCTGTTAAATCATTGAACACACGCACTCACTGACCTCTGGCAGCTTTCCACAGTCTTTGGCAGCTCAGTCCGGAAGCTTTCACGGCAAAGGCACGTGACCTCTCTCAACATCCAGCGATCGTGCAGTTCACATGCTGTTCAGTGTTTAACACCATTAAGCGTCAGCCTGGCTCAGCCACACTCTTTGAGCTCATATTGTCTAAGGTGACGCTCCAGTGCAATGCTGGTTGCATTGTCGGAAATGCCGTATTTCAGATGAGACATTAACCAATATCCCATCTGTCACTGTTCAGGTGGATGTTAATGATCCCACAGTACTGCTCGAATACAAAAGGGAGTTTCTCTCTCCAAGTTCCTGGCCAACAATCCTCCAAATAAAACTGGTCACTCATGATGTGCACAACTGGCTGCAATTCACTTTACAGAGGAGTCTCCACTGACAGAGTCAGCAAGGGTCATGATAATAAAAGCTTAGCTCAATTGGTAGCACTCTGGCATCTGAGAATGGCATCTCTGACAAAGCAGTGCTCCCCCAGCACTGCACTGGATTATCAGTCTAAACTTTGAGCTCAAAGCCCTGATATGGGGCTTGAACCCACAACCCTTTGGCCTGTAGGCGAGAGTGAAACTAACTGAATCGGGATGTACTATCACTCAGCGATGTTTTTTCCCCCAACATGAAAGGCACAAAATAAATGTATATTTCTTGTTGTTGGCTCAGGAACCGTCCGAGAGAGCAGCACAGACTTGATTCCAACTGACTCCAGGTGAGTCGGGGGCCATGATTCGTTTCGCTGAATGTGGTCTTTGAAATAAAAACCTTGAGGAGCAAGCAGCATGCCTGTTCTGGAGTTAAATTGGTGAACTATTCAATGGCAGAGATTGGATAACTAGCCAGGGAATGATTGTTATTGTTCAACTGTTTACTTTGTCAGATTTGAGAGACAGGACAGTGGCATTCTCGCCTGGAGGTCAGAAGGTTCTGGATTCAAGCCCCATGTCAGGACTTTGACGTTCCAGTCCAGTGCTGGGAGCGTTGTCAGATGCACTGTCCAGATGAGATGTTAAACAAGCCGCTGTCTAAACCAGTTCAGATACCCATGGCACTTTTGGAATAAAGAAGGGAGATTCTCTCCCGGTATCCTGGCTGACAATCCCTCAGATAAAATTAATCATTCATTTCATGGCTGCTTGTGGGAAGTTGCTGTGTACAAATTGGCTGCTGCATTTGTCTACAAAATCCTCCGCTGCTGCACAGTAAAATCCTGTGAAGCACTTTGAGACTTCCTCCTACAGTGACAGGAGCCATATCAAATGCTAGGTAATTATTATTTATTGATAGTCTGAAGAATTCAAATAGGATGGAGAAATCGAACCTTAATAATCTGTTCAGCAGTATCAGGATACAACACTAAAAATAATCCTTGCATTTGATAGTACCTTATCATGTGGTGGAATTGTGTAAAAGGATTTTGCTGTAAAGTGTAGTTACGCCTTGCTTTTCTGGGTTTTCGGGTGGGTGAAGCAATCAGATTGACATGCCACATCCATTCCGTGACTCTTTCCTCTCTCATCCCAGACCTTTAGACTGTTCCCTTTGTGTTATCAGAACCTTCATTCAACACACACAACCTCAGAGATTGGCAGTGTCACATTCTGATTACTCAAGTTGCTTTTTAAATGAGTCCCAGTGTCCCGGCCTCCATTCCCCTTCTTGGAAACCTGTTCCAGTCATTACCCTCTGGATAAAGAAAAACTTTTTGGTGTCTGACCCCAAATTGCCCTATATCTGTAAACTTGTGCCTGCTTGTTAACATAACATAACATGTAGAAGCAGGAGTAGGCCATTCGGCCCTTCGAGCCTGCCCCGCCATTCAATCATGGCTGATCTTCTAATCAAACTCGAGCGAATACCATAACCCTGCCTTATCCCCAATCCCTTAATCTATTTTGCAATAAGAAATATATCTATCTCAGTCTTGAATATGTTCAAAGACTGCGCGTCAACAGCCCTTTGGGGTAGTGAGTTCCATACATTCACCACCCTTTGAGTGAAGAAGTTCTTCCTCAACTCAGTGCGAAAGGGC